CCCCGGGCCCCCCCCCCCCCCCTGTTGTTGCGCGCCTGCGTTTTACCTGTTCACACTGCTCCGGATACATTTGATAACGGTGTGAAACAAGGATGCGTTCACATTGCTCCGCTCTGGATAAAAAGGAAAACGCCACGAACTGGTCTACAGACTTTGTGACTGCTAATAAACTTTTGAAACGACTGACTACCACTAATATTACTCCAAGTAGTGTACTAGCTTCGAGTTGGTTGTTCAAATTGGCGCGGTGTACGCATCTTGCTGTGTTGTTGCTATTGTTATCGTTTTCAAAAATATCCATTTTCAAAAGTCTCCGTTTTCGAAGTGCGTTTTCAAAAGTCTCCGTTTTCGCAGCGGAACAGTGTAAACGCAAGGTGAAAACGAATACTTTTTATCCGTTTTCATTGGAATCCGGAGCAATGTGAACGGGGCCTTATATGATTTTTTGTGAAATTTTTTTCAAAATTTGTTTTTTTTTAAATAAAGTTTGAAGTACACAGTGTGAAGTGGGAGAAACTGCTAGAATATACAGAAGATAGAGCTATTGTTTAGTTACGAACAATGACGTTTACTTAAGCTTTTATTGCACGCTTTCCTCATTTCATACTCGTTCATTGAAGATAGTCTATGGTGATGAAACAGCAGACAAAGGGCTCATGTCAGTCATAAATGCGAATAAGATGAGAGCCTGCAAACTTGTGCGAAAATGCCTGGACAGAGATATCTGTTAACATTTTCAGAATTATTTTACTCTGATACAACATGAAAAGGAAACAAGAAGCAACAAATGCACTCTGCGATTACCTATTATTAAAAAAGAATATGCACGAAAATCGTTTCAATATATGGGCTCTAATGTGACAATGAGCTACCTATAGACATACGTCGGACAAGGACACACAAAGAATTTGTTAAAAAACTTAAAAATCATTTTGCAGGACAGTGACAAACATTATTTTATTTCAATGTGAAATTAGGTTTTATTAGGTATTATAGATCCTATTCTTGTAAGTTTTATCAACGTTTTTAAAATAATAAATTTTCTTTCAATATCATTTAAGGTCTAGGGCACAGAACACACAGTGATAACAGCGATGTTCTAATTGTTGAAGTGTTTATCCTGTATAAATATTCGTTTTATTATTATTATTATTATATGCTTTCATGCTGTGAGCTTTAAGAATTTATTTCGTCTAAATTTTCTGTTCAAGTTGTAATCGCCGTTATGTTATGGGTGAATTTATCTTAAATTGTTGATTTTTTTTATTCTTTTTTCATTGTTTGATTTTTTTTCAATTTTTTTTTTCATTTTTTGAACTAGAATTACCACAGCAGAAATGGTGTTATATTACATCTTTGTTGGTGGTTCACTCACTGTCGGCACTCTGACATTACAGCCCCCCCAGCATTTCTTTTCTGGCGCCATCCCTGGTCCCATAACCTGAAAATCGTCAGGGGAAAACCGCTACAGTGCAAAATTAGCTTAATTTAAATGTGTTTGCTGAGATATGGCCACATGAGCACAGGCTCTCCCCCTGTCAAAGCTCTCGCTGTTCATAAGGTTTATGAGCAAAATAATAGAAAACTTCACAACTTTGCTGTTATTTTTAAACTTAAAAAATTTTTTAAAAAAATAACGTTAGCAAACCGATTTTTGATATATTTATTAACAGATATGACATATTTAGAACCATTATGTTCTTTTATGCTTCGTGGTTAAAATATCAGATTTCCAAAAATGATTTTTTTGTGTGTGAACTCCCTCCTACTCGAATTATTACAAATCTCATCAGAGGTATATCGCGTAACGTTCACTAAGTTGATTTTTCCTGATTATATATTTTTTTTATTAAAAAGGTATCTAGGCCAAAATGGCCCCTAACCTATTTACAACATTAACATAAAAATAAAAGTTAATAGAACTACTCCTATAATAACTTGTCAAACGCTAATTCAGCTTATTTAAAGCAGATGCGATGAAAGGCACAAAGGGATTAAAACATAACGGAGACAATAACGAGCCAACAAAGACAACATTCTCCTTACTGGTAGAAAAGCAAACAAATATCAAGTTAAAACCTTTTTTTTTACTCAAGGTACCGATCTCGTACGACAAAAGATGTCTTCATGCTTCTGTCACAAGCATGAATGATTCACAATATTTTTGGTTCTAACAGCCCTGTTTATTTCTGAAAGATAACAATATAATGATAAGGTGGACAAACTCAGTGAGTGATAGTAACGTCAATGTTGATGCCCCAGCTTTTTTGGGTATTGTTTTTGTCTCTACTCGCGCGAAAGCCTAATATTACTGTTTTGTTGTTTCCCAAATGAATCAGAAATCAACCCAGATGATTGGATGCAAGACTGGATGCAGCCACCATCTCCTGAAAGAGTTCCAACCAATTGCCCACCTGGACTAGAGCATCTCGCTGTAATGCCAGAAATTTTCATTCATCAAAAAATCAGCTGGGTTGAAAGTAAGATTAAATGTTTATTTTGGCTGTTAGAGTTAATGGAAGTTTGTGAAAGGATAGCGGGCATAACTCAGCAAAGTGAACAAACAACATAATTAGATGAAGTTTCTCTTGGCAGCTTACAAAAGATATATTAAGCCTGTTTTTTCAGTAGATCTGAATGCAGATGGAAGTTGAAAAAAAAATTTATAAGTTCAGCTATGGTTCCTCTGATAACAGTCAATCTGATTTCTTTGGCCTATGATCGAGAAACTTTTAAGTAACGCATCTATAAGCCAATTAGCATCATATATAAGTCATTTTTGAAATATTTCACTGATACGTTCTGTCTTCAATCTGGGAACTTACTTTTTGCTTTTCAAGTTTGCTGTGACTGGGAGGCAAACCAGCAGTATGAAATTCTACACCCAGAAACAAATAAAAGGCTGTACAAGGTAGTTGAAGGTTGGTGCATACTTACATAGAATATCTTTTGTTTTGGAGGCTCTAATGAAATGATTCAGACTAACTGAAACACTTTGAGAAATGGTACATGTCAGGTCTTACGCTGTTTTCATCATGTATAGTTCGTGTGTCAAAAGAAAGAATTGACCAAATAATATTCAGTCTTCTCGTTATTGCAATTTACTCGAGTCGAAAGAAATCGTCATGTCAACATCGAGATTCTAGTTTACCACTGTAAAATGCACTGAATGCAAATGTGAGTAAGTTTGTTGTGAAGTTTAGGTACTGTGGATATCCCATCGCGCGTAATAAGAACAGAATAGTAGCATGATATGCGCAAGGTCATCGGTTAGCCTCGCATAGGAAAGATATTAACGGAAACACAAGTCTGTAAGCAGATATCGTAGAGTTAGTTAAATGAAAGAAGCTCCAGGACAAACGTCATAGTGTCAAGAGACGGCCACTTTCTGGTGTAGGCCAGTGGCGTGGTAGGAAATAGCTCATATATTTGTCGTAACCAGTAACAGTCGACAGTTCTATGTAAAAAGTGCAAATCAAATAAATGAATGGTATTTAACGTTATCGAAAGTGTCTTCACTGTCTCTGCCCGCAGAAACCAAGAAAGAGAAAAAACTTTGCAATAAAGTATGAATCCATCTAGAATCTCCATAAATCCTGGTATATAAGGTGACCATTGCAGTTGCTGAACAGTTTCATGTGTGAAAGTGAAAAAACTTTTTAATTTCCATGTGATATTGAACAAAAGATGTTCTTTTTAGATACATCATGCTGCACCCGTGCATGGTGTGCTGAATCCAGACCCCTGGAAATGAGCATTTTGGATTACACTGAAAAGGAGGTGCTGCACATCTCAAGACCGTTCCATTGCGCCTCCGGAACTGGCTGCCCCCCATGTATGGATGAAATGGTCATATCAACACCTGATGGAAAACTTCTTGGCAGTGTAAAGCAACAGTAAGTTGATAATTTTTCTTCATTTGAACTTCCAGGGCAGTCGCACAAAATTGCATCTTTTTGATCAATTTCAACTGGCTATAAAACCTCTCCGAAAACAAGAAAAAAAGTCAGGGCCGCCCTCAATTCTACGACCAATCATACTATTATCTGTACTACGAAAATTGCTTGCCATCTGTATGATTAGAAGATGTTGGGTCCGCATCAGCACTTAAATCCCAATCGGACAAGCTGCCTACCAAGCTGGGCGAAGCACGACCGAACAGGTTTTTGCAATCAAGATGCTAGCAGAGAAAGCTAAAACATCCAGCAACCACAACATCTTTCTTTTACTGGTAGACATGAGTAAAGCCTTCGACGTTTTAAGCCGCGGAAAATTATTAAAAGACCTGCAAGAAATACTTCAACCCGACGAACTACACTTGATGTTCCTTTTGGGAAAGGATGTAAACTTGCGAGTCAAAGTCGGAAAAGAGAAAGGTGAAGACATCAAAACAGAAATAGGGATTGTACAGGGTGACTGTCTCAGTGCAGTACTTTCTTAAATGATCTACTAACTACTGCCACAAGTATCCGTTCTTATGATTTTTCTGAGCTCTTCATTTTCCTTGGATTCTCCACATATCATCACCCCTTCCAAAGAACTGTTTCAGCCTCACTTCTCACTGATGATCTTGCAGAAATCGAGATGTGGGGTAAAGATAATCTACTAAAGTTTAATCAAACTAAAATCATCCAGGCTATCATTTCGCTCAAATGAAACCCCCTCTTTCCTCCTGAAGATGATATCCTCTCTAGAGTGCGGATTTTTCCACCATCACACATGTTAACAATTCTTTAACAACTCTTAACAAATCCCAAATCCGTTTTTCCCTGGAGTACAGCTCCCATATTTTGGGTGGTGCTCCCAAATCTTCCTTGCTCTTTTTTGACAAAGTCAAACCCAAAGCCATTCGCCTCGTCAATAACTGTAACCTCAAGTCTCTGCAACCTCTTTCCCATCGACGCAATGTTCCTGATCTCGCTATTTTTTATAGATTTCACCACGGCCATTGCTCCCAGGAGATCAGGGACGTGATCCCGGGTCCCCTGAGACATGCACACAATACCAGTCACTCTTCCAGTGCTTACCATTTCCAAGACTCTTTGCAAAGCGCACGAACTCAATCCCATAACTCTTCCTTCTTCATAACTCTTCTTCCACTAACTCCACATCTCTCTACCCCCTTCCTGTTTCTCAGACTCTTATAGCCTTTCTTCATTAAAAAATAAACAAGCTTGGTCTTTCCTCTCTCTTTTCCGGCATGTGGGCCTTTCCATAACATCACGAATTAAAAGAAAATTCTGACCCTTTCCTTCCTTAGTTACGAACGATCCTGTGTTCTTGACTATTTGTATTTGTACAGTTCTGTCCTGCTTACTTTTATCATTAGATATAAGAGTATAAGTATCAATACCCCGCTCAAGGATCCAGACAATTTCTCTATCTAACCCTTCCTTCTATATTTAAGAGGCTTAAAAGACAACACAGTTTCTTAGGCATGAAACAAGACATGTCATTTTTCGTTTGCCACAGCAAAATGAAGTTTTTTTCAATTCACAGATTTGCTTGGCTAATCCCAAGGCACCATGTTCTAGATGCCAGTGGCGACGTCGTCTTTCGCATTGAAGGACCTTGTTGGTATTGCCGGTGCTGTTCAGAAGTGCCCTTCAAGGTCAGTTTCATATCACACATCAAGACTGTAACTAGTCCATCAACAACATGTTTTTTTATACATTGCAGGGCTTTTCTATGAAAAAGGAGGGAGAAAAGAATATATAATCATGAAAGGGAGACAGGGTTGATAGTCTTTGATTGAAAAAGTCAAGGAAGGAAGCCTTTTTAAGTTATTTCTTTCTTTGAAAATAACTTTCTAGGAGGGTAAATAGCAAATAAATATTCTGTAATTGCCTGTTTTATCTAAATTTCAAAGCTTTGAACCTATGTTCTGACGTTTCATACTCTGAAGAATGTCAGATGTTTCATTCTCTGAAAAGCTAAATGGGTTTTGAAATGTTAAATTTATTATTAGATCTTTGCCTTTGCAGTAACAGAGATATTTTGTTTTCTGTAAATTATGACATGGTCTCTTCAGTGGCCGATAAGTTACCAGGACAAATGTCTTTAATTAGGAGCTACGTTTGTTTTGGATTAAGAACTTCTTTGAAATTGCAAAGAGAGTGTACCTTGTTTTGCCATCATCACTGAGCCAGCCGTGGCAATGAACCAAGAAGGTGATTGCAGTCAGAACCTACGCTCTCTCTCTAGCTATATAGTTGCCCACTAGCTTCAACTTTTAGATCCTTCTTCATAAAACACCGACTTTGTAATTGTGTTTTAAATGACCTTCTTAAGATGTGTGACCGCTACTTTTTCTTAGTTCTGCCTGTACAAGGAATGAGTTTGGTGTTCATATAATTGTGCTGTGCCCGTGCCATGATGCGTGAATCAAGGCTTTCTGTAGCAGATGTCATATAATGCTATCCATTTACCCTTAGACGTATCTTCGAAATGACTAGCATCTTTGGCCACTTCAAGAAGCAAGAAGCATTGCTTTCTTGTTTCCGTACGTTTATATGAAACTCTTAGATAGAGCTATCGATATAGCAGGTGCAACACAGATTATAGCATAATTGGTTTGTATTCATTGCAGCGTAAAACTGTTCAAAAATGAAATTATACTTTTTAGGTATTTTGGTAGTTTATTTATGGGGTTTGAACCACTTTTGTTGTAGATTTATGCTCGAGGTGAGAGTCAGGAAGTTGGCATAATAGCGAAAAGATGGACTGGGACGGCGAAGGAATGCTGTACGGATGTGGACAATTTTCGAATTGCCTGTAAGCTATCTATTGCAAACAAAAGACTTTTGATAAATTTGAAAATTATCATGAACTGTTTTTCCAGTTTTCAAAGGAAGAAGCTTCAGTTTCTGACCATACGGCTCAATTGGTACCCGAAAGATATCAAGTCTTGGAATCTGTAAATAATTTCTGGTGATCCAAGTTGTTGCTTCACCGATTTGAAATTTTCCCTCGATTAATCCTTGTTAAATGTATATTCAAAACTAAAATCTGATAACAATATTATAACATGGCTGCTTCATAAAATGCAACTTTTTAGAGTTGAGCTGTTGCAAGAGATTGTATCGCTTAAGAACATATTATTTCGGAGGGGTGCAGAAATGACAAAAGGGCGTGTCTCACTCTTTAGGATATGGTTATAAGATTAATAACTTTTTTGCTGCTTTCATAGTTTCATGCAATATTCATCACTCAAAAAATTCAATTTCAAGTATTGTTAGTTCCATACTTTTTAGCTGCAACAGAAATTTCTTTCTCTCCCGACAAAAATGTTTTATGTGCCAACGGATAAAGCACTCTCTTTGGCGACGTCCCGGAAAGCAGAAGTATAAAATGCGTTTGAATATTTTCAATAGCAAAGTTGATAGATGATTGCACAACTCCCACATGTGCCAGGGGTGAATGGCATTTCGATTACGAGAGACGAGGCTCTTTCCAATGATAAGTTGATTATCTAACTAGGTTTAAGCCCAGCCCGTGGGCTGTCACAGTGGCCGTGCAAGCTTGCTTTTTCCAAGTATGAAAATACCGTAAATCCTTGAATTAGCACCCTGGGGGCTTATTTATTTGTGATATTCTTGGATGGGGGCTTATTCAAGGGGGAGGCGTATACAAGGGGGATATATAAAATTATTGCAGACCTTAAAAAGGGACATTATTAAAATACATCGTTTATCTCAGTGGGAATTTCTTTATGAGCATTTAATTAATTTTAATCAAAAGTATGGATTTTTGTGAATAAAGTGCCAAAGGCAACCTCAGATGACAAAAATTCATCCAATTTAGGGTTCCAATTCGAGAACTAACGGTAGCAGTGGGAGCTTATTTGAGAGGGGGGAGGCTTATTGACATTTTTTATTTCTAGGGGTAGGTGCTTATGCAAGGGGGCTTTTTCTAAGGGGGGGGGGTGTCAATTCCATTTGTCGAGCTGATGTAGGTTAATTGATATTTTTTGTATCTAAGAGACTGAGGCAGCCCGGTTTGTTAAGACTAGCTTCCTTCCCTCCTGGAGGATATTACTCCCTCTCCTTCAAATGTATGCACCGAATTGATAAATGAAAAGCTCCCTTTCTCTGTTTTTATGATTTTGCTTCCCTGAGCTTTTTTAAATTTTTTAGCATGGCATTCTTATCGAATTATCAGTACACATGATTAATTTTGTTATATTGTCATCAAGGTATCAGTAAATATATAAGTTAAATTTTTTTCTTCGACTAATTGAAAATTTACTTTTTCGTAGTTCCCAATAATCTTGATGTTCGCCTGAAAGCTCTTTTACTCGGTGCCTGCTTTTCAATTGTAAGTATACTAAATTTAACTTTTAAAACTATATAAATTATCTCGTTGTGAACATTATTATTTCCTTTTTCGAATTTATTGTGTTGTCATTGTCAAATTTTAGGACTTGCTGTTCTTTGAAAACAGAGGCTAGTGAAAGTATTTGGAGGAAGACATAAGTGCTGCCACTTGAACTGATCCACCACATATCTACGCCATTTGCTACAAATTGACTTGCGATATTGTTTTTAAAGCAAGTATCAAAGATATTGGTTAGCGTAATTTCTCGCACACCTGTATTGAAATGTATCTTTGAAATTGTATTTAAAGGTAAAGTTGGTTTGGCCATTCCATCGCTACATTTTATTCACCATGCAAAGGGATAGCCTTTTGTGACGGTAAAAAAATACTTTGCTTGCACGCTTTTGTATCTTACATACAACGTGCTACAATATATGAAACATTGTTATTCGCTGCTACCCTTCATTAGATGTAAATATTAGATATGCATTATTATTTGCAATCAATTCAAAGTTTTTAGGTATACACGATCAGGTTTTTATGTTATTTAATTTGAAGTAACGGTATTGAGAGCTTGCTGTTATCTTCTTTGTCATTCTAGCTCTTCCAATCATTCCTGTATATTTTTGAAAAAAGAGAGCATTTTGGAAGATACTCGACCTTTTTGCCTGACACTCTTTAGAGTAAAAAACGTCAGAACACAAATTGAAAACTCTACGCTAGGAAAGTTTACCCAAGTTTATATATACCCAAGTTTTCCAAAGATCGAAATAGGCCAGACAGAATCTCGAGTATGCGCTTGTGCTTGTTTGATTTTATTCTCATTTTCAAAATATGTAGTGCAAGATTGTATTAACAAAAATACTAACAACTTGTCACAAACGGATCTTATAGAAAATAACCGTAAACTTAAAATAAAACTAATTATGAACAAATTACAAATCTGCAATTAATATAATGCTTTTTTTGTTTCCAAATAGCAGTAGCAAAAAATGTTCGTACCAAACAAAGTAAAAGTGACAGAAAGTTTAAAGTAAAGTTAAGCCGATCCGACTTTCACATGGGTTGCTGTTCTAAGTGTTATTCTCTTTTCCATACATTATCTATAAAATCTTGTTGTTATCAGTAAGAAATTTGACGTTTTGAAACATTCTGTTTATCCAAAGACTCATTTCAAATTCAAGTATTTCAGCCTAACAACAGCTTTTGTGGAACTCTTTAAGCTTGCTTGCATCTCCTTTTATTATGCAAGTCAACTTACGTCTGGAAAAAAGATTCAGTTTTTAAAAAATAGCTTGTAGTGCGATCGTCCCCTCACCGAGCTTTGAACACATTTGTCAGAAATTACATGATGGCCTGAAAGTGTTTGTCAGAATATCTTGTGACAAAATAGAGCATTGAGGCATGATATTTTACCTTTTTCCATTAAGAATGAAACTTTATCTTATATATAATAGGTTACAGGAGCAGTAGAATGAAAAGTTTGAAATCATTCTACGATTATAATTTCAATCCTAACTTTTTTGCAAATAAAACTAGAAACTGATTATTGATACTAATCTAACCACACTATCATAGACATAATTATATGTAGCTTTATAGAAAATAATACAGTATTCAGTTTTCAGTTGTATTCAGTTCAATGTATTCAGTTTAAAACCATTTCTTTCTTTCCTGAAAAAAACTGCACTCATTAAGAATGACACACCTGAGGAAGAAAGAATGGGTAAATTTATGTCTTCCCTTTTTGCTGATAAACCTTCCACTCATTTTTATTCACACAAGAGCCTTTTATGTCATGAAAATCATCAATTGGGCTGTTTTTTCAAAAAGTAAAGTGACTGAGCTACTTAGTGACTGACAAACGTTGTCACACAGCTAATCACTTTGTGATCAACATAGGAAACATACCACTCACTGTGCCAGCAATAATTCAAAAAAATGCCAATTTTTATTGCGCATCTCATTTTTCTGGAAAAAGGCATTATATTCACTGTTTACTATGCTGCGTATAGCCATCTATTATTCACCATCTATGCCAGCCTGATTCATTTCTTGATTTTTGATTTGTTGCATTAATAAAGTTTTTATTTCTCCATGTCTCAAAGATGTTGTCATAGTGAAGCAAATGTTTGTGAAGAGCTTCTTCAAAGCATAAACACTTGTTTCTACATGGAACTAATTTATAAAAGTCTTTATCGTACTCCACAGGAAGATTTGTAAGTAATTTTCTGTGTCAAACAAAGATGCTATGTTCTTCTTAACTCTAAAGTAACAAAAAGTTTCAATGCATGTCTTCATTAAAATAAATAAAAAACTAATTGATAAAAGTCTTTATCTTACTCCATTTGTTTAAATGATAATGAAAAGCAGAGCACTTCCTGTACCCTAACCTAAGTGTGATCAAAATCTCAATTAAAATAAATGGTGCCACAGAGGGCATTAAAAAGCCAGGATGTCTCTTTGCTGATCCTATTGCTTTGCTATTGCTCATGATTTCAGTTATGAGTCTACTGTTTCCATTCTCTAAATTAGCATCAACTTTTATGTGGTTTGAGCTTCTTACACTCCCTTTTCAATATCCAATAGTTTTATGAATGGAAAATCTCAGTGAAAATTTTGAAAGGAATAAAATAAATAGATAAACAAAGATGTAAATCTGGCCTTCCACACTGTTTTTGGTGTGTGATGGAGTGCTATTGGTATTTGTCTTATTTCTTTAAAGGTTTAATTACATAGTATATGGAGCATCAAAAAACCCCCATTCTTAAGTAATTTCATCAGGTTTCATACAATTTTATAAATGAATATCTCTGTCTGGTGGCATAACTATAAAGGAAAGCTTATGAATATTGCTAGGGATCTTTACTAAATTTGATACAGAAAATATTTTAGATGCAGTTCCCAGCAATCGCTCTTGTCACCAACCATTGTGGCAGTCTACATGGAACCCTTGAAAAATGTTAATTTGTTGGCCCCAACTGTCAATCATGTCTCATCAAAGGGATATAAAAACAGTTTTGAAAATGACACAATTTAAAAATGGCACAGTTTGAAAATGGATCAAAATGTTTCAGAACAATACTATGGCAGATTTCCCTTTCTTTGAATTCAGAGCACTATCATTCTATTCCCAAGTGTAACCCTTGAAAATTTCATGCCTTTGTCACAACCTACCGCTTTCCAAATTTTTCTGTTTTCATATGAAAATGATACAACATTGAATAATTTGTGGAAGAACGGGACATTCTCATCAGACAAATATGCCATATTGCGTAAGCCCTTTGGGGTGGGGTTGTTTAGCCTTGCATTGCATTGCATGCCAGTTATTCAGCTCGCGGTAGGAACTGGATACAGAAAACCAATAGTGCACAGAAAGCGAGCTTTCTAGCATGGGCCTTTGGCAAAGTCTTTCACACAAAAACTGTAACTCCTTCGAATGATGGATGCCTGATGATCAGGTATTTCGCACACAACTTGCAATGAATCTTTGTTACATATTGCTTATTGTTGTCGGCTTGAATAATATAGTCTAAAATGTCATCATTGTCCCATTTCAGGAATATGGCAAGCTCCTTTGTGGCCCCTTTTACTTTTTTGCTGAGGACGCCATCATAGATCAGAATAAATATGGCACAAATCTAAACTGGCCATGCCTTTCCCGGGAAGGCCTGTAAATAGCAATTAGCATGTAAACTATTAATTGAATATTTAATAGAAAATTTTACATTTAATAATTGCAATATAAATAAGAAAACATGAACTATTTTATGAATTGACAAATCGTTTTTAGAGCTAAGGCAATATTTTCAAATAAAGTTTGTAATATGTAAATTAAGTTCTGCACAGTTATCTGCCTGCTTTTGATGATGTTGAACATATATTAGAAAGTTTCAGGAGTTTTGTTTGCTGTCTACTTATACCTTATGATACTTTTATATCTTGTGATACTTATTAAAATTTGAGAAAAAGTACACTTTCATTCGCTGGATATGTATAATATTATTCAGTTGATTACAAAACAATTGATGGAGACTTAAGTTACAGTTAGTGATTTTATGTTAAATGACTTGGTGTTAATATCAAATTTATGGGAAATTTAAATACATGTGTTTTTGTTGCTAATAAAATGATTTTGCTTGCTGTCAAAATGAACCATGACATGGCCACTGCAAGAAAATGTCCAAGGAACACTTTCAATCAGGTGCTGAAAAGAAAGAGGTTTTTTTACTTTTTCAATCTGATGAGTAGCAGGCAACTTCAGATTATTTACAGCAAAAAATCCATTGCAAGTTCAGATTGTTTTCCAACCTACAGTCAGCCAGTATCCAAGGAACGTAAAGCTGCAGATAATTCTAGTTTATCACAGAAATGACAGCTTGTGGCTTTCAGGTCTTTTCCTTTTTCCTTTCCCTCTTTTCATAGCTATCTTTGTCCTTTAAAATCCTTCTATCACTTTCTTTGTGGTGACGCTTATTCTCACTGCTTAAGTTGGAATGCTCTTTTCGTCTGTTAAGATCTTTCTCTGTCATCCTCCTCTTTGAATCAGAAAAATTCCCTTTTTCGCTTTCTTTTCTTTTTATGGATTTTAACTTATTTTTCATAGCTTGGTTGTTCAAGTTTTTAATTTCACCATCCTTGCGTTCTATTTCCCTTTTCGCTGTCAAGTAAAGTGAAATGATGTTTTTCTTCAAAATCCCGTTTTCTCTTTTAAGCGACTCGTTCTCTTTCTTCAAATTTTGGGCTTCGCTCAAACTACTATCATACTTTTCTTTTAGCTCATTGTAATTCATTTCGTTTAGGGAGTCGACTTTAAGATCACCATATATATCGTCAACATCAAGATTATCAAAAATACCATCAAATACCAGTTCATCACTGTTTTTCGATACATCTGTTTTTTCTTCGCTACCATCTTTTATCACCTTTCGCAAGGAACTATTTGAAGAAGCCATGCCTTTCTCCGTCAATGATGCCATCATTTTAGGCCTCAAAACTACCGCCATGCCACCTCGCAGTGGCTTTCGCTGAAAAGAGGCTGTTAGTTTCCCGCCAAACCTCATATCAGATGAGGGAAATAATCATGGCCGCATTTTCCTTGAACTTGTAAAATCGGGGGTTATGGTCGGCTAAGAAATGGTTTTGAATAATTCTGGACGACTGAAGAAAGGGCAGAGAGATACTGGCATATCTAACTGGAGCAGGTATGGCTTTTTTATCGGTCGTTTTTCATTCCTGTTGTCAGGAACTGGGTGCTGCTTTCATGGAGACCTTCTGTGTAAGAAACTAACCAGAAACCAAGAAAATTGATGGAGAAATTGTTCTGGTTCTTCTTGAAAGATGTTAAATTTTATTAGTTAATAAATTTTCTAGGAAGTACAAAGAATCATTTTGTAATCATTTCTTCTTCTACTTCTTCTACACGATTAATCTACTACTTCATTAAGAAGGTTATGTCGATGTAAAGGAAAAAAGAAATTAAAAAAAAGGAAAATGGGAAACACATAGGACAACAGCACATGCCAAGATGAAATTTGGAGCTTTAAAAAATCTGAGGTGTATGACATATATCAGAGCTCAACATATCATAGAGAGAGCTCTGTATGTGAAATAACCTCCCCCCCCCCAGAAAAAAAATCACACTGAAAGATATCTGGGTTGAAAAAAAATTGATTTCTTGTAGACCCTATCATCTATCAAGAAATTGCCATACAGCAGTGATGGAAATTCATTTTTGAAATAGGAGGATTTCTTTGAGCCCCAAAACAAATTTTTGCAGCACTTAATCCTAGAAGTGGTTCAAAAACTGTTTAAATAATTAGAAAAGCCAGGCACAGCATCACTTTCTTCTTTGCCATAACTTTCTTCAGTTTCCTCCTCTTTCTCTGACTTAGTTTTTTAGACATACTGTTGCCATAATCAAGCTTTCACTTTCTGCTCTTTGAAAGATAGAGCTCTGTTGCCCTTTTCATGATTTATCATCATTGATTGCAATAGGAAGTTGCATCTCCATAACACTGTGTGACGTTCATAGTCCTCTATCTGACATTAACATCCTGAAAAGACAGAAAGCTCTCTCTACTAAAGAAATTCAGCCAGAGATTGCAATTTATCAGGCCATGCAGGGAATAAAATGGCAGGGGTGCAATGAATCACACTCCTTGTGGTGCCAAGGCGTGCATTGGTATGCTATTGCACCAAAGTACTTATGAAACAGTCAGCTGTATATGGACTAGACTACATGACTTTATCTTAAGAAAACATAAGACAAGGCTAGTCCAATCAATACATTTTATTAAACAAGCTTTATTTACGTCAAATCCAACATAATAAAGAGAAAAACATTAACAATAAGGGAGGTTAATCAATATGTAATCCTGCAGTTTATAAACCCTTCTTGCCTGCTTCTTCTGACAATCTCGACCTCAAAATTTTAGATTTCTAACTGTGTTTTCACCATAAAGAAAACTTGTTGACTAGTGTTAGAACAAATTAAATGGCTAATTACACATTTTTATTTTATAAGAAAGCTACGGTAGCTAAATCCTCACAATTCAAAATCTCTTAGTTTTGGAACATTTTTGGCCACATTTTATTAGTAAAAGTTTCTAAAGAGTTTTGTATTTGCATACAGAGATTAGAAAAAATGCACATAATGTAAACTGTATATAGAGGAATTGTGAGTCCTGAGAAAACAGGATTTTACTGATCACACTTACAACACTTGTAAACCACAGTGTAATCTGGGTCAAATCATTTAAAGCTTAAAGATCAATAAGCCTGTTTAAATAGACACAGCAGTACACGTGCCATGGGGTTGTAACTACAGTGGAATCCCGATATAATAAACTCTGAAGGGAACCAGAAAATAGTTCGTATATTGGGAATTTGTTAAACCGAGAGATAACGTTTTTTTGGGTCCTTTCGCAGTTCACGCCTAAAAAATCTGTGGTGGGCTTGTTAAGGCTATCTACAACCTCTGAATTCAAATAATACAATTGGCTGGTCATTGGGATTTATAACTTGGGACCAAGAGATTGGCAAAGCTGGTATCACTTCGCTCCTAGTTGGTGCCTGAATGACGTTTTTGATTACTTCACATTCTTGCTTGGCTTCTCCTCCTTCTCCATTTGGGTCTCTCAAAAAAGTTTTGTCGTCACTCATTGCCAATGTCTCATATGTAAAAATGTATTCAGTAGTGTCAATGTACTCATTCGCAGTAATTTCTGACGCAATCAAACTTTCATCTCGTCCTCGGCGTCTATCAGCCAGTACTTGAAATGTATCATCGGCATGTTTTGCCGATTACAAAAATGATTTTCCCCCAAGAGAAAGTGATAAATGAACACCGAAAATGAATAAACAAAAAAAAAACAGATTAAAAATTTGTGAAAAGTTTGTTATATTGAGGGTAATTATGATGAAGGGACCTGAAAATTGGTTTGTAATAATGAGAGTTCGTTATATCAGGTGTTTGTTATACCGAGAGAATTTGTAAGGAGTTTGTTAGGCAGAATCCAAGGGACCAGGCATTTAGTTTGTTATACCAGGAAGTTCGTTATATCCGGGGTTCGTTATATTGTGATTCCACTGTAGTTACTACAAATGAGACACGTGACCACAACCGCAAAGCAAGGATTATCACCTTAAAAGGTCGAGCAATTTTCAGACCTCAACCTAAAACATGAAACTTCTTTAAAAACTTCTGTTAGTTTTAAACATGGTATCATCGTGTGCCTTGAAAGTCCGGCTACTAGAATCTGAAGAAATCAAAAATGGATGTTTTCATCCAGAAAACGTTTACCATAACCTCAAGCAAATTAGAATATTCTTCAAATTTTCCGTCAAGTCGAAATCAAATGGAAATGATTGCAGGATCATCACCGTTCTTTCATAGTTGAATTATGATTAAGAAATTACATTGGGCCATATTGGTCACTTTAGAATAATGTGTTCAGATTATTTAAGGCGTGCAATAAACTACACTTCTGAGCAATGTAAGGCGTGTGCCAAGGCATGGGCGTGGGATGGCACGCCATTCCCAGCATTGCCTTATTTATTATCTGTGCCAGAATGCACAGGTTGGGGTACTCATCTGCCCTGTATAAAGCATATTTTGTCACAGCTTTCTTGCTTCTATGCCTGATAATTCTGTGCTTTCCCCAACCAATAAATGCTGCCAGCTCCACTTTGTCCTTTCGCCACAATCATCTCTTGGCTCAAAACTTTAAATTGCTGAGTTTTGACAGTTAATAATACACCAGGTATTGATTGCAAATTACTTTTCCTTGGCACTTCCTTGGCTCCCCCTTGGTTAAGTAACTGTTATGTTAAGCGATCTTGATGTAGTTACTTTGTGAAACCGTTGTTGAATCCCATATGGGAATACTTTAACAAAACCCTGGAAAATGACAGAGCTGCCTTTGAATTTGGCCACTGCTTTAGAAATCTTCGAAACATGAGCAATTTTTAAGAAATTTTTATGGCAAATTCTTTGTTTCGCGTGTGTGGGCATGTGCAATCGCACGCCTCATATTATAAAGACTGACTCATCAATTACCACAAAAATCTTTGACAAAATGGTAGTATAATTACTTTCAATGGACAGGAAGCACTTTCAAGTGCAAAGCAATATATATGTTATGTCATGCTGTTTCATTTTAGAACCTTGAAATTCAATTGCTTCTATAGCATAAGAATATTCCATATGATCTGAAATAATTGAATCATTGTCTGCTTTTTGCCGTCTTTTCCCCCAGAGCATTAGAGCCATAGGTTTTTTGAAGTTTTGTTGCATTTTCCAGGAATGATGATGGAATGTCACTTGATGTGCGTCTCAGTCGCATGTCCAAAATTGATGCCATGGACTCAAAATTTGGTTTTGGTAGGTACAAGGAGCCCACAGAAAGACTTGGTTGGCTGATTAATATGCACCCTGTAAGTTAACTTTTTTGATTGATTATGCTTAGTCACAGTGCCTCACCCTCAGTAAACCATAAAATCCCCTTTTTGAACAAAGTGATTACCACAAAAAATTCAGCAATCCTGTAATGCTCCTTCAAGATTCTAATGTGGTTGAAAACTCAGTCTTCTAAACAAATTTTGACTCACTTCTAAGCCAAAAAGTAAATCTTTAGATGTGGCGATTTTCATGCACATCTTATCATCATCACACCCAACAAGATACCCACTCAATGTGCATGTTTTCTTTGTTTGACATCAGGGGCTAATGAGGGGGGTCTGATTGCCCTTGCCCTCACCAAAGCCCCCTTCCCAAACTATTGGGGGTAGGCCATTTGCAAAAACATGTTTGCTTGAAATAGAAAGGAAGACATTTACAGAAAAGCTAGTTCCTAAATGAAAGGTCCAGTTGCTTATGAAAACAAAGCAGTATTGCTTCATCACTTCATTATTTTTCATGCTGCATCAAATAGTTTGTTTAAAAATTGGCAGTTATCATGCATTTAGAAAACCAATGGTAAGGGAATTGTGGGCAGTTGATACCCTAATACCCCTACCCTTCTGAGCCCTTGTGAAAATTGCTTTACGAAATGGCCTGAAAATACAGCAGGAGATGGCTATATACCTAATATCCCAGAGATTCTTGATTTAAGAAATGGGTATCTAATAGCACTGTCTATTTTTTACACAAAATTTCTTTAACCTGTTCAAACCAAGTTCACTTCTTACCAAGAAAACTCAAGCAAACTTACCAGTAAAACTTTAGAAGCATATAGTTGACAATGATTGCTTAAGTAAAACTGTTCAAGAGTTGTATTTTGAAATTGAAAATATCTAATTCTGTTTATAGGAGATTGCTTGATAGGAATGAGTTATTTTCTCATAATAGCAAGGGTTTGGTAATATACCAAAGTTGCCCAAAATAAACTGAAGAGTTTCAAAAATTAGTTTAGCATCATAGCAATGAATTGGGTTTTTTGCAGTACCAGATAGACAGATAGGTTCTGTAAGACAATTAGAAATGTAAAACATGAAAATATTGCATGAATATATTTGATTCCTTGTTGTAAAATAGCCAGTAGCAGTATAGATTTGGATTTGAAAGAATGCGCCGAACAAGGAAGAGCAAAGAAAATATAACATTCCTGACTGTTTCAGTTTAAGCTGAAGATGATTTATAAACAACATTAATTTAGATAGTATTGTGGAAAACCTCTGAAAGCAAATGAAAGTAATATGAAAGCAAAAAAAAATCAATCAAATTAACACACTCAATTAGAAACTTACTTGAGTTTTGAAAGTTTCCATGAAAATTGTTGTTTGACTTATGGCATTTATGCTGAGATTTTCATTGTAGGAATTTGGGGTTTATGCCAACTATAAGTCTTGCAGCTAATTTGAAAATTATGCGCTGTCTCTTCCATTGTTCACTGATTTGCAAATTTTCAAGTATATTTCTTCTCCTTTTGTCATAGAATGAAATTCAAGATGAAGACAAAAAGTTGATCAGTTGTGTTGATTATTATTTTGTTCAAGATGATGGTGACAGATTCAAGGTTGTCAAAAAATTTTGCTTCTGTTATTTTCTACTACCCTGTTTAAGGCATGCAGTAATTTAAATGAACAAAGTCTTATTCAAAGTGTTAGGATAATCAATAGTTTGCAATTTGTTGGTGTGCAGTAATGAACCAGGCTGTAGAACAGGGCCCTCATTGATAACAGCACTCCGTGTGTTGAAGAGGGTACCCTGTCTAAACATTATTATTTTTTATTATTATTATTTTTCACTACTGAGAAGGATAAAAATGATCAGGATCAGGATCACAATGATTGCAATTCAAACAGTTGCAATTCAACCTGTTTCTAGAAGCAAATTTTTTTATTTTCTATTCCAATTTTTCAGGTCTCTCTCCCATTTCGGCCATATTTTTATGTTCTGGCAAAAAAGGTAGGCAGTCTTTGAACAATCAATCAAGCCTTTGTTGATTCTGCAAAATATGAAGATATCATGGGAAAGCAGAAATAAAGCATTGTAGATCCGACATTCTTCAGAGTTTAAATGTCAGATGCTGATCAGGAATATGCAGAAAATTATTTCTAGGTTGATTGAAAATACTGTGAGGGGAAGAGTTGCGCATTTGATTTGTTTTCTGTTATTGACCAATTCACGCTACTGTTGCCAACCTCTCAGCTAGTCGTAGATTTGTGTTAATGCTTTGTATCGTAGCAATTTTAATTGCCCTCTCCCCTACCACAGAGGAAATTTTTATAGAGGTAATGACCAGTGCCACCTGCATGGGCTCCGACAAAGGTTGAAAAGTGGGGGGGCCAAGGGAAAATTTAACACCCATCACAAACGATTTTGAAAAAAACTATATTGTTTTGCAAAAAAGTTGAGGGGCCAAGGCCCCCCGGCCCCCCCTTCATCGGAGGCCCTGACCTGAAGCGTCGAAGTCAGCTTGAATAGCCAAACGTACCGAGAATTTGACAGGGTTGCTTTGGGTAGTCCTTTTGGTCCAATATCTTCTTTAACTTTCATGAAACAGACCAAATTAAAAAACCAACGACATTTTTCTGATATGTCATTGACATATTCATCATTTTTGGCTCAGAGCAGGCATGTGAGTGTTTCCAAGAAAGACTTCATACTTTGCATCCCGCTCTCAAAAAGAAAAAAAGAACTCCTTGGGCTTTCTGGTGAAGGATGAGCTTTTTTGTCAAAACAGAGTGCTAGCTTTCTAATCAGTGTTCATAGGGAGTCAACGTTTTTCGAGAAACATATATTATTTGAAAATCCATTTGTCCATAAAAGAGGACAATCTGTCTGTTTAAAACCCTAGTGCCCAGGGCACCGAGCTTAAAAAAATCAAAAAAATCCTTCTGGAAAGTAGCAAACTAGAATATTATATTTAACAAGTTTTTCAAATAGAGTTGTTAATTTATTGGCTGGAAGAAAGTTTGATTGACAAAGTTTCATTAAGAACGTTTGAAACGACAACGTTTGGAATTCAATAATAAAAATGCCATAACCTGTTTCTCTTTTTTCACTGTAAAGCCACATGTGGTCTGTAGTTCTAAGGTTGAATTCCCTCCAACAAGAAAATTAAATCGTTGGTCAGTGATAGGTCAATAGAATAAAACAGGTCAAGGACGTAGGAAGCATCTGGAAAGAGAGGGGACAGAGGGGTTTGAGGGCACCTTGACCACACACTTTTTTCTAAGAGCCACACCCTATGCTACTAAAATTTTCTGGAATAAGGAAAGTGAAATTTAGAACTGAACAGATAATATTCAGGGCCATGAAAATGTCATGCAGTCCCTCAAAGCCGTCTCAGTAGACATCAGACAGTAGATATTTTGAGCTGTCTCATTATATGGTTTTGAAAGTGCCTCGCTGTTGCAGTAGCCGTGGATGCATGCCAGTTTTCATTATTTAGCTTGAGTCCAACCAACTGTATTTCGCTGATGTGCGTTTTGGTCTTATAAATGAAATATTTACGCATAGACTTTTCCAACAAGGTATAAAACTGGGAAATTGGCTTACTGGTTTCGGTACTCCCCGGCTCCCTGATTCCCCGGTTCCCCGATTCCCCGATTCCCTATTCTCTGTTTTAGTAATAGCCTCTGCTTTTCCGTGCTATCTTCAAATTTTTTAACATTGACAAATTTTATTTTTTTACTTTAAAGGCTTTGAAAAAAGAGAATATTTCCCAACATACTACTAAAAGCTTTTTCGTCTGACACTCCTCAAAGTATAAAACGTCAGAAAAATAAAAAATTTTGGTATTATGTTGTGAAATGTTTGTTTTTTCAAAGCCATCTTCAAGTTCAGTAACGCCATGAAATTGTTCACATTTTTTCTTTTCCATGATGTTTTGTATTTTGTTAAATTTTTGATGATATATATTAATTTTAAAAAAATTTTATAGGACACTGAAAGAGAGCTGGCAAATCATTTGAACAAAAAGTATTCTGGTTTGATAGCAGCCATTGAAACTGTTTCAAAAGAAGACTTGGACTTAGTATGTTATCCGTTTTTCATAGGATGAGATAAAGTATAATTCAACTTGTTAGAATCTGAATTCTAAATTCCTGCTAGGGCTGGTCTCGCTAATAACTGCAGCCAAATGTTTTATGTTTATTTGAAAAGAAAAAAGTTGTATTGATCCATAGAATGATATAAAAATTTACTAATATAACAAGTTAATGTTGTAAATTTATTTGCCCAGGCCAATCATCTAACTGGACTGAAAAGAAATTACATCAAGATCTCATTTTTCAATGTGAATGATTTAATCAAAGTCAAAAGGTATGCTGTTTTTAACCGAACTTTTCAGTGGTTTACATAACTGACAATTGCAGTGCCTTAAGCATTGGCAAGTGCGGTAGTTTTGTTACCCCCCTTATAGGGTGGATTTTTTAAAAAACTTGACCAAATTCAATGGATTTTGTCAATATACTAATTACAGAGAGATCGCTGTCCCTCGTTCTTGCTGGTAAATATGACTGACTGGAATTACCCAAAATTCTGATAGCACTAGAACGCAGAAATTTGTTGCAAAACCAACATCAAAGCGCAACCATCTTCATTGTAATAAATGCAACAGTTTTGTTATTCTTTTTGCCTTTTCAATGTATTCGAATTCAATATTTGGCCGAATTTGTTTTGGTTTAGTATGCCATAATAGTTGCATCTTTCCAGGGTAATTTTGATAATCTACGCCTCTAGATTGTTTTCAATGTATTTCGTAGAGATGTCATGGGTATGGTTCGGAAGAACAGGGATCACCAAAAGGCCCAAGCAACGTATGCTATGTTCATGGGCGATAACGAGGACCAGCAGGAGGCGAAAAGGCTGTCAAACCAGCTAGAAAATATCATTGATATCAGGTTAAATTTAATAATATACCCGTTAAGATATCCTGCAATTGATACAGTTTTTATGATATGTCTTATATTATTCAAATAAGTCTTAAACAGTTTGAAATTCACGATCGATCACAAAGGTTTGGAAAGAATTAGAATTAATGCTAGATTTTAGTTGAAGCTCGGCCAATTTCTTCGCGAGATATTGGACTCTTACACAAATACCTTCTCGTTTTCCTAAAAAAAGATTAATTTACTTTTTCAGAGAATACGATGTACCATATCATGTGCGTGTTTCCATTGATCTCAAAATCAACGTTGTAAGTGACTTGCCCAAAGCGTATTTTGTGTCTTCCATAAGTTTACATTTGATAGGATCCATTGATTACTTTTGAAATGTTTAATTCGATGCATTCCCTGCAAAATACTGTCGAGCAAAGCCCCCACAATGGATGCAGAAGAAGGTATAATTTACCATTGATGACCTTCTTGATGTGAATGACAGTTATCTTTTTTGTACCTCTAACTGATTTTTTGGTAAAGCTTAGAAAGATTCTGCAGATCTTCACAGGTCTGAAAATAAACTTTGGTAAATGTAGCCATGATTATAATTTCTAATTCCTGTAAAGTTTATTGTATTCATAATGACCTCTGTTTAAAAATGCACCTTTTGGGGCATTAAGGCCGAGTGGCTGTCTCATACATTGCTGCTGCTACTTCTAGGGCCATTGGTACGACGTGAAAGTGAAAGGAATCACGTATGTCGACATCAAGCAACGGACCGATCTTCTTCACAGGCCTGTATGTCAGCTATTTACATTTTCTTAGACCTTTTCCGTGTGGATAAGATGTCCCTATTGTAACAGATTGGGTTGCATTCTTTCATTCACGTTTATTTTGAAGATGACTCTTATCCTTTTCCGCTTTGTTAATGCTGCCAGTTGTTCCTTTGATGTTTCTCTTGGCATTTGATTCTAGGACCCTGTGGTTTGTGCATTCGATATTGAAACTACGAAGCTACCTTTAAAGTTTCCAGATTCGTCAATCGATTCGATCATGATGATCTCATACATGATTGATGGGCAGGTTTGTCTATTCTTTTTGCTTATATTTACCTTCGTTTCACTAATCTATGAGAATCTTGATTTTTTCATCGACTCAATTATTAGATTCCCTAAGATGAAATTTCTCAGGTGGTACCAATTTGATATCTTTAAGTGGAATGAGATGTTTTCCATTCACCAGAAGGTAGGGGCTTATTCAATATGTTTTGATTTTGCCATTACAAACAGGGATATCTGATTACAAACAGAGAGATCGTCTCCCAAGATATCGAAGATTTTGAGTACACCCCAAGACCAGAATTCGAGGGTCCAATCATTGTGTTCAACGAACCAAATGAGGTCAGTTCATGTGAATTCCTTTCTTTCTTTCTTTCAAAATCATTTTTTGCTCCAGTTGCAACTTTTTTCAATAATAATGATGCTGCCTATACTCGATACTTGAGAGAAAAACAAACCAAAAAGTAATCTTGTTTTTGTCCTGAGTAGACATAATTATGGAGTGTTTCATAGATGTGATTTAGTCGAAATTTACCATTGCCTTCTCAATTTACCATTGCCTACTCAATTTACCATTGCCTACTCAATTTATTTTGAATGCATGATGCGTCAGTTTCTAAATTTCGCAATCTCTAGGAGTCCCTGCTAAGAAAGTTCTTTGACCACATGGTTGAAGTGAAACCAAACATCTTTGTGACGTACAATGGAGATTTCTTTGACTGGTAAGTCACTTCTCTTCAAGCGATGTCTAGTCTTAATACATTCCTTGCTATATATTCATGCATCTTTCAGTAAAATATTCCAGTTTCACATTTCATAACCAGCTGTAGCACACATTTCTGCTTCCTCTTCCTCAACAACAGCAATAGTTTAGATCCCTAAAGGCTTTTTCTGCCGCGTGCATTTCAATGCCTAGTTGCACGTTTTACCAACGTAAGTTTTTTTATAAAGATTACCATTTCAAATTATTTTATTGTGCTACAAATTTCAAAAAGTGCATAAAAGCAGAAACATAACATATAATGCAGAGGCACGTTTCGTGTGACACTCCTCAGAGTATAAAACATTTGATAATGATCAAGAGAAAAGAGAAATCAATATTGAAATGCTGACCAAAAGTGACGGGAGAGAAAATTGGTGGCTTTTGAAGAAAAGCAAGCCAACCATATTTACGAATAGTACTTTATCTGTTAATTCATGTAAAAAAGTTGTCGCTGTTTTCGAACATCCCGCTTACTTATATATGATGATATCTGCTAAGGTTTGCCACCGACCGGCGAGTAAAGTATGGAATTGTTGATAAATATCGTAGATAATTTGACTATGAATAAGCCTGGTTAATGGATAGAGCCAAACATTTAGATAATATTCACATAAAAGGAACTTTGCTACATGGCAATCTTACCTTTAATCTTTTGCTGCAGTATATCGAAGTATATTGTCAATTGGCTTTGAAGAGTATTTCGAATAGTGTACAATTTGATGGATTGAGGATGTGATGAATATGCTGTCTAGAAACCTTTTAGAGAGCAGAAGCTACATGCTTGATAGGAAAATCCAATGTATTGCAATCTGAATTTGCAATTAAAAACCTGAACACAGAAAAACCAGGTTAAGATATCGTTCTTTGAAGCAAAAATTGTTGTTCATTTTGGTGTGTAATTTTGTTTGATACCATAAGAACTAAGACAGTTTGCCCTTTTTACGTGTTGGCGAATCTTTTAGTGTTCTTTATATCCACTTTTGTCGGATGGATATTTGGGTTATCGTAGTCCTAGTCAACAAGGCGTCACAAAAAACAATGTAAGATTTGTGCTTTTGTCCTTGAACTTACTAACAATCTTGAAGTCAATGCTTTTCAACTGACAGCATGGTACAAAAATACCCCTTTTATTTATTATTCAAATACATTTCCTTTTTTATTTAATGTTTCAAATATTACACCAAATCACTTTTATTTAAGGCCGTTTGTTGAAGCAAGAGCCAAAGTTCATAACATGGAAATGGAGAAAGAAATAGGTAATGTTTAGAAAATTCCCTAGCCTAACAGGTGATGAAATTGAAGCTTGCAAGAAGTAGGGCAGTTATAATGACCAAGTCAGTGTTACTCGGGCAAAGACTATTTACCCTCCTATCTACGGAAAGTTAAAAGGGAAAGTGACAATTCAAGTACACAAGTAATACCAGTTGATTAATACAGTATCATAAAAAGTAAGAGTAATATGCTGCTAATATGATACAAAGATCTGCACGATTCTTTTAATAAATAGTTAAGCAAAGTAGAGTTGTAAAGTAGTTGAAATTTCTCCAGAGAGCTACAAGTCACTTGTGGAATTCGAAAATTGTTAACAGAAGCTGTACAAAAGGGACAAAAATTGAAACGAACTTCAAGATTGGGGGGGGGGGGGATAGCACTGATAATTGATATTATCAAAAGCATGATCATACAAATTTAGCAATTATATTTTGTTCATTTTAACAAAACTGGTTTTAGTTTATATTTGTTTTTGTTCAATAGGAAGATTGTTCAAAATTATTGATTCTTGATAATGATGCTTATATCGTCATCAGCGAGAGAAAAAGGTTCTTGTTGATATGTCCGTTTTGAGGAAGTTTTGGTTTTGTAAGTCAAATTTGATTAACACCCTAGCTCTTGTCTTTTAATTATTATTTTAGGTTTTCAACCAGATACACAAGGAGAATACAAATCAAGACATGCTATTCACATGGACGCAATCAGGTAATCTCCAAATAAGCTTCCCCGTCAAATAATTCCCAAAAGGTTATTCATTTGCTGTACTTCTGCGCTATATTCTATTGATGACCTGCTAGAAATCTTTCGGGATTATTCTAATTCGTATGTGCAATTTATGAATAATGAATCGGCGATGATTGATGAAATCTATAATGTTTGAATTTGAGCTACTATTGCTAAATAAACAGAAAGTTACAGATCAGATACAATCAAACTCAGTGGGTCGCAACTCTATCAACTCTATCTGCTTCGACAAGCCAATTTAGCAGAAGTGTTAGCATGTAGAATTAGGTTGAGCCAACTCGCAATAAACTGTTTTTTCTTCAATTTTTGTTGCTACAGATGGGTGAAAAGAGATAGTTACTTGCCTGTGGGGAGCCAAGGTCTCAAAGCTGTCACCAAGGTAATTCATCGTTTCTCTAAAAGGCATTATGATTTATTGCATATTTAAACTATTAGTTCGATAAATGTTTACCTGTTTTAAAGTTGTATCAGATTTGTTGAGCTCGGTGTCTTTGCAATTAGAGTCCTTGTACACAATAGCCTTTTGTTGTAAAAAGGCTATTTCCACAAATTGCCCTAATGCTTTGGCAATGTTTTTTGCAGTTTTTAATTGATTTATAAAAATTTTCCAGGCAAAGCTGAGGTATGATCCAGTACAACTGGATCCAGAAGATATGTGTAGAATGGCCAGTGAAGAACCAAGAGTAAGATTATCTTTTCTGTGATGTATTCGTCTTCCCTTGTAAGCAAAGTTTCCCTTCCGAATTTTTCTTTACAAAGACGTCAGTACTTTGGCATCATTAAACCAGCCATTAGGCTTTATTCTAATTTATTTGAGAGCGGGATGGACTCTAAATACGCCTTTGAATATAGCTCTGTTGACTAACTTAATCAAAAGGTTACTAGTGGCATTTTGGCCACTGCCTGCTAGCTGTTTTTCGTATTACAAGACCCTTACTTTTCTTTACTTTCTTTTCTGGATACTTTAATCAATGGGTATCAATCATATAAAAGATTATGCTCTCCAATAGAAGTTGATTTTTCTACTTCAGAGCAGGTCTCTTGGCCAAAGAAGGGGAGTAAAAACAAAACTCAAGCGAAACGCCTCTTTCATATTTCCGTTGATTATTTATGAGGAAGATGCTTATGGTTATATACCAAATTTTATGTCATCGTTATACGTAGACGATAAGATCTTGCGATCTCACCGATCTTTGCTACGCCTTTTGTTTTCTGTTATTTGCTGAGACGTTGGTTTATCACATTCTTTTTCATATAAGTTTGTCATGATTGTCAAGTTCGTCTTCTTATTTGTTTTTACATGATTTTAAAGAATACTCAATTAATCTGCTTGTATTCAGGTCCTTTCGAACTATTCAGTTTCTGATGCTGTGGCAACCTATTACCTCTATATGCAATATGTGCACCCCTTCATATTTGCCCTTTGCACCATCATTCCAATGGAACCAGATGAGGTAATTTTAATATCTGTTTTTTAAATTTCCAAAAGTGCAGTCTGTTTTTTTATCAACTTAACTGATCATCTACCATGAGACTCAGCGATATATTTTTCTAAAATATTTGCAAGAATATTTTCTATGGTATCTAGGAATTTTGAAGATGTAGTCATTTTTATTTATGATATAAATCCACTTGTCACTTGCCCCCTAGTGATGTAAATTATTTGCAATGAAAATCGTTTTTTAAAGGTCTTGCGGAAAGGATCAGGCTCGTTATGTGAGACATTGCTGATGGTACAAGCGTTCCATGCCAATATCATTTTCCCAAACAAACAGGAACAGGTACGCTTTTTGATGCAAAGTTTCATTGTTACACTCACTGAAATTGCAATTTGGCAAATTTTTTATTTTTGCAATCAAATCGCCCACCTCGTACAGTACACTAAAAACTGTTTTTCTCTAGGCATTGAATAAGTTCACGAGTGATGGGCATCTTCTTGAAAGCGAAACATATGTCGGTGGTCACGTGGAAGCTCTAGAATCTGGCGTTTTCAGAAGTGACATTCCTTGCAGATTTAGGCTGGTATGTTTTAAAACCTATGCTTCCCAGATTCCGGTGTTAAAAGAGAAATTGTGCAATATAACTGGCTATCGAAAATTGTTTGCATATTTTGTTTTCCTTTGTCATTTTTAAATTCTGTTTTTATATGTGTGAAGGGGTTGTTGCTTCTGTTGCCTTTTGGTTGAATTTGTTTTTTTAATAGTCGAAATAAGTTGTCATGCTTCATTGAACTGAAAAGGCTTGCGAAAGAATTAAGATTTTCATCGGTGTCCATTTGCATCAGTGACCTTTTGCAGGGGACCTCATTTAAACCATCTATAAAATAATAGAAGAGTATGCACCTAACCTCGATAGATCACAATGGTTTTTGTCTCAACATTTTGATAAACTTCTAGGCTCTTTTTTATAGGTATACCTTACCTCGATAGATCACAATGGTTTTTGTCTCAAGATTTTGATAAACTTCTAGGCTCTTTTTTATAAGTGCCCCTAACCTTGATAGATCACAATGGTTTTTGTCTCAAGATTTTGATAAACTTCTAGGCTCTTTTTTATAAGTGCCCCTAACCTCGATAGATCACAATGGTTTTTGTCTAAAGATTTTGATAAACTTCTAGGCTCTTTTTTATAAGTGCCCCTAACCTCGATAGATCACAATGGTTTTTGTCTTAAGATTTTGATAAACTTCTAGGCTCTTTTTTATAGGTGCCCCTAACCTTGATAGATCACAATGGTTTTTGTCTTAAGATTTTGATAAACTTCTAGGCTCTTTTTTATAGGTGCCTCTAACCTCGATAGATCACAATAGTTTTTGTCTTAAGATTTTGATAAACTTCTAGGCTCTTTTTTATAGGTGCCTCTAACCTTGATAGATCACAATAGTTTTTGTCTTAAGATTTTGATAAACTTCTAGGCTCTTTTTTATAAGTGCCCCTAACCTCGATAGATCACAATGGTTTTTGTCTTAAGATTTTGATAAACTTCTAGGCTCTTTTTTATAGGTGCCCCTAACCTTGATAGATCACAATGGTTTTTGTCTTAAGATTTTGATAAACTTCTAGGCTCTTTTTTATAGGTGCCCCTAACCTCGATAGATCACAATGGTTTTTGTCTCAAGATTTTGATAAACTTCTAGGCTCTTTTTTATAGGTGCCCCTAACCTCGATAGATCACAATGGTTTTTGTCTCAAGATTTTGATAAACTTCTAGGCTCTTTTTTATAGGTGCCTCTAACCTCGATAGATCACAATGGTTTTTGTCTCAAGATTTTGATAAACTTCTAGGCTCTTTTTTATAGGTGCCCCTAACCTTGATAGATCACAATGGTTTTTGTCTTAAGATTTTGATAAACTTCTAGGCTCTTTTTTATAGGTGCCCCTAACCTCGATAGATCACAATGGTTTTTGTCTTAAGATTTTGATAAACTTCTAGGCTCTTTTTTATAGGTGCCCCTAACCTCGATAGATCAAAATGGTTTTTGTCTTAAGATTTGATAAACTTCTAGGCTCTTTTTTATAGGTGCCCCTAACCTTGATAGATCACAATGGTTTTTGTCTTAAGATTTTGATAAACTTCTAGGCTCTTTTTTATAGGTGCCCAAGGCTTTCGACATGTTGATAGAATCGGTTGCAGATACGTTGCAGGACACAATCGAAAGGGAAGAGAAAGTGCCCCTAGAACAAGTCACAAACTTTGATGATGTAAGTTTTCAATTTCTGAATATCTCAGCTACTTTTGTAGTCTAGGTGGATTTCGACTGTTCTCCAGACAGTAGGCGTAAAATTATTTGTTAGAGAATTACTTCCCTTTTGTTTATATTCCAACTGAAGTTTTTTTCGTCAGAGAACGCTCTACGTTCCACTCCATGCACTTTCATTATGAATTCCGTACTTCTGTTCTCTCACTAGTGGCCCAGACTAATACCATGTTTGTCAGAAACAAATTCCATTGTTTTGAATATTTCTTTAGGCACTGGCGTTCCTATTGTATTTTCTTGTACATGTTTATTAGGTTTTCTGGGTTTTTAAGTTTTTATGTTTTTGCATTTGCGTATTTTTTAATTCCAATTTAGTAATTGTGACAGCTCCACTGCAACTTTTTTTGCAGGTCTGTGCCGATTTGAAAAGAAAGCTTGGCGAGTTGCGTGATACTCCTGCCCGTCTCGAAAACCCCATGATTTACCACTTAGATGTAGCTGCAATGTATCCAAATATCATTTTGACAAATCGTTTGCAGGTTAGACTTTTTGTCTTCTTTTCTTTTTCTTTCCCTCTTTGTTTTTTTTATCCTTTGCTCATCCTTATTTTGCTGTAGGTATCTCCAGTTTTCTCTGTGCCCCTGTCCCTGATTTGCCTCTGAGTTTACCTTTCTCTCTGTCCCTGTCTTTTCCATCTTTCTTTCTTGTCTCTTTTTGTTCTCTTTCCTCTCTGTCTCGCAATCCTTTCATTTTCCAATACTTGTAGTGAATACTTGTAGTGAATACTTGTGTTTTACTCATAGGAGCGGATTCCTTTTATCTTTTAGCCTCCTGCTATGGTTGATGAGGTGATATGTGCTTCGTGTGATTTCAATCGACCAGGTGCAAAATGCCAAAGGGCTATGGATTGGATGTGGAGGGGCGATTTCTGTACGTAAATTTACTCAGATTTTTTAAGTTACTCTTAAACCAACGCTTACTTCCAAGGAATGTCTTCACGTTGTATTTGAGCTAATAACTGCGTCCGTTACTTCCTCAGCGCCGGCATCATATAATGAGTACCAAAACATCAAGCAGCAGTTGGAAGTTGAAACAGTTGCAGGGGATAATCCTGGAGATCCTCCAAGGCCTTTTCATTCTTTGCCACCGCAAGAGCAGGCGAGGATGGGCAAAAAACGGCTTGCAGGTCGGTTCTCGTAGCTTGTGACTCTCGGATTTCATTTTGTTCTTCGCATTAAATAATTTATTCTTCGTAAAAAATCACATTGTCGTTTCAATTTACCTGATAATTTACTTTATGCTGTAGTTTATCAATGCATCCTCTTTGTTTCTTACGTAGATTATTGTCATAAGGCTTACAAAAAGACAAAAGTTATCAGAGAGGAGAAGAGAAAGACTATAATTTGCCAAAGAGAAAATTCCTTCTATGTTGATACTGTGAGAGCTTTTCGGGATAGAAGATATGAATTCAAGGGTCTTTTGAAGGTAAATTTCGTTAATTTTTCTTGTAATTCAAATCTTGATTTTGCTTAAAAGCTGAACTCTTTCTTTTGTGGTACCTGATGGTTTAATTCTCTTTGAGCTTTTAGAATCGCTATTTTCAAAGTTAAATGTGACATGAAATTATTAAAGAAACAAAATGAGCTGTATCAAATCTAATTTTAATCATTACAGGTTTGGAAGAAGAAACTTGGAGCTGCTGTAGAGAAAGGAGATCCTGCAGAAATAAAATAGTAATTTCATTCCTCAAATACTATGACTTCACACTCTTGTTGCTTCGATAATGCTACTTTATTTCAAGGCCATTGTCTTTCATTATGATTTGGTGACACCCGTCTACGTATGTTTTCATTTGGATGTATTTTTAAAATGACGTCATCTCCCGTCCATAGTGCCAAAGGAATGGAGGTTTTGTACGACTCATTGCAGCTGGCTCACAAGTGTATCCTAAACTCCTTTTATGGTTACGTAATGAGAAAAGGGTAGGTCTCTTCCTTTTGATCCATCTTTCAATGGATATGAAAATTTTCCTTGTATAAATTTTGAAGAAGTAAGAAGGCTAGCTTTGAAACTAACAGTTTTTCAAATGAAGTACAACGATTGATTTTGCGTCAGTTGTTTGATGATCGAAACGAAAATTCTGATTGAAAAGTATATTTTCATACTTTTGGTTTCGGATTAACTATTTAGGTTACACAAATGAATTATTGACTAGTTAGCTGGTAATGAATGTCTCATTCATGCATGTTCCATTTTTGCATTTTCAGCTCCAGATGGTTTTCGATGGAAATGGCTGGTATCGTTTGTTACACTGGAGCTAATATAATCACGCATGCGCGAGAGATTGTAGAGCAGATTGGGTAAGTAACCTTCCTGCCATTTTAAAGCTATTCTAAGATATACCGTTAACAGATATGAATTTCATTTCATTTCCATTGCACCCCTTTTAATACAATACATTTCGATTGTACAATATATAGAGTAAGCATGTTGCATGGAATCAGACTCAAATAATTCAGGTACTTAATGTAACATAATCAAAACATTTGAACGGGCCGGTGGTACCGTGTCTCTACATTGTCTCTTTCGTCCGGCTGGAGAAGAACAATAAGGATCTCGATCTTGCTAAATAATTCAATTTTCATGGCCACAACACCGATCATATGTTCATATTTCGAAATCTTTTTTCAAGAAAGAATCAACAAAAAACCTTTAAAGCAGAATTTTGACAAACTAGCATTCTCGCTTGTTGCTGCAAAGTTTGGCATTTGGTTGGATGTAACCGAATGAATTTTTCCCCATGTCATACAAAGATCAAGCTCATGATATTATAAAATATTCCAATTGCTTTTGATAACCAGGACGTTAAGGAGTGTTCTTTTTTTGGCACAGGCGACCTTTGGAGTTGGATACTGACGGAATTTGGTGCATCCTTCCTGCAAGTTTTCCTGAAAACTATGTTGTACGTATCCCATTGTGAATCCCTTATCTGCTATCGTATCAGTTCCTTACTTTACGTTGATGATGTTGTCAAGTGCTTGAGTTCTCCATTCCCTGTTTTAGTCCTGCCAGCAGCATCCTATTGTTGTATCTGTCTTTTTTAGATAAAAACGTCAAACCCAAAAAAGCCGAAGGTCGTCGTATCATACCCAGGTGCAATGCTAAACTACATGGTTAAGGTAAGTACCAAGCAACTGTTTTTTATTTGCTTAAATTTGTCCTTAAGCGTTTTGTGTGTCTTAACTAAGATTTTTGAGATCCTGCAAAGGTTTATCGTTTTTGCAGAAATACTTTACCAACCACCAATATCACGAACTGACTGATCCTCAGAAGATGAAATATGAAGTTCAAAGCGAAAATTCCATCTTCTTTGAGGTTCGTCACCTTATTAATTATTTTCTTCTTTTATCTTGACAACTCTTTCACTGTTTGCAACTCCCTAAACTCTCTAAGAGTTCATGTTAAATTCAACAGTGTTTGAAGCTGTAACAATATCCCAGTTTGCCGTATTCACGAATAGTTTAAACCATGCAATCAAATGTTTTAGCCGAATTTCTTTTGCTTTGACTTCCATGTTATTTCCAGGTTGACGGGCCTTACAAAGCAATGATATTGCCAGCGTCAAAAGAAGAAGGCAAGAAACTAAAGAAAAGGTAACTCAGATTCGTTATTGTGCTTATTTATTTCCTGATCGTCGTCATATTTCGTTAATTATTCTGATAAAGTGATGTTGCGATATCTGTAGAAAAAACTAAATTGATAACTGCATGGGAAATGACCATTCTAAAGCTTTGCCTTAATTCAAAGATACGCCGTATTCAATGATGACGGGAGTCTTGCAGAATTGAAGGGTTTTGAAGTGAAACGTCGAGGCGAACTCCAATTGATCAAGATATTCCAGTCGTCCGTCTTCGAATCTTTTCTGAATGGAACCACGTTGCCTTCAGTTTATGAATCGGTTGCCAAGGTTGCAGACTATTGGCTTGATATTCTCTACACAAAGGTAACTGATTTTCCCGCTCCCTGTTATGTTTGCTACGTTTCTGTGTTATTCTCTCTAAATGAATCTTCATACTCGTTTGCCATTCTTTCATTCTCTCTCGCTTTGTTTTCACGTAAAATCGCTATTTTCAACGCTGTCGTTCGCTCATTTTCAAAACAGGCACAGAATCTTCCTGACACCGAACTGTTTGAACTAATTTCTGAAAATCGCAGCATGTCTCGTACCCTTGAAGAATATGGATCTCAAAAGTCCACATCGATCAGTACTGCAAAAAGGCTTGCTGAATTTCTCGGGGATCAAATGGTGAAAGACAAAGGCCTTAGTTGCCGGTTTATTATTTCAAGGAAGCCGGAAGGTGCCCCGGTTACAGAAAGAGCGATTCCACTGGCAATTTTCCAAACTGAAGATAGCATCAAAAAGCATTACCTGAAGAAGTGGCTGAAAAGTGCGACGGATTTCGACATTCGGTCAATTTTGGATTGGGACTACTACATAGAGCGACTGAATAGTTGCATACAGAAAATCATCACCATACCAGCTGCATTGCAGGGAGTAAGTTTGTCGGGTCTTTCTTATTGTATTTTAAAGGCATTGAGTCATGGTAAATAGGCTTTCTCTATAGGGGGTCATTTGGTTTCGGCGTGATCGCTGCTGTTTCATGTGATATTGGCATCCGTTGTTGACAACTTGCTATTGATGGAAACTGTTATGTTAATCAGTACAAGGTGAGTTCATGTGACCAGTTCAAGGTCAACCAATAGCATCGCAGTCATGGAAATCATGACTCAGCGGATTTTGGCAATTTGGGTGTACCCAGTCTATTTATCATGACTCAATGCCTTTACCAAACCTTATTTATCGTGATTCCTGTAAGCAATTTATCGAGTTATTTGTGTCAAGAATGGCGATAATCGGAATGTTTTTCGCCGTAAAAACATATCTTATGGGGTAGAAAAGGCATTTTAAATTGCCAAACCGAGTTTCACCGTATGCGACCATCAGGCATCGGAATATATCGCAATGTTTCCCTCTAATTGAAAAAGAGAAATTTTTAAATGGGGTAACAAACTATGATACATCCATAACTTTGTCTTTTTTCCCAGGTGACAAACCCAGTGCCGCGGTGTCGTCATCCAGACTGGCTTCATAAAAAGCTGTTAGAGAAGAACGATGTTTTTAGACAGCACAAGATAAACGATATGTTCCTCCCAGCCAAAAAGGTAAACTTAGTTACCTTTCTAGGCGATGATTTGAATAAGCCTTCTTGCTACCCACAAACAATTTTTGTCACTCTTTCTGACAACCTCCTTTGTTTGATGAATGTTCCTTTAGCTATGTCACATGTATTTATTGCCAAATTTAAAGGAAAACTCATTTCCTTTGCAGGATCCAGCAGGCGTCCCAATAAACCCTGCAGGTAACCAGGATTCAGTTAATGACATCGAAGACTTTGGATCACAAAAAAGACCACGCAGTTCCCCCAATGTTCCTATATCAACTAAGAGACGAAAAATTGATGGCAAGAGAAGCGTCGATTCTGAATTTCACGAAGACGACCTTATTAAACACTGGAAAGTTGTCTTGGGCGATCCCCCTAAACAGGGCACAACCAAGGTATGAGAGCTTGATACAATTGCTCAGTCGGGTTATGACTGGTAACATCCTAAATCGAAATGTTTTGTTGGAACTCTTCAAATTACGCATATTGAACTACCAAACTGACTTTCATAGGATGAGCTGTTGGAATGGGTCAAATTTCAAAAGAAGAAATGGCGTTTTCAGTCGCATCAAAGAAAAGCAAGACAGCAGCTTGGAAAGGAGGCTGGCTACGTAGCCACCGCCCCTGGCCGAGCTCAATCGAGCGGACCTCAAGTCGGCCTCACTGGGTTCTTTAGAAGACAAGCGCAGTCTATTCTGGAATCTCCCTGGCAAATTGTTCAGGTTTATAGTTTATTCTTTAGGTTTTGTGAACCTAATTCTATCGTTGAAAAATGCAGAATAATGGTTTTTCAATGCGTTTTAATTTGGTTGTTCGATTTTAAGATGGATAATGTATATATTTCTTATATGTAACCATTTTAAATGATTTGTTATTTTATCACTCGAAAAAATGATAGACCGTATGATTTTGCTGTTGTTTTTCAGATAACAGAGGCTGACACCCCAGGGATTTTTCGCCTTTGGGCCATGATTGGGCAGGAACTGCATTCCATCAAAGTAAATGTGCCGCGAATTTTTTATGTTAACTCAAGAAAGCAAAAGGAAGGTGAAGGGGCAAGTGAGTAGCTTCTACATAGTAGTTTTCTGTTACTTTATTTAGCTACTTATTACCACCAGATACTACCAGTTACTACTTGTTGCTACTTGTTACAACGATTGATACTAAATGTTACTCTATGATTCATATTACTGTTGATGCAGCCCGCTACTCTATGTTACTTGATAGTTCTCTATGATAATGTACCTTCGATATCTTAAATTTTTCTTTATTCAGCATGGCGACGTGTTTCCAGAACACTTCCGCGCTCCAACCCATCATTCTTCCTATACGAGTATGCAGTGCCAGAAGTAGTCTTCAGAGAGCACATGAGGTACCCTTTTCTTTCTGTTTTCATATATCTGATTTGTCTCCTCTTAGATCTTTCACACCATTGCCTTCTTGTCGTTAGCTATCATGTCCCCAACATTTGGTTGGATAACGATACACCTATCCATGGGACATTAATGAAGTTGTGAGGCCTTGAATTTATGTCTTCATTTTGTCTTCTCATAACATTTTCTTTTGCATAATACTTGTAACCTGTCCTCAATTTTTACTTCCAAAGTCTAGTTTTTTGATTACAACATCTCTTTCTCCTTAGCGAACTGTCCGCAGATTTGTCTTCGCCCGATATCGAGGGAATATATGAAACTCAGGTAGTTCTGTTGTTTTTGCCTTAGTTTTTTCTCATCAATTCTATCTTGTCTTATTCCTTGTTTTTGTAATTATGATTGACATTTCCTTTCCACTAGGTGCCGCTCAATGTTCGTGCAATCATTCGCCTCGGATGTGCTTGTCAGGTCAACAGGATCACCGCAAAAGCTTTCGCTGGCAAAGTCAGTTGCCTGTTCTTTTAACTTTTCCTTTTAATTTTAAATATTTACATTGTAGAATTTTGTGTTGAGCCTATGTGTATGTATGCGTTTGCTTTTAATGGTGATTTTGCCTTTCAATTTTTTAGGAGCTAGAGATTTTTGACTTGGACCAGCTTGAGTTTAAGACCCTTGCGGAGGTGGATTACCTTGTGAAATCGCAAATCAAGCATATTTATTTCTATCACTGTCAGCTGTAAGTACGAAAAAATAATGTTTGCTATTTCTTTATTCTAATCTAGATATTATCATTACTCATATTCTTGTAATACAACTTGCTTTAAGCATGATGCGATTAAAACAGTTTTGACATTTTGTGAAACCTTTGCCGTTATCTTTGAGGGATTAAACAATAACTCGCAATAATTTGAAACGAATATTCCTCTAAATTTTAAATTTTTCCTTCCCAGAGAAAATCGAGCTGTGTTTTGTCTTTTCTTTCCACCAACCCAAAAGGTATTTTATTTGATGTTTTCTGCTTAATTTTTAAATATTTAAGAGCAAAACACGATCTTTGTATGGGATATTTTACTTTGATTAAACAACTAATAACACTTTCAACAAATTTCGACAGGAATATCATGTGCACTAATCATGTCTTTGATCCAGCAAGTCAAAATGCAGATTTCGTTAATTCTGCATCGTCTATTGGTATTTGGAACACTTTTAGTGAACAGTTTTCTGTGACAATCTGCTATTCATGGTTTATGATAATGCAATGCACCACTCAAGACGAACATCGCCAATATATTGTGTTTTGCTGAATGTGAACATTTTTTTGCTGTACAGGACTGGAAAATAGCTTTGTAAAAAGCAAACTTTTCTTAACATACTAAAAGCCTTTCGCCTGACACTCCTCAGAATATAAAACGTCAGAATAAGGATCCGAACGAACAAAATGGAAAATTGTATCGCTGAATCTCGTTTATTGCTTTCCAGGCGTCTGTATTTGTCCTCAACACCGTAAGAAGCAACCAGATGCCAAATTTGCAGTCATTGTATCAGGCAGAAAGATCTCTTAAGTAAGTTTTTTCTTTCTATTTCTTGTTGGATTATGGCAGTGTTCTTCAAGGCACAAATTGACATGAAAAAGCTGCTAATTGCGCGTATTAAGTATGTCCGCTTCTTTGTATACGACATAAATGTGTTCAATTTGAATCTCTTTTTTTAAAAGGATGCAAGAGGCTGAGGATCAAAACGAGGTCTTCCATGGCCCTGCAGAGGCATACTCCTTTGAAGTTAGAGTAGAAACAAATTCAAAACTGGTAAGAGTATGTTTGTTTGCTAATAGTTGTTGGAAATGTTTATGCCTTTTTAAGGTCGAAACTATGACCATCTTTTTCGTTCTTCTAGCTTCATCGAGCGATTCACCGTGCGCTTATTGGATACAAAGAAGAAAAACGTGGACCAACGATGCTGCTTATTCAATCACCGTTAGGTACACACTGTTCTAGTTTTAAAACCTTGCCCAAATTTGACTGAATTCCTCATTTATAGAAAACTAACGTATTTTATGTTAAGTTGTTATTCAAAATGCATCGATTTTGTATTGGAAAGTGGTAGAGAGAATTGTCAAAAACCTCCAGCTGTCATATTTCATACTTCGGTCAATGTTGGTTTTCTTTGTGTTTAACAGGGGCTGTTATGAATTTGACTTTTCGCGTAAAGGTTTCCAAGATGTTCCTTCCACCTTAGCTGGAGTGCATTATTTTAATATCATGCATGCAAGACTTTAATCTTGTCCTTGGTATATGGCTTTCGAAAACATTGCAATACGCAGGGGCATTTCTGTAATTTTTACCAGTATGCGATACATTTACCGAAAAAAGTAGAACTTGAAGGGGGAAATAATTCAAAACAATAATTATCCGCTTCCACTTCCCTGTTTGCTACACTCACAGCACTGTTAAATTGCGCTTCAAATCCCATATAACGAAAAGAATAGACACAATATTTTGCGACTGGAATTTCACAATGATAGCGTGATCATTGCTAAGAAATCTTGTTTGCGAAATATCCTAATTGACATGTTCTTTTTTAGAATGCTTGTACAATTGGTTACTGTACTAAAAACATTACTCATGCATTAATCTCGAATCTCGATCATACCATCAACGATTGTTTACATATGCAAAGCATCTTCTAAGCTCACTCTGACTTGGGTTTACGTCGCAATTTTTTGTTTATTATTAAGCCGTTCCTTCAAACTTCATTCTGCCTTTTCTCACGGAACATTTTCATTCCATTAAAGATCAAGAACACGTTAAGTCTCTCATTCCAAGTGTGTCTGAATTTCCTGTCGTCGAAATGCCACCCCCAGAAAGGTAATTCTTTGTTAACTTTAACAGATAACAATGAACATTATTTTTTGCAATTTTGTTGGTTTTGAAACAACAAATAGCGCCTCCACCGCGTATAGTTCAGTACATTTTTTAATCTTGTTCCAGTTAAATTCCTGAACCACGTTCATTCTCTTTAGTGACGCAAATCAATTCACGGCTTTGGATTGGCAGAGACAAGCTGCAAAGAAAATCATGCGGGCTTTTTTTGAGGTTGATCGATGGATCGAGGTAAATGATTTATCTGGTATTCAAAAATTTACATTATTTCCTTTATTGTTAGACTTTCGTATAAAAACTTTGTCGTTATTTTCAGTTTCAAAACTTGCGTATTTTTGCAGATGCAATTAGACAACGCGAGGTATTTCCATATTCCTATTGGCAATATTCCTCCAGTTGACCCAACATTGTTTGCGTCAGACATTTTCTTTGCAAGAAATCTGCAGAAGAACAGCCATCTTATGTGGATCACTCCGACAGAGCGGCCCGACCTTGGCGGCAAAGAAGAGGACGATAACAGGTTCGCTTGCCTTGCCAATCAGTAACCAGTCTTTTAGTGATCGCAATCAGCAATCGTGGTACTTGCTTTTAAAATTCACTAGTTTAATGCGATAGTCATGCTTGAACATTTTTAGCTCACAAAACCTCTTTTACGAAGTGAAGAAACTAAGCGATGTTAAAATCTAAATAACAAGAACTTATGTTCGTCGAATGCTTTTTAGTACCAAGAATTTTGAGATTAGCCTGACTTCCCATTATCAGGTTGGTGACTGAATTCGACGAAGGGGGAAGAAGTATGGAAGTGAACCATCCCTGCTGTTATCCGACAATATGTGTTGAAATCTCAGTCGACGGTTTAGCAGTCAATACTGTCATCCAAGTAAGTTTATTTTTCTGCCATTTTGCTTTGCTCTTCGGCAATCTGCATCAGCTCGCCAATCTCTACACCTGACTTTTTAAAACATACTTTTGTTATCATCTGGTTTGAATAAAAGTGTTTAGTTGCTAGTTGATACCTTCTTTTTTCTTGAAATTTCCTTGCTTTGTTTTATTGCAATTTTTTTCATCCTAGTCACACCATGTCCACGATGCAGAGGGCGGCGCAGGAACCGCTGTCAGTTTTGATTCACTGCCCCAGGTATGATGTTAAACCAATTCAAACTAGTGCTCTTGCTCTCCTCTTGCAACCAATTCATTAATTCTTGTTCCCTTTCTGTAAAAGCTTATATTGTGAACGCTTATCTTTTTAAAACGTTTTTCGAGCTATAGGCCTACTGAGAAAGTAGCTGAAAGGCAACATAGATGTTAATAGAATCGTCTTTGGTCAGTTTGAAATTGCATCACATTTTTAGGTTTAGATTATGGAAAACTGCTAATCTGTTTTGAATCTAAGGATTGCAATCTTTCCTCGTTTTCCAATTGCATTTGTGGTGCATTTGCTTGGTTTTTTGGCGTGAGCAAGTCTACAGGATGCTAAGTGCAAAGACATCGGAATGGCCAGGGGTATAGGAAGCAAGATTTTTGTAGTTTTGCTGCAGACCGTGACATGCTAGTTTCTTCAAAGCAACCTAAAAACATATCTCCACTTAACGCTTGCGTTGAGACTAGCTACCGTTAGGTCCAATGGTAAATTTTTCAATAGGACCCAAAATTGAAGCTGAATGATTTTTTGCTTAGGCCTCTCTGGAGGAGCTGATCAAAGCCGGACCGGGTGCGGTTTCGACGCTTACGAGCTATGACGAGGCAGCTTTGTGCTCCACAGCGTTCAGGTGACTCTTACTATTCCTTCTCAGAAATTTAATTTTGCAGCAGTGCTGGTTTTATTAAAGCCATGGAAGCAGTATTTATCTTTAAAAATATGTTATATGTTGTAGAGTCTTGAAAGGGCTGATTTACAACTGGCTTCACGAAGTTTCGTCCAATCAAAACCCATTGGCTGACAACCAACTCATTCATTTCTATCGGTAATCTCTTCCTTTATATTTCATTGTAACTTCGTAATCTTGAAACGTAAATTTTTGGGACATTTGGGAACACTGTTTTTGACTTTCCATAACAATTTATTAGTGAGTACACCTTGTAATCAAGTTTTAATTCGACCCTAATGCCAAGCCAAGCAAGAAGTATTTTTCCACACGCAGCCAATTGACTTTATAAAAAGACTACTGGATTTGCGCCTCATTGGCCGTTTCATTATTTTCATCTGCTTGGTGGGCAAAACCGCACTTTTCTTCCTTCTGAACCAGCGAACAATTGTTTTGTTATCTACTGGCATTGTTTGATCAGTGATAAAAGTAGCTGTATTTTCATAAAATGCTCAGTGTGAATGAAAAACTTTGGGAACTTTTCAGCTAGCCATTCGTTTTATACTAACTCTTTAATTAAACTCCGAAGAAAGGACAGTTAACTAGGTCCTGAATGGACTTTTAATAATCCTAACTGACGTGGAAACTTCACCTGGTGGGCTCCATTTTAATAAATATATCGTCTCTATTTCAGCTGGCTTCGTTGTCAGACATCTATGCTGTATGATCCAGCCCTCTGCAAAATGATCCATGGCCTTATGAAGAAGCTTTTCATGCAGGTGAGCCCAATTCTTTTTCCACTTGAGTCTGCAGCATAGTGCGCAAGAACCTGCAACTCAATCATATTGTGTTCTAACAAACGAAGTAAATATACCTATGAATTAAACTGCGGACCTAAAGATACCTCAATAGTCTCTTTTCTGCTCAAATTGCTTGTCTTGCTTAACCAACACTGTCAAACTAGAAGAAATAACTAAACATTTTTCTTTTTGATTTTCTCACATTGAAAGATATGTAAGAACAGGGACAGTTCTCACGTACGTGTTGAATTTAATTTGCACCTTCGGGTTAATGTCAAAAGGATATCTCGACAGTTGATGATGATAACTTTTTCTTGGGTGATTTAATGGCAGTTTATAGTTAGAATAACTGTAGTTAATTTTTTTATTTTTAGTTGATTGCAGAGTTCAAAAAGCTAGGCTCAACAATTGTATATGCAAATTTCAACAAGATTATACTTTGCACAAAGAAACACAAGTAAAATCTTTTTTATTTGCCCAAAAATGTTTTTAGAATTTGACTGAATTTTGTGAGTAAGTAAGTAAGTAAGTAAGTGAGTGAGTGAGTGAGTGAGTGAGTGAGTGAGTGAGTGAGTGAGTGAGTCAGTGAGTGAGTGAGTCAGTGAGTGAGTGAATGAGTGAGTGAGTGAGGGAGTGACTGAGTGAGTGAGTGAGTGAGTCAGTGAGTGAGTCAGTGAGTCAGTGAGTCAGTGAGTGAATGAGTGAGTGAGTGAGTGAGTGAGTGAGTGAGTGAGTCAGTGAGTCAGTGAGTCAGTGAGTCAGTCAGTGAGTCAGTCAGTGAGTCAGTGAGTCAGTGAGTCAGTGAGTCAGTGAGTCAGTGTGGAATGAGGAGTGAAGAGTGAGTGAGTAAATTCTGTTGATATCAATGATGATAATGATGATTATAATGTATGTTGATGTTTATCTACTTTGCAGCTGAAGTTAATAATGAATAGCCCTATAACCAGCCCATCTATTCGATGTCAGCATTTGTCATTAGAATAAATGGGCTTGTTATCAGGCTAGATATTGAACTGCTTTTTGTTTTGAAATCCAAGCATGTCGTGTCCATTTTATAAAGCTAAAAAGGGCCATAAAAAACTGCTAAATTGTTGTTTATCTTTCTCTTTTAGTGTGAAAGATGCACTTGCTTATGTCCATTTCATTCTCAAGAGTATCCAGTGCAAAGATCTTTTCCATAGTATTGACCTAGCTCCAACTGCATGCTGGGAGTATTTATACTGGATGGGTCAGGTATAACTTCTTCTCCTATGCTTTTGCAATCCTTTTTTCTTGTAATTGCGACTGATTCTGATCTTTGTCTTTGCTTCCAGAGTAACGAAACAACCTTTTTCTTTAACCTTTTCAAATCTTTAAAGATAATTCATTTATGATATCGATGTCTCTAAAAAATATGGATGAAGCAAGTAAGATTTCATAGCGATAGGGCCCACTAGATGTTTTGAAGAGTAACTTCGTTATTTTTTTCGAGGGGCAAATCACTTGAAAATGGTGTACGAGATCAATAATCACTAGTGATTAATTTGCGATTGAATCAATTTTGTGTGTGATTAATTTGATTTTTAGTGATAAAAGTGATTAATTTTTTATTAATTTGTGATTAATTTGTGATTATTTAGAAATTGAATCATAGATTCAAAAGTCCTTTCAAATAATTTCAGTGAACAGTGAACAGTTGTTGAATCGAATACCTTGCAAAAGACATTAAGGCAAATGCATGTTTTCTGTTCTGTGGGCCATCTACTTTCGTCATAAGAAATTGAATATTCATCAAATAAAGCTATCTTTCCTGAACAGTAGCATTAACAACATGAATACAAATAGACAGCGTAGAGTTGTTGAACACCGTAGAATGAAAAACAGCGTAGATTCGTTGAACAACTTGCAAAAGACATTAAGGCAAATGCACGTGCTCTGTTCTGTGGGCCGCCTACTTTCGCCATAAGAATTTGAATATGCATCAAAAATGCTATCTATCCTGAACGGTAGCATTAGCAACATGAATGCAAATAGCCTGAAGTGAAAAACAGCGTAGAGTTGTTGAACACCTTGTAAAAGACATTAAGGCAAATGCATGTTTTCTGTTTTCTGCCCCTCGTAAGTGATGTCGCTATTGCAAAATGAAACTGTCATTCCTGAAACTTTCACCGACGGCAAAAATCACAAATTCCGGAAATATGGAACTTGATTATCAAACTTTATTTGGGGAAATTATAAGAATATGACATAAATCATTTCCCATAAATGTAACAGTTGCAACTGCAACAGCCGGAACTGTCTTGATCCGCCCTTACAGCAACCAACGAGAAATAAATGAAAAATGACTGCTATCTGGTGTGGTTTTCGGTCAGATCAACTTCAGTGGCATTTGAGCAACAAAAACAGCAATGGTTGTTTCAGTGACCCCGGCAGCGTAACGAGGCCTTAATTTCTGCTCCATCGCAGGGTACAATTTGATGTTGTTTTGTTCATTTCCTCGAGCATGCTTTTGCAGATTTTCGAACGTGTTCATGAAAAGTTTGGATAAGTGTGAAAGGGACATTGCACTTCTCAATATTGCACTTTTCAATAACATATGTGAATAAACGTGGTCAAAAATTCTAATATTTGTTTTTAAGCAATATTGTGATACTTGGTGATTAAATTGATCATTTTGTTAATGTGATTAATTTGTGATCAAATTGTGATTATTCTCAATAGCGTACGTGATTTTAAGCAGTGATCTGCCTCTCGATTTTTATTTCCTTATTGCACCAGCGTTTCTTAAAGCCTACAGAACAATTTCTGGCTGTTTCGGCCTTTTTAATTCGAAACTGATAAGAAATTTTTTTACTAAAGGCGAATCACGGAGGCATAAGAGGAATAATCCCTAAAAAGTTTGTAGAAGATCCTGATGCATTTTGTGACAGTGAATCGAATGAGGATCCAAATGTGGAGGAGCTTGATGGAAGTGTGCTTGAGGATGACGTCATTGAAACAAATCCCAACGGACAAGTGAGTTTTTGTTTCGAATACGAGGGCAAAATTCCCCCCTCCCTCCATACAAAGCTTATTTTTTCTTTTAAGATTTTTGTACAAACATCGATGACCTTGAATACGTTCCCATTATTGCCTTATTTTGTTTAATTCAAAAGATTGTTTTTCGAGAGGCAGTTATGGTTAAGTTAAAGATTTTCTAATATGGTCAAGTTAAAGAGCGTTTAAATAATACAAGGTATGGGCAGAAAGACATATATAAGTCATGAGCCTTACTGATTTGATACTTGTGTCATGAGCAATATGATTTGATACTTGTGTCATGAGCCTCACTGATTTGATACTTACTGATTTCTGATTTCCTTCTGATTTAGTCTCAAGTCGAAATGAACTGGAATATCGTCAATTTCCTTCCAAAGGCAGCTTCATGTCAAGAGTTTTTTAAGGTTTGTCTTCTTTAGCCTGCAATATCTTATTAATTTCATGTTATTTTCCAATAGTTTTTTCTTTGATGTAAAGAAAAATCATAAATCTTTCTTTGATGCTTGTCGCCTGTGGCCTTCGATAACTTCTTTTCCTTCAAAGAAATTATGTTATCATGATTACAAGGCTGGATAAATTCTTTCGAAATGCTTCAGTTAAGTTGTAAAACACTTTTTCTCGTTATTGATGCTTTTCTTTTCGCAGGTTGTGATTGCGGGGCATATTCATGCGGTCTATACCAAATTGAAGGAGCAAAATGCTTTGAGAAAGTCAGATGACACTCCGTTAAGGAGGTCTGGAACCCAGGCCCAGGTACCCATAACTACCTCTTGCTCAACGTAAAAGCGTTATTTTTAACGATGCTGATGTGGTTAACGGTTGTGCAGTACCTCAATTCAAAAGTTCGTTAAAGAGAGAGCTCCTTTAAGGAGTTTGTAACCCATTATCAATCTAATTCTCACTAACACATTACTAGCCTTCAGTGGCTTAATACTTACCCATTACTAGCCAATTACTTACCCATAACTAGCCCATTACTAGCGCATTATTAACCTATTACTAGCGCATTATTAACCTATTACTAGCGCGTTACTTACCCATTACTAACCCATTATCAACTCTTTGCTAACCCATTACTAGCCCATTACTTACCCTTTGCTAACCTATTACTAGCGCGTTACTTACCCATTATTAACCCATTGCTAACCCATTACTAGTCCATTGCTAAACCATTACTAACCCATTATTAACCCATTGCTAACCCATTACTAGTCCATTGCTAAACCATTACTAACCCATTATTAACCCATTGCTAACCCATTACTAGTCCATTGCTAAACCATTACTAACCCATTATTAACCCATTGCTAACCCATTACTAGTCCATTGCTAAACCATTACTAACCCATTATTAACCCATTGCTAACCCATTACTAGTCCATTGCTAAACCATTACTAACCCATTATTAACCCATTGCTAACCCATTACTAGTCCATTGCTAAACCATTACTAACCCATTATTAACCCATTGCTAACCCATTACTAGTCCATTGCTAAACCATTACTAACCCATTATTAACCCATTGCTAACCCATTACTAGTCCATTGCTAAACCATTACTAACCCATTATTAACCCATTGCTAACCCATTACTAGTCCATTGCTAAACCATTACTAACCCATTATTAACCCATTGCTAACCCATTACTAGTCCATTGCTAACCCATTACTAGCCCGTTAATAGTCCATTACTTACCCATAACTAGCCCATTGCTAACCCATTACTAGTCCATTGCTAACCCATTACTAGCCCATTGCTAACCCATTACTAGTCCATTGCTAGCCCATTGCTAACCCATTACTAGTCCATTGCTAACCCATTACTAGTCCATTGCTAAACCATTACTAGCCCGTTAATAGTCCATTACTTACCCATTACTAACCCATTATTAATCCATTGCCAATCCATTACTAGTCCATTACTAAACCATTATTAGCCTGTAAATAGTCCATTACTTACCCATTACTAACCCATTATTAATCCATTGCCAACCCATTACTAGTCCATTACTAAACCATTATTAGCCTGTTGATAGTCCATTACTTACCCATTACTAACCCATTATTAACCCATTGTTAACCCATCACTAGCCAATTACTAGCCCATAACTAACCCATTACTAATCCATTACTAACCCATTACTAATTCATTGCCAACCTATTACTAGTCCATTACCAAACCATTATTAGCCCGTTAATAGTCCATTACTTACCCATTACTAACCCATTATTAACCCATTGTTAACCCATCACTAGCCAATTACTAGCCCATAACTAACCCATTACTAATCCATTACTAACCCATTACTAATTCATTGCCAACCTATTACTAGTCCATTACCAAACCATTATTAGCCCGTTAATAGTCCATTACTTACCCATTACTAACCCATTATTAACCCATTGTTAACCCATCACTAGCCAATTACTAGCCCATAACTAACCCATTACTAATCCATTACTAACCCATTACTAATTCATTGCCAACCTATTACTAGTCCATTACCAAACCATTATTAGCCCGTTAATAGTCCATTACTTACCCATTACTAACCCATTATTAACCCATTGTTAACCCATCACTAGCCAATTACTAGCCCATAACTAACCCATTACTAATCCATTACTAACCCATTACTAATTCATTGCCAACCTATTACTAGTCCATTACCAAACCATTATTAGCCCGTTAATAGTCCATTACTTACCCATTACTAACCCATTATTAACCCATTGTTAACCCATCACTAGCCAATTACTAGCCCATAACTAACCCATTACTAATCCATTACTAACCCATTACTAATTCATTGCCAACCTATTACTAGTCCATTACCAAACCATTATTAGCCCGTTAATAGTCCATTACTTACCCATTACTAACCCATTATTAACCCATTGGTAACCCATCACTAGCCAATTACTAGCCCATAACTAACCCATTACTAATCCATTACTTATCCATTACTGACCCATTAATAGCCCATTATTAACCCGTTACTAGCCCTTTACATGTTTCGTCCTAACCTATAACTAGACTATTTGTATCCTTTTTCTAACCTATCAGTTCACCCATGTAGCTAATCTGTTTTTCTGGGAAACCAGGGCCTGAACATTTTTAAATAATTGCAGTTTGTCTAGTGAAATATTTCAGTATTTTCTTAAATGAATTCAAAATGGTTTGATTGCAAAGGAAGACACTGAACTTTTCCTTTCTTCTACAGAAAATGGCAGAAACATCGGCCACGCCTGGCAGCGTGGAATTCGCACAGTCGCGGATAAAAAGCGAGCTTACTGAACAGCTGTTTAGGTGCTTTTCAACGATGCTTTTACTCTACTCGATTCGTCCTATATGATTTAGAAATTCTATAAGTTGTTTTAAATCTAAACAAGCTTTCATCTTAAAAGCCAATGCTTGTTATTTTGTCTAAGTCTAACATCGTCATTCAATATATTTTGCGTCTCATTAATCGGTTACTTTAGCTTCATTACGATTCTTATTTTTAGTATAACTCAAAGAATCCAACGTACTTTAAGTGGAGAAAGTGGAAAAGATGCAAGTTCTGATTTTCCTGTCTTGGCAGGCTCCTATTTGCCATTGAAAAACCCGGCATTAGAATTCGTCAAGTACGTGTGCCAGGCAAGTGATTTAAATTCCCTATTCAGCTTTTTCACTTTTCTGTTACCTTAGCTTCTCCACAACGCAACATTTCTTTGGATAAACCTTTGCTATCCACTTTCTATCGACTCAAAATGACGATGTTTTCCCTTTGCTCTAGGTTTTGTCCCTTGATGTTAACGTTAAGAGCCAAGTTACAAAATTGAGGTAATGAAAATATAATGTTAAGGATTTGAACATTAGTAGATTTAGATTTTTTTGTCAGAGATGTTGCTTCCAAATTTTTCTATCTGTGATTTCGCATTTGAAAACAATGATTTTTCCTTTCATATTTTGAAATATAATTCAATTTTGCCTTAGATTTCTTCCTTCTAATCACTTATATGCGTTTTTAATTCCCCCCTTTGTGTCAAAATAAAAATATGATGGTGCAACTAGACGCATTTTTTTTTTTTTTTACAGGAGAGATCTACTGAAACTCATCGGCGTTGGGGAATTTTCAGAAGATGCATTTTTCAAGGATCCTTGCTTATCTTTTGTTGTCCCAGAAGTAAGAATGAAACAATTTTTTCGTTTATTAAGATTCAGCATTTTCCTTAAGTTGATCTTCTTCAGTCTTGGGATACAAAATAATCTTAACGATGGGTTTAAATGTTAAATATCACATTTATTATTTTCAAAGAAATCAAGATCGCCTTTTCAAAGGATTGAGGAGGTGACAATAGTTTTCTCTGGAGATAGACTTTGCTAGTGGAAAAAAATTTCTTTCATGTCCATGATAATTACGAAGGTTATATAGCAATGAATCCATTGTTCTTTCGTTTTTCCTCATTCCTTTTTTTATTTTTTCCTCCTTTTTTTCTCTTTTCTTTTTTCATTCGTGTTTTCTTTCTTTTTTCTCTCTCTTTTTTCTTTATTCCTTTCTTTCAATTTTGACCATCTATATCTTTGTTGTCTCTTTTCTTGTGCTTATTGTTCTGCATTGCTCGACCATTTTCAGGTCATTTGCGAATACTGCAACAGCTGTCGTGATCTCGATCTCTGCAGAGATGCTTTCATCACACCCCCAAGGGGAAGCATTCCGTAAGTCTGACCTTCGCACCAGTCCACCTCGAATTTCATTTCATTGCTTATTTCTCTATTTTTTATGTTTGTTGATATAAGCTTTGATGTTTTTCCCAGTAGCTGTATCACTGTTTGTGCAAAATGTTTAGAACAAATTATAATGAAGGTTTCAGTGCTTTCGTATTCCTTTGTACAAATATTAGCCGTTCTCTCTTCATTTTAAATAAGTGATATAATAGGTCCTGTTTTGCATCTTGGCACAGAATGTTTTTCATTATTTAAGTGCCATTCAAAATTGAAAGCAAATAACTTAACGTGAAAATTGAAAGCTAACTGCTCATCTGTTAAACCTTGTATCTTTTCATGTAGCAGGTTTGAATTGTGAACGGTGAAAGCTCTTGCACAATAAAGCCTTTGTTAATTTCAGAGCGAAGATTGAGTGTCCAGATTGCCGCAACAACTACTCGATGTTCGTCATTGAAGAAGAGTTGATTGGCATCCTTTGCAAGAGGTCTATGTCCTACACCTTGCAGGACCTGAAGTGCATTAAATGCAAACAGGTAACAGCCCTGCATTCTTCCCTTTCTATTATTCCTTTTCGCCTTAGCGAAGCGAACTTACACCAAGCCTAAGGGAAGCGAACTTACACCAAGGGAAATTGCTTGCATCTAGAAATGATTTTTGTTGAATCCTCTAATAACTCAAGCCTTCCTCAAAACGAATAATTTGAAGATCTGCCCAGTAATGTGTGTTCATTTTTAAATTTTAAACTTCTGCAATTTTTCTATGTAGTTTTTAGCATTTAACTCAAGGAATTTTTCTTATTTCAGTAGCTGTAATGTAATTTTATTTATCTAGAATACAAATTGAAATACCCACTACCAGAACTCTATTTGGTATCATCTTAAATTTGTGCATTTTCAGGTTAAAGGCCGCAACATGAATATTCATTGCGAATGCGCAGGCGATTACACGACACTGATAGCGAGAGAGGCCTTCTTAGACAAACTGAAAATCTTCAGAAGTGTGGCAAGGTCAGTTGAGTATCTCTAGGTGCAGATATAATCGCATTTCTCATTCCCTTTTTACTAATTTTATCGAAATCGATGTTACTGATATCATCGTTTTTAAACGATAAGGACGCAACTAAATTCCGCTGCTTTAAGGGCGATAAGGACGATAAGGACGTGACGTTTTTCCATTGACACGTTTCAACCTCAAAATAGTAACACCTCAAAATAGTATTTTTCAAACACCAAAACTTTTCAAACAGCTTTTTTCAGTGAGCTAAATGGAATTGACTGTATCTATTTCATTCAAGGTTTTCCCAACAACTCCCAACTGAGTTAAGAATGGATTTGAATTAAAATTAACATGACTCCAAATTATCTTCATCACATGAGCAAATATAACAATTAATTGTCGTTTATTTTTTAGGTATTATCAGATGGACAATTTGCAGGAAATGACGGGCTTTTTGATATCAATGAACAAATGCTAACTTTTATCATTGTAAATTAGTAAAATGTACGAACTTGCAAGTAGGGCCATGATTGTCCAATGAACAAACGCTTTTCAATAATGTCAATCGGTCGTAAGGTAGTTTGCTGTATTGTGATATTTAGCTTAATAATTTAGGTGCAGCGTAAGAAATTCATCTTGTACAGTTCTTTAAATTTTAAAAGAAAGGCAATTAAAACTCAGAGGCACGTGTCCTATTTCATTTGACTTTCTGCTCCACGCTGAGGCATAAACTAAAGATAATTGTTTAAAGGCAAGCCCCTTTCCATTGCTTCTACTATTTCTTACTTGTTTTACTGCATTTGCCAGTTGGTACTCGCTATCTTAATTAAGGTTATTTCTGTACTGCTTCGTGACAAATAAGACAGAGCCAATTTTTCAGCAATGATATTTTGTCTACTGGAATCGTTTCACTTTGATATCTTTGTTGATATCTTTGAAAGCTTTTTGGTGTATCTAGTTGTCCACTTTCAAGCAAAGCTGGAGAAAAGATTTCTGCTTTAATTACATTGACGAATGGATATTTACAGGGATATTTCTACAGGAAAGGCAAAGGTCCCCTCTTCGAGAACCTATTCACTTGCAATCCATGCATTCCTGTACTTGAGGCTTTTTTACTGTACACAGAGTTTAGACAAATCTAGAACGATCATTTTATCCTGTTTCTAGAAGCTGTTAAGTCTGGCCTTCATCTGCACTGCGTTTTTACCAAGTCGCTTTTTACCCAGTCATTTTAAATAGATTTGGTGGCAACGGGCATAAGACTCAGAAGGCTAAGAGCCAATAATCTGGAACGGGTTTATTGACGATTTTTCATTCAATTACTCTAAGGTCCTTAATAGAAGGGGGGGTCTTGAAAGTTGGGGGGGGGTCAGAAATTTTTCAGAAAATAAATAAGCGGGGGGGGGTCTTAGTAAGTAGGGAGGGGTTGGGAATGTGAAAAATCTGAAAAATCACGTTATGATTCTTTTTTGGGGTCAAAGGAGATTTTCTTCTAAATACAATCGAAAGCAAAATGACAATTATCACCATGTAATAATGCATTGTTCTATAACTAAAATGAGCAGGCTAATTATCATTGTGTACATCAGCCAGGCCTATGTAAATTTTTTCGGATGTTATACTACTTTTCTATGTTAAAACGTTTGTACAATGCAACCTCTTCATCTAAGAGAAACTTTACAGAAATTTCACACCAGAAAGAACAAAAGACAAATGTTATAAGGGATATGAATGATTGCATATAAAAATAATAAGCGGGAGGGTCCAAATAAGCTCCGGTGGGGTCTGAAAAAAAATCAAAAAGTTAATAAGCGTCCCCCCCCCCTTCTATTAAGGACCTTAGAGTACAACTACTAATTAACTATGGAGGGTTCCTATGCTAATTTAGCATTATAATTTATGTATTATCCATAACTAAAGTAAACCTACAGCCACGTATTAAAAGTACAGGATTGAAGTTTATATGCAATAGGCAAAAGGCTTAAAAAGAGAATAAATTACAGAGCTATTTGTGAATTTTCAGGTAGTAAAGTGCAACCTTATTTCGAGAGGATATAAAAATTGTAAATTTATAAGGGAATCTATAAGTTTTTGAAACTCTTGGAACCGTCAAAACTCAAACCGCAGAAGTAGAAACTTTTGATTAAACAACCAAAGAGCGATTGAAATCAGAATATAGACATCGTAATGTTCCTTTGAAATTTCTACAAAATGTATGGATAGAAATCCAACCACAACATCAATACAGTATCGAAGCTTCAAAGATCTGGTACTTTCTATCAGATTTTACGCTTCTAAACTAATGGTCATTTCAAAAGTCAGATTTCAGATTAGTGCGCTTCAGCCCCTCATAACGACATGAACTTCTAAAACCTTAAAAATAACAACCAAACCCGAATGAATCCAAATGATTTACAGAGCAAAATACGCGTCGAAGAATTACCCATGGGTTATGTCAGTGATGTTAATAGGACTGGAGAGGAGACGACTGATCATTAAACACTGAATTTAGTAAATGGAAATCAGCTGATTCTCCAGCAAATTATATATATTGTACGCATGCGAAGTACACAGACATACAGTCTCCCCATGTAAGGTACGTACATCCTTTCCCCAACCCTTCTCGATTCTTCATCAGCAAAATTTAAATAATTGATAGAACAGTGGAAAAGGTTGCGAGAACTGATTATTTTTGCTAATTACAAGCTGTTTAAGTCATTTTTTGGAAGTCTCACAACAGTTTTTGCACTTAGCAAGATTTTATCATGAAAAGTGAGCAAGAATCAATGCAGAAGTTTCAAGAATCCAAGACTTACCGAAAGCCTCAAGAGTTAAAGTTTAGTTTTTTTTATATTCCACTAAAAATTTACAAGACAAGTTACCTATTACGCTACCTACTAATTACTTCACAAACACTACAGGGACGTTGATACCACGGAGAGCAATAGACCATGACAACCCCGTGGCAAATAAACATAGAAAGAGTAAAAACTACCAGGTGAATCAGGAAGAGGCATCACCCGCCCGCAAAGCCGCACCTGCCACCAACCTTACACACATAATTGGATGCGAATTTAAACAATGCTATAAAAATTGTGTCCCAGGCCTCACTTGAGGGACTATTATCGAGTATGTGGCCCCCACCACGAGCATGCACCACGAGTTAAAGTTTATGAGAAGATTGGAGGTGAGAAATAGAGAATCTAGCAAGCTGTTAGAATTTGTAATAATATAATAATGATAATATTCTTTCATAGTTATACAGGTTACTTTGTTCAGTAAATAAATTATCAGTAAGTAAAAGACCTGTATTAGCATTAGACAAATAAACATGAGATAGGCGAAAATGGCATTCGCACAGTAAAATGAATGCATTAGAGACGAGAAAGAACAAATTCGGTAAATTACAGCACGTTATATAATGATAACAAGAACATTATTAATCCATTAGCTTTTGTTTATTTAAGATGCTGTACTTTGGAAACTTTGTGAATTGTAAATTGGTGATTTTGTACTTTTATCTTGTAAAAAAGGTTCATGCAATAATTAACATCGTAGCCTTTTTGATTAATCATGTAACTTTTACGTCATTTTGTTTTGTTGTAGAAGATTTAGGGCTATTTCGGCCTATATATCTATCATTATAAGATTTAAATTTCGCTGTCTACTGATCTCAAAAAAGACTTTTAGACCGTTTTAGGATCTAAACATGTAAAAGACCAAAATTATTTTGCATTGTTTCAGGAATCTCCAAGTACCATCAGGGCTAACTTAACGTGCTCTTATTATATAATATAACCCTAGTCTATGTAAGTTTTTTACTTGAATTGTTTCAATTTTATCATTTTTGTTGATTTAGTAGGGTGCTAGGCTCGAAAAATCGTCTCGATTCTCTCAGCATTCTAGGCAACTCGACTTACTAATAAAAAACGCTGTTATCTTAATTATCTTAATTTTTTATAGACAGCTAATTAATAATCATAATAAATTGTAAACCAAAATTATTGTTGCTTAATTACATGAATTCGTAGACTCCGGCGCAGGTTGGAAAGTGGAGGGGCCAAGGGAAAGTATAAGAATCATAACAAAAGGTTGTAAAAAAAGCTTTATTGACTCGTAGAAAAGTGGGGGGCATGTCCCCCGGCCCCCCTGGCCCCCCTTTTGTCAGAGACCCTGGAATTTGAATTTTAATTCAGGGAGCATATGAATTCGTGACAGTGTGACTGCCTGCACTCATCTAAAAAAAGATCTTTCTTTTCGAGCCTTTGTTTCGCCTCCGTTTCGAACACACGAGCTGACAGTTTCGAGGCTGTTGAGAATTGATGCAACAGTAAAAGCTCGAACAGGACAGCCCACAGCTACATATTGCACGCCAATATCACCGTGAAACTCCATAGATGGGTGAAGATATAAAGGTATCACAGGGATTTTCTTTAATAAACAGTGTTGGGAAGGGGGGATGGGGGTAAAAGGTCCATAACCTGTATAAAAAGTCTCTGTACATTTCATTTCATTTATATTCTCAGCATTAAATTATGTACACAGCAACCAAAGATACAATACTGTAAGCTCAGGGCCCGCGCCACAAGGGGGGCCATGGCTTCCCCACTTTTTCGCTATTTATACAGATAAACCTTTTTATACAGATAAAATGTATTTATACAGATAACGAATACATTGAACCAAAGCCAGCCCACAAGTAAAACAACGTCAGCAAAATGATTGCCACAATTGAGGCCAAAAAAGGGAGAAGATCAAGCTTACTTTACATTGCTGGCCCCTCCGGTTTGGGATCGGTGGCGCGGCCCCTGAAGCTTAATTGAGTATGATTACAATAAATTTACAGAATAATACGCCTCAAAAAATTTAGGATTTACTTTGCTGAAGAGGACACTACTGAATTAACTCCTAAAGGTTTGAGCCGTTGATAAGATGTGTACGATGGTAAGATGATCAGATTAAAAGATACTGATGTCATTTCATTTTTTGATTATCAATTCATCCTGGATACAAGCAATTACAATGCAATTAAATACAAAATACAATACTAAAGCAACATCAAGGATTACCAGGGGCAGATCCAGGATTTTTGTGACTATAAATCTTTTGGGATTGGAACCACACCCTTTTTTGTGGGACACGCCCACTATAAGGGCAACTGCTGTAACCATCTTCCGTTTCCTAGTTCCTAGTAGGTCCTCAGCTACATTACAGGAGACACAGGTTGTGAAAACGAGCTATAGTCCAATGTTGCTTTTCAGGGGACAGAAAGTTGTGCAGTACTGTAGATACCCATATCCTATTGGTTAAAGGGCCATTTTCGAACCTGGCTATATCTTCACTATAGTTTCAAACCTGACCGCCTGCATGGAATGCTCCCTTCAGTTGTCAAGCTGATCTCTCGGCATAGCCCACCAAAAGTGTCACTAAAGAATGGCACATAATTTTTTCTCACCCTGCAGTATAATTATGATCTTTTTGTAACAGTTGTAATGTATTAAGATTTCTGTAGCAACTCAGCTTTCAAAGTATGCACTAAAAATGCTTCAAATTGATATTTTAGAATTCTGAATATTAAAATAGAAACACACTAAAGCAGCATATAAAATTACTTATCTTAGACGACACCCAAAAAGAGTGAGATACCTTTTTGTCAGAAAGAAGCAATACTGCCCTCCGAAAAACTGTTTGGCTTCATCCCTGTTGCCTGCCCACCTTTTGTGTGCTGGTTTTGTGCCTGCTGTCTTTGATGCCTTTTCCAGAGCAAATCTCCAGACTGACTATAGCTTGGAACATAGCTTGGTTTCTGTCAACAAAGAACAAAACTTTGTTCCCTTTAAATTTTTAGAAGAGGCCATTCTACGCTCAGTGTTTTATATCTTATCTGGAGCATTGTTTGAAATATTTCAGAGGCATTGTGATGACACATTGCCAGCATTGTATGTTTTCAAATTGCATTTGATAACCAGATATGCTGTTTTCATATTGCATTTGATAGACCTAAGAATCAATGAAATAAGCTTTCAATTTAGGACGAAAAATTGGAATAGAACCAGCACCACATATGAAGAAGAATTTCTTTAATGAACACAGTAACATTATTTTTATAAATCTTAATTAGGAACAATAAAAATAAAACATGAAGTGCAGGCAGAGGAAAGAGTGGAAAAAATTCAAATAAAAACAGAATGAACAGTGAAAGGGTCGCCAATGGGTTTTTTTTATTAAGTTAGTATTTTAAATTTGTGTACATCAAATATTAAGCTCATTCCCTTGTAATCATTGCAACTGTGCCTTCCTTCAAAAGTTAGTCACCATTAAAGGCAAGTCAACAGAGTGCATTTGTAATCCGGAGTTGTCACTTGCAGTACGGACATAGACATAATCTGTCTGATATATTCACAGACAAACCTCATAAACAGAATATGGGGTATTGGCCAATCAGGTTACAGTTTTTCATTATGGACATAAAGCCCGCCACAGGGATCGGAATTACACATTTACACCTTGTTTGGTTGTCAAATTATATTTACACAAGGACTATTACCAGCATCAATCTGCATGTGGTCTGAAGGAATTCAAAACTATGCAAGAAAGACAATAGACATGTACTTCGCTGCTAGCTCTGCGCTTAAATCATTGTTTCAAATTAGTACAAATATACAAAGTAAACAATTCTCTACTTTCATAATCGTTGACAATCCGATTCCAATGACAGCAAAAAGCCTACACGATAAAATACAAAGCTAGTTACATAATAAATTCCATAAAATCTTACGGTAAAACCGCTTGACAACCTTCTTCTTCTTCTTCTTCTGCGCCTAAGCCTATGTAGGCCGTGGGTGCGCCCAACCATGCACAGAGCTCCGCCACTTCTCCCTATCCATCGCCATTCTTGATAGTTCTCGCAATCCCTCTCCAGTCCACTCCTTGATGTCGTCTTCCCATTGCCTTCTTGGTCTGCCTCTTTCCCTTGCGCCCTCAACTTTACCTTGGATCAATGTCTTTGTCATCGCTGTTGGTTTCCTCATCTGGTGTCCAAAGTACTTCAGCTTCCTCTTTTTGACTGTCTCTGTAATTGATTCCGGCCTGCCGCCCAACGTCTCCGTCACTTTATTCCAGACAAATTCATTCGTTTTCCTCTCCTGCCAGCTTATTTTCATCATCCTTCGGTAAAATTTCATCTCGAAGGCCTTCAGCTTTTCCATGCTCTTCTTGTTCATTGTCCAGCTTTCACATCCGTATAAGAGTGTCGCCCAAGCAATTGCCTTTGTGATTTTCATGCGATTTTTCAGGCTAATGCCTTGTAGTCCCCACATTGAGTTCAGCCTAGCCATAGCACTTGTTGCAGCTCCAATTCTATTCCTGATTTCTTGGTCCGAGTTTCCATTTTCCGTGATGGTTGCTCCCAAGTACTTGAAACTCTTGACCTGTTCAAGTTTCCCATCACCGATGACTATTTCCAGTTGGATGTTATCTTCTCCGTTCCCTGTGACCATTGTCTTGCTCTTCTCCTTGCTAATTTCCATTCCAAATCTTTGTGAGGTGTCATGCAGTCTGTTGGTTAGATCCTGCAGTTCTTCTTCATTCTTTCCAATCAGGTCGATGTCGTCTGCGAAGCGAAGATTGGTTACTTTCAGTCCTCCACAGCTCACTCCAGTATCGTCTAGCTCTTCGATCGCTTCTACCATGATTCGTTCAAGGAACAGATTGAACAACGTCGGTGACAGGATACACCCTTGTCGTACTCCGACAGTCGCTCTGAACCATTCGCTGAATTCTTCTCCGGTCAACACTTTGGTCGTTGCTTGCTCGTACAGACTCATGATTGTCTTCGTGATTTGTTCACCGATATTGAACTTCCTCATCGTGTGCCACAGCGCTTCATGCCACACCCGACCAAACGCTTTTTTAAAGTCGATGAAGTTGTGACATATTACTCTTTGATGGTTCCTTGTTTTCTCGCATAAGAGCCGAAGATTGGTGATTTGGTCCGTGGTGCTTCGGTCCTTTCTGAAGCCAGCCTGCATCTCGCTCAGCACTTCCTCAACTCTTGGTGTTATTCTTCCTTGGATGATTTTTAGTAATACTTTTGAAGCGTGGCTGATTAGGCTTATCGTTCTGAAGTCGCTGCATTTCCTGCTGTTCATCTTCTTGGGGATGGGTATGAGGATGGATTCGGTCCATTGTGTCGGCCAAACACCACTTCTGAAAATGAGATTGCACAGCATGTGCAGGATCTTCACGGTGTCTTCTCCTCCACATTGAATTAGTTCGGCATTGACATTGTCTGCTCCAGGACTCTTGTTGGTTTTCAGACTCCTCACTGCGAGCTCTACTTCTGCTCTCAGGATCTCGCCTTCATGATCTTCTTCCGTCACAACATCTTCCTCCAGTAAACAACATCACAACATCTTCCGTCACAACATCTTCTTCTTCCTCCTGGTTGCCAGCTTGACAACCAGGCTCGACAAAAACGGACGGCCAAGCCATGAAAGTTTTTTTCAAAACAGACTTATTAACACTCATAGACAATAACAAATCCCTTGCACAATAAGCAGAAAAATGTTCTGATACATTATTTCAAGTTGCAGAAAAAGTAACAGAACTGAATTTAGACGAAGTAAGCATATCAATGAGCAATCAGTGTGATCCTGAAATGAAAGAACTTGATGCTAGTGGTAATTCAGATTCAGAGGTCGACACAGAAGGAAAATGTTGTGATAGATGATCGAAAGAAACTTTCTCCCTTCAATATTGGAACTTTTTATGGCTTTCCAACAAGGAATCAGCTTGAAAATATAATACAAGCTGGCCCAGCTCCATTACCAAAACAGACCCAAAGAGATATTGATGGCCAACAATTTCTGCTTTCTGCTCTGCACTGCAACCATTAGAATGAGGAAAAGTGAAAGAAAACTGCAGGTGTTTAGTCAATTCAAGGAATTGCCATTAAATATAGTGACCTATGCAATCAATATTAGCTACAACCAGTTGTTTGGACAAGAATGCAAAGTGGAAGTAGTTATGGGTGACTGTTCCAAGATATGAAAAAAGCTCACCACACAGAGAGTGCTATCTCTCTTGACAGGGGCTTCAGACACACCTGCAAATGAATGCTGGGGTAGATGTGATGGTTGAAGAGAGAAGTTTGTCTAAGATTGAAGAATCTTCACAGCAGAATAATCATTGTGACAATATTTCTTGGAAAGAGTGTTCTTATGGTTCAATGCTCCAAATTGGAGGTGTTTACAATGGATTTTTTTCAAAATCTTGGAACTGTTACTCATTATGTTCCATTTATTCAAGAACAGATTTAGAAAGTGAAGACCTCTTAGCCAAATGGTGAATGGCTGCAAGCACATAACCTTTCCCCACAGTCAGGAAATGGGTTTATTTAGGCTTTTACTGCAAGAGTCAGGGGTTGTGTTTTGAAAGAAGGCAAAAATGAAAAACATTTTCCCATTACAGTGGATGAGATTCCTTATTCAAGCCACACAGAACAAACAACATTCATTCTCTGGTACATAAACAGAGAAAGAGACATTTTCTGTAACAACACTGGAGTGGGAATTGCTTATGATATACCAATTGCTGATTGTCAAGGGCAAGGGTAGACCAATAAGTCTGGCATGGTGCTCAATCTCACATCAGTTTCATCAATCCCCTCAATCTTTATGGAGCAGACTCTGCAATGACATGTATGGAAGCTGTAACCTTTTTGTGAATGATGCACTCCTTCTACAATCTCTTCTCCTGCAGCCCCGAGCAATAGAGGACTTTGCAAAGCAACATTGGCTCCTCATTGCATGGTTTGTCTGAACAAGGTGGGCAGATACAGATCATGTTGCATGTGAGCACTTTTTTGCTGCTCTACTTCCAGGTATCAAAGCCACACTCCAGCAACTTATTGCACAAAAACAACAAAAACAAATGTTAACAGTGCTATCAGATATGTATCTTTGTTTGTATGCATTGTGATCAGTGGCAGACACTTGGGGGGGGCGAGGGGGGGCGACCGCCCCCCCCCCAATACTTTAGAGAACAATGATCTTTTGTTCTAAAACAATGGGAAATGTGACGTCATCTTATTAAAACAATAGGCTTGCCCCCCAATATTTGACCAAGTGTCCGCCCCTGATTGTAATGTCAGCAATCTGGCTTAAAAATCTGGTCCCTTTTCAGGCAAGAAAAGCTACCATGGATATCAAAGGAAAAGCTATCATTTCGGGCAAGAAAAGCTATCATTTTGTGGTGTACCTGAGCTTATCTGAGAAATCTAAAAAGACCCCTTCCTCTGATAATATGGGAACTTTTTATATCTTTTTCAATGAGATATAATATTGAAAAATAATGAACTTTGTATAAAAAACAAAGTGAGCAGGAGTTCCCTCTTCTGCTAAACTATGATGCTGCCACACTATTTTGGCTAAATCTGTACTTATTGTAGATGGCTGAAGTTCTAGTCATACAATCTTTGTTTTACAGCAGGCCTGGCCATAAGGCCTTTAGCAGGGGAGCAGTAAACAGCTCTCCTATCAACTTCCAAGTGATCTATTTGTAGATAAATAGGGAAAAGGAAAAATTAATTTCAAGGAGAACAATTTCTTTTTAGAGCAATTTGGGAGAACAATTTTTAGCTCTTCAGCCAGCATTTGAGGAGAGCCTTGAGAGGAGCAAGAGTTATGGCTCTCCTCAAATTGCCAGGCCTGTTTATAGAAGGTTTGCCTAGAATGGTGATCAGTGAAATAGGAATATATTTAGATGTCTTTTGTGGTGTTCTTTCAGGCTATGGAGTCAGAATTCTTAAGTTCAAGAAAATTGATTTTTGATGCCATCACACTCCTCCACTCTGCTGAATAACCCAGGCCATATATGTATGTGGCTTTAAATTCTTGCAAAACATTGCAAAACCAGGATGCAATAGCAAAATCCTTATACAAGTGGTTAGCTATTTACTCAAATGTTAAGCATAAAGCTATATTGTAGTCACTTTAAGCTCCTGTGCCACTTAACCTACAAAGCATTTGAATCTGTCACTTTTGACAGTTCAGTTTTATCTTTTCAGGGTGAATAGTACTTTGACGTTTTTTGAAATGTCCAAATATCCTTGTGATTCAGTAAGTAAACGAAAATATATTCCAATTCATTATTATTTTATTTTTTTATTATTTTCTATTTTATTTTTAAACTCCCATTTTATTCATAAACCCCTTTTTCAGCTAGTTTATATTTGGCTAGCTTGTTAATAATTTAAAGTTATTTAGCATTTTATGGATTTTTTTAAAGAAATATTTAATAAATCCAATTGTTCAACTAACAGATATAGTCAGTTGGACAACATTGTTTTTCAAGAAATGAATTTGCAGAAACTTGACAATGTGCTTAACCAAGCTTCTTCTTTAATCAAATTAAACTTTATAGTTTTTCATCTTTTTATGGGCTTATTTTGATGTGTATTAGAAGATTGGTTTTGGCAAGAAACTAATCATTACTAAGAGAAGTAGAATAATTTTGAAAGAAGTATGCTTTCCATTTTTACTAGATAAAGCATTGGGCCAAAAAGCAAAATATTGGCATATAACCTGATCTTAAGTATTTTCTGGGATGTTACAATCAGTATTTTTCTTCTTCTTCAAGAAACCCCATCTTTATAATGATTAAATTCACAATAGCCTTTTATGTTTTATCAAGGAATGATGCATGAATTGGTACAGTGAAGCTGAAGTTAATAGAGATCAGACACTTTCAGTTTTTGACAATATAATATTTTAGCCATAAAAATACAGTATTTTGTTATAAAGTAAATGAAGATTCTTTTTTTCTTTCTTTCATCAGGGACAGGGGCAAAGGCCACCTCCATACTCCTACCAGCAGCAACAACCAATGCAACCAGGTGTCGTGCCATATACATCATATCCGTATTCAATACCTCCATGCCAATCTCCATACCAACAGGCCCCATACCAATCTTATCCATATCAACAGCCCCCATATCAACATTCCCAATATCAAACTCCTCCACTTCGATCACCTTCATATCAGCTGCCCCCACATCAACAGCCCTCGTATCAACAGCCTCCATATCAACCGCCCCCGTATCAAGAGCATCCATACCAACCATCTATATATGCACATGGTGCATATCCTGAAGCATCTATTGGACAGGCCAATGGTATATAATTTACTTTTTGAATTTTTTTCAAGCATGTTTTCTTTAGTCTGATATTGGCACATGGAACATCCCTAGCAGGTCTTCAGATATCTGATGCAAAATTGCTGTTATGCTTTATGTTCTGTTCCTGGCAAAGTACTGAAAAGCCAGTGACATAGGCATTCTTTCCAAAGCAATGTTGTTCTTTTATTTATTGTTTTTATGCATAAGATTGTTCCTCTTCATTTTAACGTGTTATTGCTGCCACTGTTAAGGAATATGATGCCAAGAGTAAGATGACAGCCCTTATTATTATGTCAATTTTTAGAAAATGAAGCTTTGTTCATCCCAAGAATAGCATGCATTGGAAGCTTTACATTCACACGAAATGTAATCGAATGAGAGTAAATCTTCAATCTCTATCCCTAAAACCAAATTATTTATCAGCCAGTTTTTGAGTAAGCCTATCAGCAGTTTTCTTCGAACAACTGGCAGATAACTGGGAAAATCTGCTGATGACGTCACAAAAACCTTTAATAGCAATTGGAGCTATTTTATTTTGCCCCCGAATCCAATTCATCCATTTCCTTTTGACATTCTCTACCGCATTCATTCCTGTTGCAGTAAACCTGATAGAGAACCCTAACTTTGTTGCGCAAAATTGGAACCATAATGGTGATACAGTTGACATGAGAAAGGAACCTTGGGAACTAATCGAGACTGGTGGAGATGGGTGGAGGCTTGAAAAGACCCCTCAAGGTAGCTATTTTTTATCACAGTAGAAATTAAGCAAGCCGCATTAGGGACATCTGTTTTATCGGGACATTCCTCGTCATTTTCTTCTTCTTCTGTTCCATCTTTCTGTTCTTTTCATCTTCCTTATTTTCACAGTTCAGCCGCCACATATTTACTTCATTATTTGCCAAGTTTTTTAGTAAGTTTTGGCTGAAGTAAACAAGACGGTAAGGTAATTTCCTCATCTGATGGCATACCTTGTTTTTAATTCATACTATGCAGAATCATTGTGTAAAGCTATTGATATATTAAGTTACTCTTTAGTGCTAAGAAAGAATAGAAAACATTACCAAACCGCGTTGCTCTCTGCAAAAATCCTTCCCGTAGTTTGACCTTTAATGTATATTTATAGAAACAATTGAAAACGGCGTAATAAGACAATGTCTCGGATTGGTATGGACGCATTCGCCGTTTGGAAATCTTGCTACTTTTTCGGAATTTTTGGTTACATTATATCTTTTACCCCCTCCCCCTCTCCCTCCCCCTCCCCCTCCCAAAGTGTTAATTTTAATGCATATGATGGTACTGATTATAATTCGATATAATAAAACATTTTCGAAGTTATCTTTAGAAATAAGTGGTGGTAAGAACCCCCACTACCCCCTCCTCCGCTTCCTACTGTTCAGTACAGCTGTGATTTTCTTAAGATGGTGTTATAGTGGCATGTTAGTTATTTTTTGCCTATTTTTAAGTAGCGAGTGAAGAAAATAAAATCCATTTTGTTAGGTATACCTTGAATACAGGGTTATCTTAGCAGATCTTTGTAAAGTAGTTTTCTGTATCATAAACATACTTATAAACCTATGAAATTGAGAAAACGGTCGTTTTCTATCAGTAAATTTTTTCTTGCACCTTTGTTTCTTCTCCTAATATTAGTTTTTAAACGTTAAAAATATTTTCAGCTAGACATTTCCTCATTCTGAAAATATGTTTCAATTTGCCGTTCGGCACTTAGCTTTGCAAATTGATTGCTTTGGTAGTTTTCAACACTCTATTGTGAATAAGACATTTTTTTATAGGCTCCAATCTTGACTTTATAACGACAATTTCACCTCGTTTCTTTTCCATTAGGAAGCAAGGTCGGCAAGTGCCCCGCAGAGGCCGGGCCACTCGCACATTGTGTGGTTGGGTCTTTCGGTTGGTGTAAAAGGTCACAGACAATAGATCTTCTCCAAAAGGGTTTTTCACCTGAAGTAATGGATTACCAGAAGCCACCTATCAGAGCATGCGAATGGTAAGTCAAATGGATGTTTCTTTGTCAGTTACTGCTATTTTGGTATCTTTTGCCCGTAAGAAAAACTTTCCCATGGAAAGAATGTTGCTGGAACAGAAAGATTTAGCTGTAGTTTTGTTTGAGTTGCTCGTAAGTTAAGAATATAAAAATAACAGAAATGAAACATACCGTAAGTCCTAGAATAAGCCCCCGGGGCTTATTTCGCAAATTAATTTGGGGGGGGGCTTACTTGAGAGGGGGACTTATTCGATTAGCCGATGCCCCACTTCTGATTAGAAACCTATTGTAAAGTAAACTCCTCATTCTCCTGTGCAGTGGGCGTATTGATAAGAAGCTCGGTATTTGGTGGGCAGCTGTTTCGTTTTTTAGTATTCAGTTCCGTGAAAAATTAAGAAACTTTCAATTTTAATTCTTATTAAAGGAGAAAGTGTATCATTCATTTTTTATGATTTAAGGGTTACGTTTTTATACTAAAGCTTTATTTAAATGTTGCTCGATCTTTACATTAACTGGTGCCTTAAGCATGGTCGATAAACAAATAAGCGATGAACGGGGTTGATAATTTTTTCTATTAAATTGTCTGTTACTATATGCATGACTGGCAATAGCAGTGAAAGCGACTATCACCTCTAGGTTCGTTGCCCGGAGTGACTGTGACAGCGAGTATTACATGAATGTTACTCTTCTGGATCAACAGAAGAAAGCGCTGGATACCTTCAAGTCTGAGGTTCGCCCTGCTGGTTCGTCTGATTGGCAAAAGGTGGAACACGTCTTTCGTAATTACCCGTCTGGTGTCAGATTCATTAAGTTTGAAGACGGAACAAAGGATAAGAAATTCTGGGCTGGTCATTTCAGTGCGAAGATGTGCCAACCAACCATTCTGATTGAGCTTGGTAGGTTCTGAAGGATTGGATGGTCCTAATGCCTCTGATTGCTGATTTCGATAACAATAATTTATTGTTTTCTACTTAACGTCCTCTGTCCTTTGATATTTTGCTGTGGATGTGAGAAACTTTTTTCTAAAAGCTCGTTTTACACAATTTTTTTCTCGAATAGGTCCGCATCCCTCTGCACCAGGCATGGCTAGGCCTGTTTTTCCTTCATCCAATGCTGTGCAGCATCAGAGCCAGCCCTTTGGTAAAAAAGCAAGTAAGCAACTACATTGCGTCAACAGTTTTTTATCAATCAATTGAAGTGAAATGATTCTAGTCGTATTTTTTTAGATTTTTTACCCATCGCATTGACTTGAACGTTCAGAGTTGGCTTTTTGACACGATAAAACGACTCAGAAGCATTCCTGGCACATATCATGGCCGATGCTACAACACTTCGCATATCTGTCTGTTTATAGTTCTGACTCGTTGCTATCTGCACTAGAACGCTTTCTTCCTTTAAAAAAGGTCCTTATTTTTCAGTGAATCTTCTGAAGAATCCAAGTTTCATTCCACTCACATGGGCAGGCAGTACAAGCAGTAAAATTGATTTTAAACCTTGGCAGATTGAAAAGAACCAAGGCGGCTTTGTTCTGGAGAAGAAGCCATCAGGTTCGTGTTTGCTGCAATTCTTTTTTAGAGTGCATTTAGATGGGTCTTTTACTGACCTACATCAACGCATAAATAACTTTTTATATGAGTACATTTTAGTTTGGGTTTTCTGGTAATTATTCAAGCAAACTATTTTTAGGTGCAACAAATTCATCTTTTCCTGATGAGTTGCTGGAATTTGAAGTCTGGTGCATTGCAACGTCAAATGCCTTGAGCCAAAGAAGTCAACTGATTGATCTTGCCCAAAATGGTTACACTGCCCAGGTTCTAGACACTCAGCGACCGCCTATAAAGATATATGAATGGTCCGTTTTAAAATTCAATCTGTCTATTATTTTGAATCTTTTCGTTTGTGCTTATTTTGAGAAGGAAAAACTGAAGTTGTTCATTCTTTGTCCATTCATTTTCTTTCTTTCTTTCTTTGTTGAATTACAGTGGGAGTTGGGCAGTGAAGAGTTGAGCGGTGAGTTTCCTATCACGTGGAATAACTTATGACAACTGGTTTCATTCCAGGTTCACTTCACGGACCGACTGTCAAGGCGAGTACTTCATGAAGGTTTCGCTCCTTGACGAAAGAAGAATGGAGATCCCTGGGTGCGTTTATGAGACAGGAATGAAGAAAGCCCCTGTCGGTTACTGGGCAAAAGAAGAGCACATTTTTATGAACATTCCACCAGGTGTGCGATTTGTGAAGTTCAGTGATGGAGGCAATGATTGCAAAAACTGGGCCGGATTTTATGGTGCGAAGATGGTCGGAGCATTTGTCGGCGTGCTTTTAAGCTGTAAGTATCTGTTTTATAACTTTGCTGATGCAATTAACTTTGTAGGCCACTTGCACTGCAAAATTTCAAAATAGCACTTAAAAGTGGAACATACGACGTAATGACAAACCAGTTGTATTACCTTACTAAGCACGTGCGGCGAGGCTCCTTGGAGGGGCAAGGAGACAAAAGCCCTCGGGCCAAGTGGCACACATTTGTCGTTAAATTTTGGCTTTCTTGTATTATCTCTCTCGACTCTTCAGTGATCTGGTAGAAAAACCAGTCAATCCTTCCTGATCTACTGATAATTTCCCTAAACACTTTTTACCAACTTCAGTTTGCTAAATGATATTTTCCACTCACAACTGTCAGTTGAAGACGTCAGATAATTCTTAGCAATGAAGAAATCGGAAATGAGATTCATCGACCCAAAATCTCATTAATTTCCTAATTTGGAAATCCCTTATGATGCACTAAGACATCTGCCTTTGTAAAGGTCGCATCCAAATCATCCCTCACCAACTTGGTATCCTCAATTGGTGTATCAAACTCGTGCTTCGTAATCAAAATCTTTTTCAGGACAGTTTCATTCTCCTGATCAGTTTAACGAACCTTTTCACACCAAAAAAATTCATTCCGGCCAGAAATTGTCTAAGATCTGTCTTTTTCTTTCCGTATATCGATGGTGGTGTTAATTTGCTCCATCTTAGCTGAAAGCAGATATGCAGCTCTGCCGGCATCACAGTTTTACAATATCTTGTAATAAGAGGCCCATCATATTCTCGATTGGCCTGCATGCGATACTTGCCATAGTATAAAACGTCGTATAATGGCCAATAGGTAAACAAGAATTTGTATCCAGGTGCGGACGGATTGTGAAGGGAAAATGGCGGATTGGGTTTCCCTACTTCGAGCGCAGTAAATTTTGCATGAAGTTTTGATTCAACAACTTAAGAAATATTAATTTTCTTGGAAGGCAATATTGCTTTGCTTGCATCCTCGCAACTCTCAAACTGGATCTCTTAAATTTCAATAATGTTGAAACCAAATTGTCCACTGAAAAATTGAATTGCGCTCAATATTATTAGGCGAATGGGATGAACAAATAGATCAAACAAGGAATAGCGCAATGTTGTTAGGTGCTGCTTGTTTGAATTGTCAATAAGTTTAGATGGGACCTTTTTTCAAGGCTTAAGTCGTGTAATCGACTGGTTTTCCTTTTCTCGACAGCACCGTCGGATCCACTTCCAAGTGCCCCTCCTCAACGTGAAGAACCAAGTTCGTAAATTATTTTTTTCTTCTCTGTCAAAGGAAACTTTTTTATTTCTTCCATTTTCATTTGGATGAATTGTTTTTCTATTGAAACGTCATTTTGTACTGCTGTCTTCGGCCAACAATTATGAGACGCTTGCGATGCTAAACTCAATTGGTTCCAGGAAGATCAAATTATTTTCAACTTACTGGCAAACTTTTCTTTCAACAGGAAACTTGCTCGAAAATGCGGATCTGCGTGCGAAGAATGGCTGGGATGGCAACAATTGTAACCAAATTGACTTCTATCCTTGGGAAGTTTTGGAGAATGGTGGAGATGGTGTTCAGCTTGAGAAGTCTCCGAATGGTGCGTCGATTTCGACTTCCCTATTAAATTTAGGTGATGTCGTTCGTTTTTTATCATAACTTTCTTCCATGAAATGTATTGATTGGACTATCTTCTTGTATTCAAGGTACTGATGTGGGACTGTACCCAAAAAGAACTGGGTGTGAGCAACACTGTATTGCAACGTCACATGGCTGGTTTAAAAGAAGGCAAACAATCGACCTTTTAAAAAATGGAATTGTCCCTCATTTTTATGACAATCCGGATTTAAAGATTTATGTTTGTGAATGGTAATTATATTTTATTCCAGTATCATAAATACTCTTAATCATTTGCCGGATTTGAACCCCTAAAGTTTTCATCAAATCTGAAAGAGAACTGTCAGTTTTAATGATTTTATAAAGTTTTAAGCATGCCGATAACATTTAAACTTTTCCCTTTAAGATTTTAAAAAATGTAAAGCTTCTTTATCTTTGAGTCTGCAGTCTCGTTGTATGTTTTGTTGTCGTATCTCGAGTTCATCTGAAAAGAGTATTATCTTTTTGAATTGGTTACAGTCTGAAATGCTAACTTCTAATTTAAGTATGTTCTTGAATTCTTTTTTGTTTTGTTTTTTCAGGTTTGCATCTCGCACTGATAACGAGGGTGAATACTTCTTGACCGTATCTCTTCTTGACGAGAACAAGCAAGAAATCCCAGGGTATACTTACAACAGTGGAACCAGCAGGGCTTACTATGATGAATGGGAGAAGATTGAGTACACTTTTTATCCTGTCCCTGAGACTGCCCGTTTTGTCCGATTTGAAGATGGAGGGAAGGATGTAAAAGTTTGGGCTGGACAGTACGGTGTAAAGATGTTTGGGGCTTCTGTTTATGCTGGAAAAAAATCAGACGACGAAAAAGAAAACTGTGTAGTAATGTAGACAGCTTTTCGATTTTATCAATTCCAAATTTGGTCCTAATCGAATTTGGTATAAATTATATTTGTATTACCTAAATTTGCAAAAGTATTTGAAGTTTACTATGCAATGAAAGCCGTAAAAATCGTGAAAGTGCATCAGGAAGCTTTGGGCTTTTTTAGCCGAAATCCAATCGAGCTGAAAACCTTTCTTCAATTACCTTGAAATCGTTTGATCATTTGATAAAATCCCTTATTCTTGTAATATTCTGGATATAAAGAAATTTTGCGCTGAAACACGCTGTTTTGCTCAGATTCACAGCGATCCTAGCAATATTCGCTACAGTTTGGTGGCGTTCTAATTCTTATTAATTCTGTACCATAGCAGTGTGTTGTTTGTAGGTAGAACTCACTATATTTTAGCATGCTCTCAATCGAGTTGGTATCTAATGATATTATACTGTTTAAGAGTATTGTTAGTACAAATTTTCAAATACTTTTTAACATATTATAGCTAATAAGAGAAAGAGTATTTATATTCTATTTTCTATTGATTGCTGTTGCCAGATCTTTGTGAGTTTTTTCTCGCCGACTACACGCATTTATATATATAAATCCTAGATGGAGAACATGAGATAAGAAAAATTTGAAAAATTGGCATACCGAATTCACTGAATTGTGTTAGAAAGCAAGTTGATTAAGAAGGTATTTTGCTGTTATATGTTTGAGCCACATATTTTTGTCTGACAGAAATACACAGGTTCCAAACAGCTAACCTTGCAGCCATTTTTGCTGCGTAAACAATGTTCCAACGTTACCATTCCAATACCCCCGAAAAACTCTGGTATACCATAGTGTATACCAAAGTATATGTACAGTAGTGTCCCGCATATAAGAAACAACTTTTTTGATTTCAGGTCTGATGTGTTTCTTATAAAATGAGATCTACTCTTTAAATCAGGAGAATGTTTCTTATACAAAAAACCATATTATACTATTGATCATCCATCTCAATGATTGTGATAAAAATACCTTGATTTTTTGAATTGTATTTGTTATTTTTAACTTTTAAAAAAAGCTGCAATTATTCCAGAAAAGTGCTTTTTGCTTAGTTTGCATTCAAAATTATTTTTCGTTTGACCAGGCTCAGCTTGATTAAACTGGAAAGCTGAAAACAAACAGTTCTTATGGTCAATGATTGTAAACCCTCACTTACCCTTTTGTTTGAATAACTGAAAAAATAATAAGTGTAGAATGATTAATGTTTTGCTCCGTTTTTCAAAGGGTTAAACCATATGAAAATTTTTGAATAAGAAACAATCATTTTTCAGACCTTCGGACCTGTGTTTCTTAAAATTGTTTTTCTTATATGTGTAACACTGCTGTATTGCGTGCAAATGCGTATGTATTGCATGGCATATGTTCAATATATATTGCTTGCAAAGGTTTGTATAATAGAACAGTAAAATTTTTGCATTTTTTCTAGATAATTTCAAAAGTTGGAGGGTATTTATTTCGCTAGGGTTTCAAGTTCCATATTTGAATACATCTTTATGACACGGTGTTATGTCCAAATACTTTGTGATGTGTCTTCATTGTATTGAATTTGAAGTTTCTTAAGGCATTCATTTCTGGAAAATACTTCATCGATAATTAGCATACGTATTCGATTTATTTTGTGATACAGATTTTCGTTGTGAAGTCCATCGGGCAGTCCTGCCGTCCTTCGTAGATAAGATTGTATTTCTGAGGACTTGGTTTAAAAGGTATCCACCGATGTAATTACGGTTCATCGAATTCCCAGAGTAGTTGAAGTTCACCAGTGTGTGTGGAAAAATAGGTTAGGATAAACCTTGGAAATAGCTTTAGCTTTCAAAGTTTCGAAATAGCTTTAGAAGATGTATTAGTTTGCCTCTAGATTCTAATCCTATAATGCAGAGATAGAAATTATGAATTACGCAAGCATAGTATAACATCAAGCAGTATAATATCAAGTGGTAAAAAGTTTCTTATTTTGAGAGAATGCCTGTGCTTATGAAGATTGGAAATTGGTCGTATAATTTGTTTATGATAAATGATATATGATGAATGATGAATGATAATAAATGATAATAAATGTTAGACGGAGAATTCTCTTAAAAGCGCGGTGCAACAAAACAAAAGAGGGCGTTTAGTACAAATCAAATTGTACAGTGATTTGCCAAGAGGATAATGACTTTTTAACAAATTTTTACAAAAAACTATCAGCAAGGCATTCTAAAAGGGCGAAATACTTTGGAAAGAAAATAATGGTGTTCATCCAGTTTTTGTATCTTATTGCTTATGTACCCTTTAAATTTTCCACAAATAATTTGCATTGCGATCATTTTATGTAATCGTAATAATCATTTTTAAACAATCTTTTGGTGGTAAATAACTTGAAAATTGCTCTGAAGAGTGTCAGGCGAAAGTATTTAGTTTGCTCAAATGTTTGCTTTTTTCAAAGCCATAACCTTTTTACTTTAGTCGTTGTATTGTGTTGAAGTAGATTACGGGTCATTTCGGCCTATATATCTATTATTAAAATATTTAAATTTACAATATTTTCTCTTTTCTTTTTATTGAATTTGTTTATTATTTATGTAAAGGAATATTTCCTATCCTTTGACAATTTAACAGTGACTTCCCATGATTATGTTTTCATTCGATTTTTTCTTTCTTTAACTTTCCTTTTTCTCTTTTATCCATTTTTCGAGAGAAGCAACGCTTTTTAGCAAGAAAGGGACAGTGACCATGAATAAAGCCATCTACAAAGAGCTCCAAGAGTGAGGGTCCAATGGTTTGGCAATTCCTTCCCAGCAAACATAAAAGTTGATTACTTCTTATGAGGCTGCGGATAAACTGTGGCTTACAGTTATGTCTTGGTCTGCATGGCCTTTCGTTTCCTTGAAAAAAGCCAGGTGGCCTTCACAGGGCTATCTTGAAAACATGGAATGTGAAATGTATGAATGTTGGGATGTATGAATGTTCGGATGAATAAATGTTGGAGTGTGTATTCTAAAATCTATATAACAACACGCTAGTGAATGAGGTTGCAATTCTACAGGGCTGTCGCAGCTATAAGACCAGAGAGGCATATAATTTCAAATATTGTACACTTTTGGTAGTAATCCTATTGTTTCCAATGTATATTTTTCCAATAGTTAAATGCCCCTCGATAGAACCTGGGGCACTGCAGCCCCCAATAATGTATACAGTAACGTGTACATTGTCAAAGTATTCTGCTAATTTTATGAAGCAATATTGAATAAACCTTTAATGTTTATGTGAAATAAAACATTCCAAGTGCCCCTATAAGGAATGGTGTGCATAAAAATTTTCTTTGTCGTCAGACCCTCTAAGCCCCAAAAAATGCCCATTCGCTATCTTGCTAATGCGATGCTTAAGTTTTTCTATTGCAAGTGCAATTTTGAGCACTAGATGCTTGGCTCTCTCGCAGGAAGAATAGAGAAACGTGGCCTCCAGATTTTTTAATTTGTTCTAAACTTTCGACCAATTTTGAAGCTCGTGTACTTATAGGTTTGAGGCTCGTGAATTTTGACCTCAATTTTTATAAAATGTATTTGAATGTTCTTTGCTAAGATCCCAAAATTAATCAAAGCTTTACCACTACTTCGGTTAGGTGGTATAGCGCACAATTTAGCAGTTGTTATATAGGTTTACAAACACATCACACCCTTTTTCAACATTCCACCATTCCAACATTCAACATTCCATGTTTCCATGATAGCCGCCTTCACAGCGCCGCACTTACCAGCAGCGACTTGTCACAGAATAAAAATACTGTGGCCTTGCTGATCACCTTACTTCCCTCTTTATCATCGACGCAGTTTGGTTTTGAGTGGTATTGTCCTTTTTGTACAAGAAATCAAGCTGTTTTTGAGTGATAAAGGTATGTTTCGTTCATCAGAATATAGTGTTTGTTCATCAGGTCTTTCTTTTAATTCTTGTGGCTCAAAATCTTGGCAGAGGGGTACTCAGTCCTTGACCCGATGGGCAGAGTCCATTTGCGATAAAAATTCAATGAACAGGGTGTCCTTTTCCAATATATGGGATGGGGTATAATTTTGAGGCAGATATCATAGGATGTCATCTAAAATTTTATGCAACCAGGTATATACTTTCTGGGCATGATTTTGCAACAGGGTAAGGGTGTAGAGAAATTTTTCCACGTCCCTGTCACTTTCCTAGTTAAAAGCCCCCTATTAGCTGAATAGCTATACTGACAGCAATGGATTTTTATAGACGGTGTTTTGCTTCTGGTGCCCTCATGAAAATTTCAAAGTAAAGTTTTTGATTTTGTTATATTTTCATTTCAAGGTGCTCTTTGCTCAACTGAAAATGTCAAAAGCTGTAAGTATATAACCATCCACAATTCAGTTCAGTTCAGTTTTTATTTTATTTTCCACTGTATAATAATAATAATAATCGAATTTTGTAACAGGATGACCTATCAGTACAATATATACTGTTTTCATTAGGGTCCTGATGTTTAAGCACTGATAAATTCATGGTAAAATACAAGTGCCCACTAACAGTCCAATCCAAAGATAAAATAATTTAAAATCATATAAAATGATTTTCTAAAAATCATCTAAAAAGGAGTTTGGATTCAATCTTTCTGACACATAGTGGTAAGTCGTTAAATTCTTAGCCTGCCAGATAATAAAACCTTTGCGTCCAAATTCAGTTTTCACTTGAGGAATTAAAAAGTATAAAAAATGTAAAAGGAAATAGTATAAAAATAACAGAACAAATACATAGAAGAGAAACAAGCTAGTATTGTACTCAGGGAATAATTTAAAGGAGGAAACTGTCTCATTATTTTTTAAACTAATCAAGGAGAGAGCACCCCTAGTAAATTAGATGAATTTTCCTTAATTTTTAGTGCCAAAAGTAAGGTGTTTTGAGTCATTCACAGAAAGTATCATCTATGTATCAACTAAGTAGAAAAACTGTCATTGGTTACTATTTTGTTTTGTAAAAATATTTTAAGATTTTTTACAAGAATATTTTGAAAGAGAATTTATAATTTCTACTGGTAGGTCATTCCACATTTTTGCAGCCATGTATCAAATAGAATTCAGGCAAAACCATCAACTGTTCTATGAGTCAAAAACAAATCACTACGATTAGGTTGCCTTGTAAATGTTGGTGAATAATTGCATTGAAAGGGGAGTAATTATGAAAGCAAGAGGGAGTTTGTTTGTTATTAGATTCATAAACAAATGGTAATAGTCTCAGCTGAAAAATGTCTTGAAGTCTGAGAAGTTAGAGCTTTTTAAAAATGGGAAGAGAGAATGAAAGGGTTGATGTGAAATAGTTGTGACTGCTTTTTGCAGCCTTCTTAGTCTTTGAATCACAACATTTTTATAGTCTACGAAACAGAGGCACAAAAGTCTTTTTTCAGTCTGTTGATGCATTCAGTACAAGCAAGCTGTTGAATTGAATGGATATTTTCAAGGAAAACAAAAATATTTTTCATTGATCTTCTATGTTGACATTCTTCTAAAAAGTCTACTGGCGATGATAAACACACTGGACTCAAGTTCATCTCAAATTTCTAAAGCAAGAAAATGTACATACTTTCTGAAATATCTCACAAAATACCTTCTCAGATAAAATGACAGGCTATATAAAATGACAAGGAACCTACTTTATTATTATTTATTCATATATTTTTGTTGCGTTGTTAAATTTGGTTTTTGTTAATATATTTAGTTGGTTTCAATTAGCTTTGGTATAGCTAGTATTGTACTTTTGCCAACTCGAAAAAAGTGAAGAAAAAAAAGAGATGAAATAATAAAACTTCAAGATTAAATTATAAGAATTGTGAGACTTATGCTTTTTTCAGTTTCACTCTGCCTTCCATATTCATTGCCACTGGTGACCTTATAATTGGCCTTTGTCCAGCTTTATATCCTCATTCAGTCTAGCAGTAGGGATGAGCCCTGATATTGAGCAAAAGTTGTCTGCTTCCAACAGTTTAGGAGTCAGTGGTTTTCATACTTTTTCTCTCTCTTAATAATAACACCTGGAACTAAAGTGTATGAATATGGTCAGAATATATTTTCATGAAATTTTGTAAACATTACAATGGTTGTTGTGTAGTCTGCTGTTCTAGCAGAAAACCTGAAGGCAAATTTTTATTTGAATTCTATTAAATAATGGAATCTCAAAAGTGACTGTAGAGATGAAGAGATAATGTAGACATCTTGCCTTGGTTGAAAGTTTTCTGCAATAACGTAACCCAGGTGAAAATACAATTGATTAAATCCCCGACCTTTCATCAGTTGCATTACTCTTCTTGTCGTTACCAGGCTCTGGTAGGGCAAATAGAGATACAGACAGAAAATAAAATTCTATTTTTGAGGTTTATGAACTGTCAACACCAAAACCAAAATCTTATACCAAATAAAGTCGCCTTGGACTGTGAAAAAATGTTATTCCCTTGCCAATATGGCTTGTCAGACCTCAATATGACAAGAATATTTCTCGTTATGTTTTTCTAAAGATTCCCCATTAAACCAATGTTTAGGTACAAAAATTTCTTTTTGCTACAGAAATTTCTTGAATGCTGGTCACAGAAACTAAAAACAAGCAAACATATTTTGCCTGAGAGGGTGTAATTTTAGAGGTTGAATTGAGAATACAGGAAGATGTTTTCTTTGCTTTTGAAAAACCAATTTGTCGATTTAATGATTAATTTGTCTTTTACTCCTTTCAGGCAGAGAATCCATCTTCAAGCCAAGAACAAGCACCAAAGCATAGTTGGTCTTGTATACTATTCTAATTCATTTTGCATTTTAACTATTTGCAAGTGCAATACAAATGTTTGTCCTATCTTTTAAAGAAAAGTTTAATGGAACGGGTGTATCTGATGTGATTCCAAATACTTTTAGCTACATCTGATAAAAGTCCTATTTCATATTTTGTTGAACTGATTATTTTTCTTTCATCTGCCTTTCCTGATTACGTTAAGCAGGGTTGCTTGTAAATAATATAAATATTTCTCCAGAAAACCTGCTTGAAAATGGAAGCTTGAGGCCAAAGAATGACTGGAATGGCAACATTTGCAAGGATATCGAGTTTTCACCATGGGAAGTTCTTGAGAACGGCGGAGATGGTATTCAGCTTGAGAAGTCTCCCAGTGGTAGGTGGAATGCGGTTTGAATAAACGGTTTAAAGTGGATCGTATCTTATGTTTCATTTTATTGATATTTTGTTTGTTATATCTTTACTTATTGCTCAGTTATAGCTCAGTGGATTTTTAGAAAGAGATGCTGAAAATAGGTGCTAAGTAAGACTTTAACCTAATATGGTACATATATGCTGACGTCATCGATACTTTGACCATGAAATCGTGGCTTAATTTTTTGTATTTTTTTAATCAATTTTTATCCTTGTACAATTTACTCACATTCATCGCTGTTATAGCATTATTTTGTACCGCACACAATCTAGTATATTTATGGAATCTTAATTTTTTGTAAGCTGACATTATGATTACTGTAACATACATTAACGTTTGTTTTGGTCAGGTTAGCTCTAACCACTTTCTCTTTTTCACAGCTCATTGCATAAACCCCAGTTTAGATTGCTAAATGTTTTTAGTGGCATTATTTTTTAGGCACTGACGTAGGGCCGTTGCCGAAGGAAACTGGGCTTGAACAACATTGCATTGCCACGTCAAGTGCCTGGTTTAAAAGAAGACAGACAATCGACCTGTTAAAAAATGGAATCGTTCCTGATTTTTATGACAATCCCGATTTGAAGATTTACATTTGCGAATGGTAAACAAAATTCATTAGTTTTTCCTGTTTTTATAATTGATTCCTTGTAACTTACGAACAGGAATCAAATTTGAAATCGTAAATGTTTATTGTAAGCTTACAATTTTGATTATAAGCTTGTGCTCTTATGTAAATCTATAGCCTTATTATAATAAAGCCCTTTTACAACCCACTGCTGTGCTTGTTCTGGAAAAAATTTTATCAAACTGTTTAATAGTTTTGTGTACTTGAAATTTCACCCGCAGCCTGTATTTGAAGGAAAGATGGTTGAATTCTTTTTTGTTTTGTTTTCAGGTTTGCATCTCGCACTGATAACGAGGGTGAATACTTCTTGACCGTATCTCTTCTTGACGAGAACAAGCAAGAAATCCCAGGGTATACTTACAACAGTGGAACAAACAGGGCTTACTATGATGAATGGGAGAAGATTGAGTACACTTTTTTCCCGGTCCCTCAGACAGCCCGGTTTGTCCGATTCGACGATGGAGGCAAAGATACCAAGTCTTGGGAGGGACAGTATGGCGTTAAGATGTTTGGGGCTTCTGTCCATGCTGGTCAGAAGACAGACAACGAAAACAGAGATTGTGTCTGATGTATACACTCACAATTCGTTTTCACATACGGGCGTGCTTTTTTATTGAATGCATGTAACGCAGCATTGATCAAACGATACAATCTCACTAAAATATTTGCGTAATAACTATTTATTAAATCAATCCACTGAACTTTCACCCTGAAATAATTCCTTAAAGAGGCACTGACGCAAATTTTTGCATCCAAAGATTTCAACCATAATTAGTGAGCCACAGGTTGGGGCTCATTGTACCCGAAAATTTCTTTCGTTTATCTGTACTCGCTGGGGAAGTAAAGTTTCGAGACTTTAAGAATTGGGATATACATTTTTGATACGCCACTTCTTTTGCATGGAAACAAAGGGTTTGACGTCATTTGACTGTTCTCAGTCGGGGTTTGTTGCTCCGGCTGGTTCAATCGGTGGCCGTTGTTTCTTTTTTCGCTTGTAAAAGTAGATGGAAGTAAAAGAAACGTCTTCGGTGTTTGTCGTTGGTATAATCGAGCAAATCTTGTTCCTGTGTTACGACACGCTCGCACACTAGTACTTTTTCTCGCATCATGGCTTTCAACGAAATCATACCCCTACATTTCTACCCCCGTCTCGTATGACGCACAGACTTTGTTCCTCTACATAATCTCGACATAGACCGACCTCCATGCATTCGGGAAATCACTAAATGATAACAATTGTTTGCGTTAGTGCCTCTTTCAGTTCAACAACGCACAGTGACTTAACTTTCTATAAATTCTAATTTATTTATTTGTTTTTTATAAATTCTAATTTATTTATTTGTTTTTTATAAATTCTATATTTCCTAATAGGATTTCAAGCTTATTTTTTCATCAAATAGAAATTCTAATTTTTTGTGTTTATGTTCTTGTTCCTGTGTCAAAATACTATACATTATTATTATCAAGTATTTGATAGTCTTTGGACAATATGGCTTCGAAACCTAAAGTTGTCTTATTATACCAACACTACCCCACATTTTCGTGCTGGTGTAATGTGCGTTTTGGTCTCCTATGCAAAATTGCAACATTATGAAACGCAATGTGATTCAAATCGTGCGATTGTTAAAAATAGTTGTTCGATTATGCTTTACATTCTGAACATTTGCGTACGTGGACCGTTTTACATGCTTAATTCCATCATTCCTCTTGGTACCCTATTGTTTAAATGCTTGGGTACATCCCTAAGCAAAATTACCATTCATTTTGGTACCCTCTTGTTTAAATGTTTGGGTACATTTTTGCATAAACAAATTGCCATGCGTTTTTGTACCCGGACCGTTTTGCATAAGGTCACCTTGGTCACCGGTCATCTTGGAATACTCTTCTCTCTTTTATGAGTAAAGTTCAGGCATTACCGTATTCCCATTGCATACTGTGCACGACTGTTAACAACGTCATCCGGGAATGGAGCTTCAAATGCTAGAGGACAGAACGAGGTTACCTTGTACCACTGTTTCTTATAGGTGGCCTTTGGCTAAGGTTTAGAACCCGTTATTACTCCTACTAGGGTACGTTGAAGTCAGTGGCAACAGGCTGATGGGTGTGGCTTATGTGATTTACGTCATAGCACAAAATACCGTGTGTTTGGTAGCAGTCATTCGATATCTGGCAGAGATCTCCATGTCGTCGTTTTTATTGGGTCAATGATAGGGATAATTTTTCCTTCTTAACCATATTTTTAAAACAATTGTACCGCATCCGCCGTTTTGTGGGTCAACCTGGCGCGCCTTGCTCAGTGAGCGACCAGACTGGAACTGAGACGCATGCTACTGGAAGGAGCCAGATTCATCTTAGAAGCACGTTGAAGATAGAATCATGGATCATGAAGAAGATGGAAGGAATGGGTGTAAACTATACATAGTCTGTACAGAAGTGGGTGTAGAAAAGTTTCATAGCAGACGAAGTTAGGGTTGTTCTGCTCTCCGGATAAGAAGAAGACAATGACAGTTCCAGTAATATGAGTTGCAGTAATACTCAAGAAAGAAACACGCAGAGCTCTTATGGAATACAAACCATAAAACATTATATAATAATAATATATAAATATAAATAATTTGTTTAAAGATGGCGTACTAAATGAACGGCTGATAGCTATAAAGAAGCTAATTAAGGCCAACTATCTATAAAGAGTTAGTATGAAATAAAAATATACGATACAATATTAAAAAGGTTTAAGGTATAATGTTCTAAATAAAACCTAACCCAGCAATAAATTTTTTACACAATCTATGCATCAACTAATTTACACAATCTTTTGTCCGTTAAAATATCCGTCTGTTACGATCAATGGAGAATCAGCGGAGAGTGTTAGGAGTGCATATGTCTAGGAGTCCTTCTTACCGGGTTCTTATGAGATAAAGAGAAGAATAGCGATAGCAGAGAATGACATAGTAGCACTGTCCAACATAAAGTTAAAAGCAAAAATGCAATTAATTTGCATCTTAATTTCCTCAATTGTAGCATATGGGCTCTTTAGAAGTCTAATCAAACCCTCTGATATCCTGGAAAATGATATCCTGGGTACCAGGGTAAAGTACTGTAGACGGCTGCGATGGCAAAAAATGAGTGGTAGGGAAGAAAAGAAAAATCTAGGCTAGGCATGAGCTGCCTCCAGATATATTCAAGACCTATTTCGAAATCAAACATTCTTGAACTTTTCGTAGTCAAAACTTATTTTAAGGTTCAGTTAGAGACCAATTTGTGCTGTGATAAAATGGTTTGTGCAATGAAAGGTGTGCAGGGTATAAGGAACCTCATAAAGTAATAAAATCAATTTAAAGAACAGTACTAAGTAATCAAACAAATGATATGTGATGAATCAAAACTGCAAAAAGATCAGCTAAACTTCCCATCGAATTTTGTCAAACAAAAGTCAATCGAATGTACTATTTCGCACTGTCGACAACAATGTAACTGGGTAGAAAAATGAAAAAACAAAGAAAGATAAAAAGCAGAAAATTAACTTCAACAATTGATTTACTATTTTTTATTTAGTTGAAGAAGTTACTTGAAACTATGTCGATATTATGAATGACTGACTTGTCAATAGTCTCATCAGTTGACATCTCGTATGACCAGTTGCCTTAGCGGAGATATCAATGAAGATGTAAAAATTAATTAATTAATTGTTCTTGTGGTTACTTAATTATAGGGTGCGGTGCGGTCAGGAAAAATTTCTTGCAGGACCCGTCTATAATTCAATTGTTTTTCATCAAATTGTGCAGTTATCAATTTTTACTAAAATTGGGTATGTTCCTAATATACACTGAACGTTACTGAGAAACAAAGTTCAACGTTGAGTACTCTTAACACATGTTGAGTACTCATTAGTTTTGAAGATTTTGCACATTTGAATCTCATTATTTTTACAATATGGTACTTTTTAAGGCTGATGAAATATTTTTATTGTTCAGTCAACAAAATTGTCAACAATTATTTAGTCAACAAAATTGTTGAAATAACGAAGTTTTGAAGTTCTGCATTTTTAAATGCATTTTTGAGCACTGAAGTTTCTTAATTTTTCACAGTATCCAGTACACATTTTATTTGGCAATTTTTTACCATAAGGAAATGTGCGTACTGAAAAGACATAATTTAACAAAACAAGTATTTCATTCATCTTGCACACAAAACGAGAACTGATGAATTTCTAATATGGTCGATTAGCTGCAAAATGCAAATACGTACATGGGAAGATTCTTCTATTTGTTACCTTTGCTTCATTTCTTGCGATGGATGTCAACTTTCTTTTGATTAAGAGTATGAAAATAGTTTAGGTCACAAGTGCTACCTAGGAACTTCGTAGCACTAGCTCTAGATATGTCAATCGCCTTTCTTCCGCACCATATAATAAAATTGGAATCTACCTGGAAATGCAATTTCCTATACGCGATTATTATCTTCAAACTTCTTTGAAGAAATAGAAATTGAAAGTAAGCCCACTGAACTTCATATATTGATTTCCACGATTTTCATTGTGATTCAGGATGCATGAAACTTCAATTCAACCATAAGAGTAAAGTCTCCTCTAGGACTATGCAGAAAAAATTTCAGAACAATATAAAAGTAAACAATGGAATAATGTATATAGATTACGCCCGAGATATCCGACATGGAGCAACGTCGGGAAAATGCGATTTCGATTTCACTGGACAAATTTTCCAGGAAACTAGTGTTCTTAAATTTATTCCTATTATGACACATTTCCGTAATTCCCTAGTTTCATGTTCTGCTTTCCTTAATTCTGTGATTCCGGATTTCCAAATTCCGTAGATCTGGATTCTGTAAATTACACCAGTCGACTGCGCCATAATCGAATAGCCTCATATTGACTACCTTGTCCATTCTTTCTTGTTACCGCATTGCGCCTTTTCATCATGGCGGAGTATCTTGCATCGATTTTCGGAACCGAAAAAGACAAGTAAGAATCATCACCCATTTCTAAGTTTTGTGTTTTTCAAAGTATTAGATAAACAATCTGTTAATGATTGGATATAGAGAAAATTGGAAATAATTTATATTTAACTTATGTTGGAAATGTACTATCAAACTGAGCTCGACATTTTGATCAATTGCAATTTGGCGCTAACAGAAAGATAGACTGAAGCGGCTGCTCATCCTCCCCATTTGCAAAGTAAAATGTTTGATTTTTTATCAGTAGCTTATTTGAGGAAGTTGAGAACAACGTAAACCGACATATTCCTGGTTCAACACGAAGTTGGATGTTAACAGGGTGTCTATTAAATCTCTAATTGTAGGACAAGCTCCTACCTACATTTAACGACTAGACCAGGTTGTGAGAGGGCCAGGATGCATTTCGTGTCAACTATACGCCGGGGCATATGTTTAGGTACGCCAGAAATATGAGCAGTTAGTGAAACTGTAAACATTGTTGGGCCAGAAAAAGAAAGCTGATTGATAGAGAAAAATGTAGTGTCTTTATTTTATGTTAACAATGTAGCCTGCCAACTGATGAAAATTTTAGGATTGCCAAAAATGTTTAATTGGTTTGCATGCCGAGGGCAAAAAAACATGGGTGGATGCTGAAGATCTCCGGGCCTAAGTACATGGAATGCACCCTGGTGAGAGGGGAGAGGGGGGTTTTAGTGTGTTACATTTTCCAGTTTGAAATGCAGATTATGGCTAATTTAGGCCATCAGTGGAGGTTACAAATTTTCTTGTACACCTATATTTTATACTCTGAAGAGTGTTTGATTAAAAACTTTAGAATGACTCAAAATGTTTCCTTTTTTCAAAGCCATTTTTTAATTCTTTATAACAAAAAGATCTTTTGGTAAAAAAATAATAGACAAAAAGATAATAGTAGTTTTTGTGTTGTGCACGATTTACATAAAACTAAAAGAGTCTGTTCTTTTAAATCCTTTGTGCAAAAGGGGGACCTTGAGCAGGGGCAGCGGACAGTGCTATAATTGCTATTACTGTAATAGCAATTTTTTCAAGGCCACATCGTGTGCAATGTAGAAAAAATAAAACGAAACACAAAAATTTTCAACCGCGGTTCTAGTTGTAATTGCCTCATTCAATCAAACTAAAGTAGCCGCAGCAGACCTTTCATGAAAAGCCAAGATACCACAGCATGAGAGGAGCCTCATTCTTCAGCCACAGAACGGCCATGCTATTACTTTGGCCTTTTTCATAGCAAGTGAAGGAAAACAATAGTCATTACATCATAACTCACTTTGTTTGCAGCGCAATAGGCTATTGTTAGGAATGCAAATCCCGCTGCATTGCTATTACAATCTCAGATTTAATAGCAAGAGGTCAGATAGGTGCTCATCTCAAGGAGAACTAAGTAGCTTGATGCGGAAAAAAAACAAATTGTTTTGTGTCTGCTTGTATAGATGTATAAGACAGGATGTTTCAATGGCTTTCTTCCTTTTATATTTGCAAATTTAGGCAAATTAACTCATGAGCAGGGCCTTCGCCTCAAAATGATGGACATCCTAAACCGGTGTTGAAGTTAGTAAAAAGCTGATTTAGATAAATTTTGATTTAAGGTTGGTGATTCAGACATAAAATACATATTATTTCTGGCATTTTAAATTATAGAGGATGAGGCCATTATGCTGCTTTTACAAATTTTTAGACAAACTTTTCACGGGGAAACTAATACGCTCTCTGGTACCCAATTAGACCACAGTGGCAATCTTGCTATATAACACAATGTACCTTTAATAGCAAGGGGCTTTCCCAAATGGCAAAGAGCCACTGGGGCCTATCGGCCCCAAAGTGAAGCCACCTTTCACCAAGGCTATCAGCCTATGCGTAGACCAGGTATTCCAAAGGAATAGATTAGTGGCTCCACCCGTACATATGGAATTTGAGTAAAGAGATATAGGTCCTAAAAAAATCGTTTAAAAACTCACTAGTAAAGAACTCACAGGGTACATATATTTGTGGTAATAGCAACTTTATATCACTCTGCGCCGCCCTTGACTTTGAGTCACTGTTAAAGCATATACATATTGAACAAAGTAAAACAGCTTCAAGACTTCAAGCTTCAAACAGCTTCAAACTTCAAGATAATCGATAGATACTAAAGGGCTTAGGCCATCTGTGGATTGCATTTGAAGTACATTCTATGTGATACTGGTTTAGCTCACCTCAGCAATTGAGGGGAGCAATTCACAGCTCACCCAGTCTTTGTAATATGAAAATAGGCTGCGTGCAGTGTTTCGCACGTCTTGACAACTTTATGCGTGCGATGGTGTGCGATGTGGACCGCCTTTTTATCCGTCGTTTCTCTTTCCTGTTGTCAAGAACTATAGGGTACTGCTTGCAAGGAGACAATTTGTGTCGCAAACTGAACAGAAACCAATGAATTTGACGGAGAAACTGTTCTTGTTCTTCTTTAAAGATGTTAAATTTAATTAGTTAATAAGTTTTCTAAGAAGCAATTATAGAATATTTTTGTATTCATTTAAAGATCTGCAAACAATCCATTAGTGGTACAAAGGTTGAAAAAAATTAAATGCTCGAAAGAATTATCATGCATTGTCGAGAAATTACCATGTAGCATCACTGACTTCAGTAGCATTGTTATCGTAGCGATAACATAGCGGATATTCTTAAAAAACATCTTACCATTTGATTGGTGTTCCTTCCAAGATAATATGGAATTCAGCAATCAATTGAAGGAAAAGGAATGGGTAGAGAAATGAAACAAAGGTCGAAATAAACATACTTTTTTTGAACGCAAAAACGTGGCTTTACAGCTCTTAATCTTAATAAAACGTTTGATAACAGTTTAAAATGATTAAAAAACAGTAGACATTGCCTCTTCTTCCTTAGAGCTTTCTCAGTTTCCTCCTCTTTCTATAGCTTAGGTTTCTTCGATATACTGATAACATTATAAAGTTTTGCTTTCTGCTCTTCGAAAGATAGAGCACCATTGCCCTTTTCAAGATATTTTATCTTTCTTTGTCAGTCCATATATCATCATTGATTGCAATGCGAAGTCACATCTCCATTTCACTGTATGGCATTTGTAGTTTTCTGATTATTCCGTTCTTTCCCCAACCCATAAATATCGCCAGCTTCACTTTGTTTCTTTTTGCCATGATCACATGATGTTGCATCCTAAATCCTGCTTTGGAGACCAAATGTAGTCTGTGCATAAATCGTACTTTTCTAAGATAAAAATACACTGCAATGTTTGGATTGTGCTATTTTGTTGTATTTTGTTCACATGATACTGTTTGATCGGGCTACTTTTGATGATAATGTGGCAATTGTAGAATACACAACTACTTTGAAAAAATGGCTTAAGTGGCTAGATAAAAATGGCTTTTAACACACAAAGAAACTTGTGTTGACCTTTTCAGACGATAATTTTTTTATTGCAAAAGTTGTGCTTTTGGTTAGTCTATCTTCATAGAAGCCAAGAGGTTATGCTCTGTTGACAAAAGGTTCCTTCACTTAGAATTATTAATCGAATGTTTAAGTAGTTGTCATTGTTTTTGTGTAACTTGCTAGTGACCAATTATTGGCTTTCATTTTTTATTGGCATTCAAATTGCTAATTGGTTTGTTGTGGATCTAAGCATGCTTATCATAAAACCCAGCATTTAAGTTGCTTGCTATTGTTGTAGTTAACAGAAAATTTGATTTCAACATAAACCATTATAAAATGCAAACAACCAGGGGCACCTGTATATCCATGTGTTAGATTCTTTTAATGAGACCTCATTGGATTCTCTTCTTGATGTTCCTACAATCATTAAAAATATTTTCATAAATATTTTTAGAAATATTTTCAACAATAAAGTATTAGACAAAACATTTTTTTCTGAATTTTAAGTCCTCAGATTTTTGTGGGGGGGGGGGGGGGGAGGGCTTATGTGCGAGAGCGGCTTATACATAGGTTTTTACAGTACAAGATTTAAAAATGATGGCAGCTATGTAACCAGAGATAAATGACAAATATTTCTTTAACTCTTTCTTTCAGGGTAAACTGTTCATTTTACTTCAAAATTGGTGCTTGTCGTCATGGGGACAGATGTTCAAGGTTGCATAACAAACCAACTTTCAGTCAAGTATGTTAAATTCTCTAGTTATGTTATGGTCTGTTGTGTAATGTTGTCACTATGTTATGTTTTATTTTGTTGTTATCTTGTGTTCTGTTATGTTCTGTTTTGCTTTGTTGGATTCTGCTATGTTATGTTTTGCTATATTGTGTTATGTTTTGTGATGTCATGTTATTTCATTTTAAGAGAAATAGTAAATTTTTATTGTCTTATCATTCAAATGCTCCTCTGCCCCCCTAGAGGCCCTGTAAAGGTGCTAGAGTTTTTCATTGCCCATTTGAAATGATAAAATGAAATTTTTGAAATCTTCAGAACATCATTTAATCCTTTTGTCTTTCAGACAATTTTGCTTCAGAACATGTATCAAAACCCACAAAACCAAGCAGCAGTAGCTGACGGCTCAAGTAAGCATCAATTTGGAAAACTTTTAAGGAACTTTTATAATAGATACAAGTTACTAATTTCATATCTTGCAATAAAACATGATCCTTCTTGATTGTGATTATGTTGATGTCAATCCAGGTTTTAGGGTTGACCATTAAATTTTTGAATTTAAGATTATATATATTCAAAGATCAATAAAAAGCCTCATAAGGGTGACAAGTTTCACACAAGCTATTTCATGTTTGTATTTTGTTTCTTGTGTAACTTTGCTTTTAAGATTCTTTTGTTAAATATTTTTTTGGAGAAGGTTTTAAAAGTAGACTGTGCCACAAATGTAACAAATAGCAGAAAGGGGGCAATGGCTAGACTGTATGCTTTGGCAGCATGCATGTGTTATGACCAGGCTTCAAAAACAGAATAAACAATAGGATACAAATCTATTGAATGGATAGATTGCATGGACGTTCCTGTAACCGTAACGCTTTAGGAATTTTTTAATCTTTAATTACTTTCATTATTTTGTTAAGCTAGATTCTTTGGTTCTGTTGCGTGTTAATGTCACATGTTTGTTTGTTGTGCTGTTGTGTTAGTAACTCCCTTTCGGGGAAATGTGCATTACTGTCATTGTGTTATGTGACGTTTCACAGTGTTCCTTTGTTTGTGTTTTAATGTCATGTAATCCAAGTTAGAATAATTTAGTCTTACAGATTTGACAAAAGAAATAACATCAATGGAAGAGTATCTCTTGTGTGCTATCTAGTTGGGGCTTAGGCTAGGCCATGAGGTTGGCCTAGCCCATTGGTTTGATTACAATACAAAGTCACCGTCTTAAGATGAACCCAAACGTCACACCGCTGGCAAATGGCTCACTTATGTAACAATTTGTGTTCAAAGGAAGTGATAATTTTCCTTATATTCCAGACATTTGGCATTTCATATTTTGTCCAGTTTTTAGTCCTTGTCTTGATCTCTGAATTTTGGTCCTAGCAAGCATAATGACTGATGTTGAAGCCCAAGAGCATTATGACAGATTTTTTGAAGATGTGTTTTTGGAAATGGAAGAAAAAGTGAGTTTCATTTTGTCAGATTAATCCGCAATTTTTTAACTGATCTGCACAGAGCCAACATTAACAATATTTTAGCAGTATTTGAGTTGTAGGATGGTTTTTGTCCTTTGAAGATTCTGAAGTATGGATTATTTTGATTTTTTTGAAGTATGGAGATGTTGAAGAAATGAATGTTTGTGACAACTTGGGAGACCATCTGGTTGGAAATGTCTACATAAAGTTTCGCTATGAAGAAGATGCAGAAAAGGCAGTTACAGACCTGAACAACAGATGGTACAATGGTGTGTATCCTCTTAATAAGTGAATGTTTGTTTTTAAATTATGTTAGATTCCTCAATAAGTTCAGGTCACAGAGATGTTTATTTTGTTGATAGTGTGTTGCATTTTTAACGTTTCAAACGAAGTTGAGTGGCATTCATTTTTTCTCTAGTAGCTTAATTGCTAAATGACATGATTGGTTTACCAGTATGTATATTTTGATAAATGTATACTCTTCCGCATGCTAAAATGTAAGGATTGAAGTGTAAGGATTGCAAAGTTTTTATTTTGATAAATACTGCCAAAGATAGAGCAGCTGCTTCCTTCCAGGGACCTACTTTCGAGAAAATGGATATTAATAATACTATTTTTATTTCTTTGTAAGATTTGGTCATGGCTTTGAGAACGTAAGGTAAAGCCTTTTGATATAATAACAGTAATAAAAGTTAATTAACTGTTTTCAGATGAGAAATTATGAAACTATGAGATAAAGTCAATGAAGTTAAAAATCATTTTCTGTCGTTTGCGAATTTTTTAAACATCTATTAGTTTTATGAAAGTTATAACTAAAGAAGTATCTAACTGTATCAATTCAATTGACTGTTGCCATTACTGAATACGTGAATACCTCTGTTCACTGTTGTGATGTTTTATTTATTGTATGTGGATGATTTTATTCATATAAATAAGATTACCCGGTAATAACGTTGTACTTATATTAAACTCAATCGGCATTGTATCTGTTTTGCATTTGTTCAATAATTTCATAGTTGATATTCTCATTTCAGCTCAACCAATTTATGCTGAACTTTCCCCAGTAACGGATTTCAGGTTTGTGTGGAATATTTCCAAGATTTAGTGAAAATATTCTCAGTATTTGGTGAACCTTCTAAACAAAAGAGTGTAAATGTTGGCCTCAGTCGGTCTCATTTTGCTTGGTATTTGCTTTTTTGTACACAAGTGCTCTTGGTTACATGGCTAATTCCTGTCCAATACATTAAAATAAGAAAGACCTTTGAAAACCATCGGCAAAAAGTCTCGTTACCGTTTGATTCGAATGGGTCTTGATTTGCTCTTCTTTATATAACCAACTCTGTTCAGTTTTATAAAAGCCCTTTTTGTTGATCAAAAAGAGGCTTCTTATCAGTTCTCTTAATACCGTTAATTTTTCATTTACAGAGAAGCTTGTTGCAGACAATATGAGATGGGGTGAGTAAACACAAAGCCATTTTTTCTGTCATTTGCTGGCAATTGAACATCCAAGTTAAAAATGAGTAGAATAGATATTTGTGTTCAGAACAAAACACGCCAATTTCAAACTGCAAAGAGGCTCAAAATCTTGGCAAATGAATGCAATCTGCATAATTTTCCATTTCCGAAGAAACTGTCTTTTCTGCCAGGTTTGTTGTTTTATCCATCTCAATTATTTCTGGACAGACGTAGGCCCGTCAGTGATTGTTTTCGTCTAAGATGTCGATGTCGGAAATTTTGTTTGTGTACTAGCTGAAATCTAAAAGAAACTCTCTCCACAATTTTAAATGATAAGCCGCTAATCACGCAATGGTGAAAGACTTTAACGAAACAATTTTGCTGATAGCCGGCACTTTCCAATGTCAAGAGTTAGCCGTTTCCTCTTTTGTCATGTTCCTTATCAAATTCATGTTGAAGTTACTGCTTTCTTTGGGGGCGTAAATGATATATCTACTTTGCTTTTTCCACAGCAGTAATCTAACATATCAACAGGGAATTCGTTTAGGAAATGATGAGTGACGTCACGAATGCGCCACAAACTTCCTCTAATTGCCAGTTCCTAGGAAATCGTGCCTATCCTTTTAATTTTGAAGACGAAATACTCTACGTCATGATTGTGCTGTTCCATTTTTTACAGCTTGAATGATTTTGCCTCATTAGAAATTAATGTAGCCTCTTGTAGCTGTACTAATTAAATGCTTCCACACACATGAATACTTAAAGATGTGCATCGTCCATTATATTTCCTTTCTTTATCAGGGAGTGCACTCGTGGTGGCTTCTGCAATTTTATGCATCTTAAGCCAATTTCAAGGGAGCTCAGGTGAAACTTTTTAACATTTTGCTCTGCACTTTTCAAACAAACAGCTCTGCGTTTTAGACCAGTCTTTATGTTTGAAGCCATTCGTTGTTCATTCGCTTTGAATGTTTTGCTTTTTTGTTTATGCTCTTTTTCTTCATTATTTTAATATAATCTATGTGTCATATTCATCAAGCTTTGAAATGATATTCATGAATTTCAGAATTAAAGCAGCATCATTTTTTGCAATTACTTCTTTGATCAATCATTGTATGATTTTTACAGACGCCGACTGTATGGAAGACGACGTGGCGGAGCTGGTGTTGGTGGAGGAAGACCAATGTAATTATATTTTATGCTTATCTTTCTCTGTGAATCTGCTTTTTTGTCAGCCAAAATCAGGAAGGTTGAGCAAATTCAAGATTCATTTTTTCTACTTATTGTTTGTGACTTTCTGCAGAATTCTATCTTCACGGTGCTCCAGGTGTTTATATGTCTCCAACTCCATGATTTTTTCTCTCATTTTTCTCAATATTCCTTTTCTTATTTTATGAACTTCATTCATTAATCTTTCCCGAAGCGAACACGTCTTTATAATTATTTATATACATTTCAACGAATATTCGTCTCAGTATAAACTGGAAATTCGAAGTAAAGAATTAAAAGAGAGTCAGGAACAAAACAATACGACAACGAGAATCCAATTTGATGAGATTTAATTTTAAAATAAATTAAATTTAACGAGGACTAATTTTTCGCCCCGGCATACAGGACTTTTTGTGTTACTATTCACTGCAAGATTCATAGAATCCGGCGGACAGCCTACCCGGCGTTTGTTCCTTCTAACAGATGAAGAATTGAAAATGTCTCCATTTTGGATACTATTACCCGCTTTGTAAAATGAGAATGCTATTTTCTATACTCAGAGCTAACTGCGATCAATTTTAGGGAAAACTCTCCTGGTCGCTGGTCGCTCTCCACCACGAAGAAGAGGCCGCTCTCGCTCAAGGTCGCCTCGATATCGACGCAACCACAGGTCTCGTAGTCGATCAAGAAGTAGATAGATGCACGCAGTTTCAAGATGCCAATTGACGACTTACCGACGGAGTAAACTGAAATATGAACAACTTGTAGCTTAGGTTTAGAGCAGAAAAGCTTTTTTTAATTACTTGGTCCTTGTTTAAGATCCTTGTTGGATTTTTTCTTATTTTCTTGTGATCTGTGTTGAAGAAGTAAAATGTTCCAATTTGGCTCTTTTTTCCTTGCTAGTGTCTAGAAAGGCTGGTGTTTTTTCTGTAATACAGCATTTCTCTGCAACACTGTATTCGGTTGAAATATATGGATTTTCATGCCCCAAAAATAATCAATTTCCGCTCCCACCAAGTTTTATGATTTTAAAATCTTAGTAAAAAGTATGAAGGTAATTGGAATGCAAAAAAGCTAATGAAAGTTGTGTAACCGGTAGGGATTCTTAAAAGCTTGTTTCTTAAAGAATGTTGCAAAATTGCTAAAATTTAAGATCGAAAAAGAATAGAGATTACCATTTTCTAAGTTGCACTCAGGCCAGACATGTTTTTGTCACGCGATGGTACTTCTAGAAAACACTTCGGGTTTCTATTTAAAGGATTTATTTTTAAGGTTTAAAGAAGCGAAAAAGCTTTTAAAGATGTTGTTCTGTCATTATGAATGCTAAAGGAAGTACTGGAAGGGTGATAAAATTCAAGAGAGGTCTGATGAATATAACAATTGAAACAATTGAAAAATCAATATAACTGAATGGCAATGCGTCTGCCAGGTTCATAGGAACGTTACCAACAGAGAAATCATGAAAGTTACGGTTGTTGAACTGAGCCACTGTTTTAAGTTCGATGATGTTTTAGAACGAAAAGTTGAGTTTGTTGAACAAAAAGTTAAGGAGACATTGGGGCTGGGAGGGTCACAGCCCCCGCCCCTAATCTGGCAAAATTTATCGCATCTAAATAAAGAAATAAAATCCGGGCAACATGTATACAAAGCTCCTCTAAACGTTTAGTATCCGCTACGCTGACACCTTCATTGTGCCACAGAATACTATTCCGTGATTGTGTCACAGTATTTTCTATTATGTGATTCAGAAGGACATTCTGAGAACGAGACTATCCCATTCAATTTAACCACACAACATTTTGAAATCATATAGCGGCCAATATGGACGACAACATCGGTAGGGGAAAGTCGAGAGAAGAAGATGGAAGGGATAGAAGGGGAGAAAGGAGAGACAGAGGTGGAAGGAAGAGAGAAAGAAGAGGCAGGGACAGTAGAGACAAAGATCGGGGGAAGAGGATGGAGAGGAGCCGACCAAGCCCCATGGTACGCTATCCATTTTACCTCTTTGCATCTTTTGTCGTCTATTTGATCTTGCTTCAAAATTCGTACGCTTGGTATTTGCAAGTCATGAAAAAAAAATATTTGATTAAGATTAATTGTGAATCAATAGAGCTAGCAAATTTTCTTTTCAGAGTTGAAAAGGACTTGAGGAATTTGCTTAGTCAGATTTGAAAAGCAGTTAACAATGTTATTGGAAATGTCCACATATAATGCCCTAGGAGTTTTTTAATGATAACACTGTTGTGCCTAGCTTCATTGCTTATAATATAGAAATTGGAAATGCAACTAAATAGAAGGTTTAACTTACTAACAACCAGGGTGGGCTCCTTGAGTTGCGATCCAGTCTTCCTGGAAGGTGCAATCTGCAGAAGTTTAGGTTCACCACAGGCACAAAAGTCATGGATATTTATGTATATTTGTAGAAAAGAGTTCAATTATTTTCGTAAAATATCACTTTAGGTGCCACAAGATTGGTGAAGGCTTCTAAATTTTCTTTATTTTAAGTTTTTGATATGTCCTTCCTTGCTTAGGCCTAGGCACAGGATACTTTAGTTTGACAGTGTATCAAAAACAATCTACAGACAAATAAGCATTTTTGTGTGTAGATCTAAATGCTATAAATGTACCCTTAGAAGATGATTTAATATCTATTGGAGAAATGAAGAAAATAATAAAAATGAAGAAGAAGAAAGGTTCAAATTTGAGTTTTGTCATCTTTTATATGGTTCAAATCAGGGCAGAATGCAGTCCTGGTGATATTAGGCATGCGATCACATGCTCACACCTCCACACACACCAAAAACTGCCCAGGCATGCTTTTTATTGCATGCACAGTTCCAAGTTCTGAATTACTATTCTTTTTCTCTTTTGTTTCTTTTAATTTCTTGTTTATTTTCTCTAAAATAATTTTGGATTTTTTTTGTGTGCATTACTTTGATGGCATTTCCAGGGGCATTATAACTGAGATCCGGTTTCCATTACTCTTTTTTCGTATATGTCTCCGTTTTTCTTGTTTCATTTTTGCCTTTTCTTGGACAGATTACCCCGAGCCACTCTGTTTTAATCAAAACGATAACATGGGTGTTTCCATTACTCCACTTTTACATTTTCCCATATCCTTTGATAGAGCTCTTTTTGATGAGATGGAATTGCTCTGTTTCAAATGCTGTTTCCAATAAAACACATTGTTTTATTGGAAACAGCATTGCATGCCTGAACTTTTCAAGGTGTGCTACTACCAGCGTGCTATGACAAATTTCATATTACCAGGACTGAGAATGACACAACTTTTGCAGAAAGGCAAATCCAAAAACATGGAAGCCTAGGCATCCATCCAAAGTCATTTTTACACTTTTCTTTTACCTTAAAAAGGGGACAGATAAAAGACATTCATGTTGGTCAAATGACAAATCAGTTGTCACATGGTGTTCACAATCAAAGTTTTTGTCAACCATCAGACGCATTACTAAAATGGAAAATGATAGCTGAAGTAAAAATGAGTTTGCCTATTGATCGAAACTGTAAGTGCTCTGCATTTTCATTTTATTCGTCGTTGCCACTGCAGGAAAAACAAGATTCTACACCTCAAGCCTCTGCCCCAATGAAACAACCAATTATTCTAACAAAACCTATGGCTGAAAAGGTATTTCTATCATTCATTGTTTCATCTTTGCTTGATTTAACTACTGTAGAAACTGGGCCATTTTTTTAGATTTTGAAATATGGCTTTAAAAATGAAATGCTAAATTGGCTTGGTGGTAGCAGATCATATATTAACATAGCAAAGCCAGGTTTCACAGGAATGCTATTATAAACTGAAAATAAGCAAAAAACACTCAGGAGGCACTGTTTTGCAAATTTTGACATAGTGACTTAACTTTAGATGAGAAGAGAAGGTATTTTGATGTTTTGAATTACAATAATCATAATCTGCCTCCCTCATCACAAGAGTGAAATGTTCACAAAGCACACCATGGCAGCAACAAATAACCACATTGACCTAAAGCTGTCAAAAAAGAACATAAGACACTTGGGCAAAGTCATTTTCATTAGAGGTGTTAAACTTTGAAGTAGCCTAGATGTATAAACTTAGCTGGCAACCTTTGATTGATTGATTGATTCAAATCTTTGATTTACACATTAAGGGCATGAGAGGGGAACACTTTATAATAGAGTTTCAAATATAGCATGGTATGTTATGGTAAGGATAGCTAGGATAGGGTGGTGTATGGTATACTTTTTGTTTTAGTCTAGACTTATTGCAAGTGTTTATTTTATTTAAGGTATTTAACTGCGTAGCCCGTTGTAAACCAGCATTGCTGAATGGGCTACCACTAAAAAGAATAGTTATAAGATAACATTATGTCTAAAACTAGTTTCAAACTATTTAAAGAATTCCAATTTATTTATTTTTATTAGGTTTTGCAAGAAGCACAAAGTAAAGAGGCTCAGGGAAAAGAGCAGCACCCAGTTGTTATTGCAATCCAAAAAAGGTCAGTAGTTGCATTAATAATCTGGGAAATTTATTTGTAATTTACCAAGACAACTTTACTGAGAAAATTTGATCAAACCTATTTTTGAATAAATTTCATTTCAGGGATGAAAATAAACCACCAGCTTCTCTTTTATCAACAAACAGTGGCACATCAAGGCCAAGCACCATTGATTCAACCAAGAGTCAGTCACAAACACTGGATTCCTTGTCACGGCGGGAGGAGAGAAGTGAGCAAGGGAAGGCTCAAATGGTCACAAGTTCACAAACAAGCTCAACAGGTTTTTTTACCATTTGAAACTTTATGTACGATTTCTATATCCAGCTGTCTATTTTTTTACTTTACACCGCAGAATTCAGGTTCAATATAGTTTTTCATTAAGACTATCATTTAACGTGTTAAGGCAAAGATGCATTTCTTTCCAGCCCAAAAACTGGATCAGGTTGTTACTGGACTTGCTGCTTTGCATGCAACGCCACGAGTGACCATGAAACATTCTTCCAAAGTTGTTGATGACTCATTTTACTGGAGTGATAAGTGTCTTACTGTAAGTATGGTTCCTATGGGTTTGTACAAACCTTGATCTATTAGAACAATTTCAATGCTACTTTTTAGACTAATACTGCCTAGCTCCATTAGATAAATAAATGTTAAAACTACTTGACGTCATCAACTGAATGGACAATTTTATTTAGAAGGATCATTATTTCTTTCACCTGATTTTTTCTGGTTTTTTGGCTACTTTTCTCCTATATTGCTCAAATTGTACAGTCGTAAAATTGCATATTGCTTTGCTTGCACAAGTTTGTTCTGCATTCCAACTTGCATATGTATTTCTCAGTATAAGTACTTTGTATCTTTTCATTGATATTTTCCTTTTTTCACAGTCTCTTCTGGAACAAACTGACTTTGTCGTTGTTGGTGTTGTTGGGTACCAAGGTGTTGGCAAATCAACCATTCTATCCATGCTGGGAGATTCAAAAAATGAAGATGCCCTTAAAAGGTTGCTGTATTTCTAATTTTATTTTTATGGAGATCGACAATCTTAATGCTATTTTTATCATCGTGTGTTAAAGGTTTTTAATGGCATGCATGAATGGATTATTGAGATCAAACACCATGTAGCACCATGTGCTATAACTAGGGCTCCTTTCCCTGTGACAAAAATGTTTGCTCAAAGGATTGAAATAACTTCATATGCAGTTTTAAATATAAAATTAGGTGAGGTTTGCTGCAACGATATTCATTATACGTTCATAAGTATAATAGAAGTTAATATTTGCTTGTTGCAGTGGACTTCTTTTCCGGTCCCAAAGCAAGCAAGATGTTGTAAGTAATTTTGTACTATTTTGCATTTGTCAATTTTTTTACTTGGATTTTGAATGAAAGCATGTTTTCTTCTTTCTTTAATTGGTAAACATTTCTATGAACTCGCTTTTAGGTCCATACTGTTCTCTTTTGAAAACAGGTCCATTCTGTTTCTTTCGATGCATTTACATGTTTCGCTTGCTATGTTGAATTGTCTTCAGATTTCTTTTTAGGAAAAGTCTCTTCACAGAACCGAGGGTATTGATATGTTTGTGACACCGGAAAGACTCATTTTTCTGGATACTCAGGTACCTCACTTAGACATTACACATAAACTATTTTATAGTGACTTAATACCTTTCACATGTGTATTGCTCCAGTTGTTCGGTTTTATACGGAGCTGCCTTTCTACTTTGAACTTGTTTATATTCTTTAACTTTAACTTAATTATTCATTGTATTTATTGTCAATAATCATCATTAGTTTCATGATAGTTTATTAAACAATTGCTGAATTCCCTTTTTTAGCCTCTGATGAGTCCGTCAATTCTGGACCGTTTTTTACGTCACGAGAGGAAAGTTCCTTCTGATTTTGGAACGGCAGAAACTTGCGTCGAAATGCAGGTAGGCTCACTTACGACAAAGTTACTTGTGGCAGTACCGTTATTGATATTTCGGTAAAAATCTCTCTAAACAAAGTATAAAGGCCTAGGCATTCGACATGTTATGTAATGTTGAAATTTCCAGTTGGAAACTTCGACACTATTGCTTTTACCTTGTTTTTCGTGCGCCGATTGTCAGCTATTTCTTTTTTGGAAATTGCTGCTCCACTTTGTTCATCTTTACGTCTGCTGTTATTTAGTAGTTTTTTGCGAATCCTTTCTAACAAAGCGGCCCTTTTTCAGTCGTTGCAGATTTTGACCTTTTTGTTTGCTGTGTGCCATGTCGTGCTGGTGGTGACGGACCATTTTTCAGATAATAGCCTGTTAAAGTACGTGATGCCTTTATATATGAGTCTTTTAACTTTGTAATAGCTCTGTGCACATATGTTTTTTTCGGATTCTTTGGACGATAGTTTTTAAATCCACATACAATTTTTTTATTGCTCATTGATTCCAGGCATTACCATTTGGAAACGATAAAACCTTCCTTATATACTGTATTTAACCTGCAGGCTTTTAAAAACAGCTGAAATGCTAAAACCATCGACCGTCGCCCACTCGGGACAAGAAGGCTCTTCGGCGTAGGTGTTCTTATTACATTTCCACTATTTTGATGTTATTCTTGGTTTCCACTATTTTGAGGTTTCATTGGCACAAAAAGTTGCTGCAAATATTGCTACATATGAAAGCGAAATTTTACATCTGATGTTTCGTATATGCGCTGCTAATGATTTGATTGCCATTGCAAAAACATTAGAAGTTCACTTTGTATACTTCGATCTGCTGAACTAATGCATTTCTTTTTTTATATTCTGACGAGTGTCAGACGACATGCTTAAGTATGTTTTGTTTGGTTTTTATAAACTATTATTGCATTTTTTGCAAGGTCCAACGCTGAAAACCTAGATGAGTACTTCCCTCATATCGGTAAGTCAATATCATTTAATTCTAATAGAGTATTGCCTGTTTTAGTGAGAACAGCAAGCTAGTTGCTCCTTTTTTTTCTAACAGTATCTCAATATGCTTATTCATCGAAACTTTATGCTGCTTTCTATTGCAGTTCTTGTCCATAACCGCTGCGATCACAAAATGTTTGATGCCAAGCAGCTGAATCACGTCTGTCAAACTGTTGACAAATTCTTTGGGCAGTCGAGGCTAAAACTCCGAGGTGAGGCTAGGTATTCAACATTGCCTCTGCGCATGACAACATTTGATCTTTATTAAATGACGTAAAAGATCATTTTCTACCGTGTGTCGTATGATAAAATATTTTTCGTTGCGAAATCCCCATTATTTATTAAGTGACACAGCTATTTCACAATGTGCCCTTCTCCGTCGCCTTGAGTTGCTATTCTGCTCCAAAATCACTATGCGCTTAAAGGGCTTTAAGCTAGAATTTGAAAGCAACCACTGCGCCTAAACATATGAGATAAGCCTTTTAATGAGGAAAATAATTCAAATGAACAACAAGATTTAAATCACTTTTAACTGTGACCTGTGAAACTGACTACGGCCTGTGCCACACGGCTTTTCCTGATAGGAAGTTTTTGTACACCATATCTGATATATGAAATCAACTGAGAGTATCGTATTTGAAACTAGAATTTTGCGAATCGCCTGCGTACGAACCTTTGACGTCATATTTATGTAACAGTCACCATGATTATTTTTCTTGTGAATCACTTCAATTGTCGATTATGCAAGCACTTGTCGATCTAATAACTTTATGAAAACAGCAGTCTAGATTTGCAAATTTTGGCTGGGGAGGCCTGTTATAGAAAGTCAGTTACTAGCAGATGGCTATTAATTGCAAAACATATTAATTCTATACTTATTCATTTATGTTTATTCAAGATGCGCAGTATAACTCTCTTTGTCCTTATCAGGAAGTGCATCAATAATTAGAACAGAAATTTTGCCATGTGCCAAGCTGAAACTTCTCAGTGATTTTCAAGATCTCAACATATTCATGCTACCAGAATACGATGAAAGGGAGTGTAAGAAAGTTTTAGTTTATAATTTATACTCCTTGTTTTCTTCTGCTTTTTAATTCCTTTATGGTTATGTTAATTTTTATGTCTCCCTTAATTTTTTCAATTTAGGTCCGTGGTAACTAGGTATAACTTTTGTTTCGGGTCATTCCATGTCAAATCATCAGACCCATGTAACCCATGGTCTTAGAATTTCTTGATTTTTTTCACCACAAAGAGCCACTTTGGAGAAAACACCACATACAAAATTTCATCCTTATATCTCTTACGGTTGCGATTTTGTAGCCGTTTCAAAAGTGACCCATTTTAGCCAAATATGCCAGTTTAACCCAGTTTACCAAGCGATGGGCGCGGCTTTCTATCAATAGCTGTAACTTTTCTATAGTTGTCAATATTTACTTGAAAATAATGTCAATTATTGATTTGATACTGTAGATTTCAAATATTGCATCAGAATTTGTCAATTCTCTAAGGTGAAGCAGATAGTCATATGTTAAAGGTTATCACTTGTTTTGAAAATATTCCCAACCGATGTATATAAATATTGAAAAAAAGTCCTGTAGCTGGAATCATAGCATTAGAAGCTTGCTATATTCTGAAAGTGTATTCTTTGGGCTATCAGAAAATGTTCAAGATTACAATTGCAATTGAAGTATTTTGAGTTAATTGCACCTTACAAAATGGGTATAATTTTGCAAGAATCGTGAGCAAAAAAAATTTGTATTTAAGGTAATATTGCATGAAATAAAAAATAGCTGCTAAAAACATTGAGTCAATCATGATTTCACATTCAGAGACAACAAAGAATAATTAAAAATGATTCCTAGCCATGGACAAGCTGAGATACTGCTTTATTGTCACTGTAGCTGAAGCTCTAAGTTTGACCTGTAACTGTTTTGGATGAATCAGTTTTGCAAAGCATGTAAATGTGATACCCAGCATATGTGTGATCTGCTTGATCATGTAAAGTTCTGAGTGGGTTCAGGTGGGTGCATGAAGTTCATTTGAAAGTCCCCTTCATCTTCATTAATGTCATAGAAACCCACCCGTCATTGTCATATAGGCAAGCAACATACTTTATCAATCGAGTCCCAATGCCATTCTCTCCCTTCTTAGAAAGAAAAGCAAAGTTTGCTGCAAAGTCTCTGTCATCAGAAAATTACTTGAAAGCAATCTTTTCATCTTAAACTGATTAGAAACAATTCTGTTTGTGGTTGTACTACATATCAAAATTCATCACTTCCAGTCGCCATTAACAAAACATACAGAGATATGATAGACATGACTGTCTGCTGCAAGGACAGTAAGCAATGTATAGCGCACAGATGTGGCAACTGTTCAGGGATATCTGTACTTAAAAGGTTTCTTGATGAGTGTTTACATGATGGTGATAGTGATGTTTCATTTCAGCAAGGTGATAACACTAGAAGATCAAAAATAGTAACAAGGTTCTTGAGTATTGCCTATTTTGTTGAGCTGCTTGTAAAGTGTATTGTTGCTTTGACCTCTCATTCTTTTCTTACAAAATTGCAGTCAGAATACCTTAAGTGAAAGGAAGAAATGAAGATGATTCTTGTTTTTTGGCTGACTTTGCCGAAAACTATGAATTTTTCACTTAAGATGAAATTCAGTCAGCCCATTGGAACAAGCAAAATTGCATGCTACACCCCAGTTTTATCTACTTTAAGATGAAAAGATTGCTTTCAAGTAATTTTCTGATGACAGAGACTTTGCAGCAAACTTTGCTTTTCTTTCTAAGAAGGGAGAGAATGGCATTGGGACTCGATTGATAAAGTATGTTGCTTGCCTATATGACAATGACGGGTGGGTTTCTATGACATTAATGAAGATGAAGGGGACTTTCAAATGAACTTCATGCACCCACCTGAACCCACTCAGAACTTTACATGATCAAGCAGATCACACATATGCTGGGTATCACATTTACATGCTTTGCAAAACTGATTCATCCAAAACAGTTACAGGTCAAACTTAGAGCTTCAGCTACAGTGACTATAAAGCAGTATCTCAGCTTGTCCATGGCTAGGAATCATTTTTAATTATTCTTTGTTGTCTCTGAATGTGAAATCATGATTGACTCAATGTTTTTAGCAGCTATTTTTTATTTCATGCAATATTACCTTAAATACAAATTTTTTTTGCTCACGATTCTTGCAAAATTATGCCCATTTTGTAAGGTGCAATTAACTCAAAATACTTCAATTGCAATTGTAATCTTGAACATTTTTTGATAGCCCAAAGAATACACTTTCAGAATATAGCAAGCTTCTAATGCTATGATTCCAGCTACAGGACTTTTTTTCAATATTTATATACATCGGTTGGGAATATTTTCAAAACAAGTGATAACCTTTAACATATGACTATCTGATTCACCTTAGAGAATTGACAAATTCTGATGCAATATTTGAAATCTACAGTATCAAATCAATAATTGACATTATTTTCAAGTAAATATTGACAACTATAGAAAAGTTACAGCTATTGATAGAAAGCCGCGCCCATCGCTTGGTAAACTGGGTGTGGCATATTTGGCTAAAATGGGTCACTTTTGAAACGGCTACAAAATCGCAACCGTAAGAGATATAAGGATGAAATTTTGTATGTGGTGTTTTCTCCAAAATGGCTCTTTGTGGTAAAAAAATCAAGAAATTCTAAGACCATGGGTTACAAATCTTAAAAATATCTGATGATTTGATATGGAATGACCCTTAGATTCTAGATCCCAGAGATAAAGAATTCTTTCTTCTCTAGCCCAAGACCCAAAATTACTAGTTACAACGTATCGTGGTCATCCGAGCTTTTCGCTGTTGGTGTCAGCATTACGTCATCAGTTGTTGTCAATCCCTAGACAACACTTAACGCATCATCCACTCACTGAACGAAGCTGGTAAATTTTCTTCCCTTTCGATTTATTTTCATAACCATTTAAAATGAATAGTGTTTGTATCTGTTTTTGTGTTAATCAATGTTTTTATTTATTTAGCATGACACGCAAATGATCATTCATCTGTTGTTTTTTGCCATTCACTTACAATGCCTGCCAAAAGTCTTGAAACACTTGCTATAATTTACGTTGTGCACGAGCTGCAACATCCCCTCCCCCCTTGTACAATGTTGTGCCACGGAAATATGAATAATCCTACATGTACAAGTGATACATTTTTACATAGCTATGGTTTTCAGCTAGCGAATCAACATTGTATGCGGGGGAAGGGGGGCAACACCCTCCTTGTTGACATGGAAATAGAAAGGAACATGCGAATTCACAGAAATCTCAGGGTGTTCCAAGGAGTTTTGGCAGGCATTGTAGTTAAGCTTACGACGTTTTCTTGCCTTCTTTAAGATCCTGTTTACAATAACTTGTGCAAGTTGTTGGAACAGTAACAAAATGTCGCGGCTGGCTCCTTTAAGTCCCGGTACTCTTGAAACCGAGACAATTTTGTGCTGCAATATTGTTTCTGCCTCGAAAGCGAGCTCATTTTGTCCCACGATGGTTTCCTTTTGAACGATTTTATCTCCAATTCATAACAAGATTATGGGTAGGAGCCAATTGGTTTTGTACTGCAGACAGAAAAGTTATCCAGTTATCTAACGCTGTTCAAAAATATGTTCAAATATGTTCTTTGTTTCCCAGCCCGATTCTTGGCTGTGATTGGCAATCTTGTTCTCTGAAATATCAGTTTAATAAAAAGTGCATCCTCATCTGTCCTAAAGAAATTATTGTCACTCTTATTTCAGCATTTTCTTCTTCTATAATTGCGAATGCTGGTTTATCCGGCAGAAAATTTAAAGATGGAAAATATGGCAGCAAACTTTAACCTTGATTAAACCTTTGTTTAAGAAATACAGACTTTCTCGAGCCCTATCCTGCCTATGGCTCCGAGACAGTGTTAAGTAAAGGGCTAAATGGAACACAGCGTAAACACATGCGGACTGAAACGGTACTAATTTGTCCCGGTATGGTGGAAACGGGTTTTGAGTAACAACCTTTTATCGTTTTATCTTGAAGGTTTCATTATGCGGCAAGAACTTGGGATTCTATCAAGAAATCGCCTCTTTTATCCGAGTACCAACGACTGTTAGCAACATAGCAGACAGCAGATTTGTGTTAGAATCAACATAAATGACTCTTTGATAGCAAATGTCTGGATGATCATCCCATGGAGTCAAGAAAAGATCAGTGTTGTTATCATGATAAATCGCCAGGTACTGCCATTTGCAATTTGTTAACCAGTAACTTTTAAGCAGCTAAGACTAATTTTTTGCCCATTTGGGTTTTGTTTAGCCTTTTGAAGAAGCAAAAGTCAAAGCCAGTGAAAATTATTAGTAAAGCTTTCAAAAGTAAGGCTCTTGTATTTGAATGAAATTGGACAAATATCTAGAATATGTTGAAGATATCATTCGGTCTTTTGTCTCACTGCCAAGTTGTTCAACCAGAACATTTTATTTGCTTGGGAACTTTTCGCAAATGATTGAATATGCGGCGTTTTCCCCAATATCAGAGGAAAGGTTTATTAGATAAGCCGATTACAAAACGGCTTTTTGTCCCATCTATCCGTTTGCATTGTTATGTAAAGTACTCAAAAATGAAGAGCGTTAACAAGATATTCCTCAGTTATTCCAACAAACAGTTACAACTTGCTTTTCGTCAAGTTTGGTTAAAGAAAAATCTTGAAACATGCTTTGAGCAAAAATTTCAATTTAACAAAACCTGAACTTAAATATACTCGTTCTTGTAAAAAAGAGTGTAGCTTCCTAATTTAAACAATAGGGAAATATTGAAAACGACGTTCATTTTCTTACAGCAGCGCTACAATGTTGCGTGCTGCCTGTGTTTTGTTCGCTATAAAAGTAAAGATTTTTCGACATTCCACATAAGCTATTTGGAGAAAATTCATCTAAGCCCATACCCCTGGACTTTATTAAATAAAACTTTCAACAAACTCAGCTATTTGCCGCAATGAAAACAGTTCTCTTAAAAAGTACGGTGCCATCTCCACTGAGTGATGTAGACCTTTGAAATCATATCATGAATACGTTTTTGACTTACAGAAAACCAGTATTAAACTGCTTCAGCGCCAAAATGGAAAGACCTGTAATTCTATCAAAACGAATTTCCTTGAGCTTCTTGCTCACAGATTTCTGACTTAAGCAATGCCTTTTTCTCTTCCTAATCCTTCCTCCCTCCCCCTTGTTAGGGCTCAGCTATAGACTCTTGAGCTTTTACTAAGCATTACCAACCAACAAGAAAGGCCTATACAGATGTGGCCAGGAAAGATCCCCTAGTAGTTTGGTAGAATTGCTTTAAAATGTGTACCCAAGTTATTTCTTCCGACCAGTCCCCTGAAAGTCAACATCTCAAGCTCCTGACGCTTCTGGGCTTTTTGCAATATCTAACAATTATTTACATAATCAGAAGATTACATTAACCGTAAATGTAATTTAGCTTTTGTTTGAAACTTCAATATATTTTCATAAGGTACAGATACCAATCTTTGAAGATAGAAACTCAATCCAGATTTTTCTGGAGCCTACAGTTGGTCTAGGAGTTTTGTTCGAAAAATGTTGATATTCTTGAAATCTCCTCACCGATCACCATTTTGAAACCAGCAATTCGTGTGCTAGTTTACTGTTTGTAACGAACAGTGTTTCATGAAAATTTTAAGGATCAAGTTGAATTTCATTTCCTTTCTTAACATGATATTTTAGAATTGATAACGGTTCTCTTGCCTTCGAATTGACAACAATCAAAAATTTCTGTTGGCTATGCTTTCAAAGATGACAATTAGGATACTTCTTTTGAAAAAGTGCAATTTCAATAAAAGAGTGTGAGTTTAAAAGCAATCTATATGCATCGTTCAGGTTTTGAACTGCCTGAAAACATTGAGCCATCTTAAACTGTGTTTTGATAAGAATTTCTTCGCTTGATCAGCTCTTGCTGCCAAGATGGTTTCATTTTAAACTTTTGCACTTCTTGCTCTCTTTCAACTGCCTTTTGTTTTTCGATATCATCTTGTTTCCGTTTGTCTTCCTCTTTTCTTTTTAGTATTTCTGCCTTCCATTGCGGCAAATTCGCATACTTCTGCATTTCAGCTTCTTCCTTTTCCTTCTTTCTTTGTTCCTGCGCCTAGCCGACAAACAAACACAACACTAAAAGGCAATCCAAGAAAATTACTCTTGAAAGCTATCTTCCTTTAAAACAGTGTTTGGTTATTGTATTTATATGGACTGGTTGTACGGTTACAAGGTTCTGCAGACTATCCTATGCCAGTTTATTTCGTCAAACCAACACAATACTTTCCTAAGCTTTTCAATATACGGACCAAGAAGGCCACAGTATAAGAAAAGTTTAAAATAACGGAAAGAACCAATTTTTTAGTTTTCAATTTGCAGTACACGGCCATTTGCATAAAGTTGTGACATAAATTCTTACCAGAATATCCGTGTTCTTTTTGCTAAGCAGTGCCTTCTTCCATGCTGGCATATCGTCTCTTATTTCGTTAAGCAATTCATTTGTTTGATCATTGTTTGTGTTACCATTTTTGATGTGATTTGTTCCTAAAAAAGAAATCAGAATAAGGCTTTTATGGAGCTAGCTTTGCACGTGCAAAACAAGGAATTTTATTCATTGCTGTTTACATGGTAATGAATTCACGTAAACGAATTTCTCAACCAACACGATTATCAGGCTCTCTGGTTTTATCAATGCTTCTTAATAGCAATGCTTTTGTATATTGTCCATTATCTTCAGCGAGTATAAAAATATCATTAATTTTATATTTAGCTGCATTTATTATACTTTGGTTTATTACCTAGGAAATAAAAAAGAATTCTCGAATGTTCCAGTCTACTCGTTTCATTACATTTCAACTCATCTCATTTTACAAATTTAAAGTACATAGAGATGATGAGTTGGCCAATTACTTTGTGAGTTTAGTGGGGGTAACAAAGGATGTTTTAAGTTATCAGAATTTTATATCTTCACTTTTTGCCCAAAGGCCTTATTAAATGACCGCCATTGATAGATAAGCTTGGGAATTGTGCAGAATTGCGTTGTCGTCCCGTTTCCTTTTTCCCAAGATCCCGCATCAATGATTTATATTTAACTTTAGTTTATTGTGTTTTCTGGCAACGATGATTTAATTCAGAATCCGTTTAAGTAAACCTGCCGTGAATTCAACGTGGTTGACAAGCAAGTAAAAGTGTTCTTTTTGACAAAGAAATAATTAAGGGTTGGGAAGGTCATAGTCATCACGGCTGAACAGTCATCGCAAAATTGTTTTCTCCGTCTGACACTGGTCTGAGTCTCAATCTCTTAGATACCCAGGTTTTCAACTGATTGTTAAGTTTGCATGTGTTAAACCTTTACCAAAAGGTCAAAATCGGTCAATTTAATGGCTGATTATGGCAGATTGATTGTTTATGAAAAGTTGCTGTTTTCAAGCCAAGTCCAAATACTCAAATGAACATTAATCTTTTTGAACCAGTCACTGACTGTACTGTAGACATATGTTAAAACATAAAAGCGGTGAGAGGTTGAAGAGGGTACAAAATATGTTGGTTTTCATTGGTTTTTTGTTCATATTCAAAAAAGAAATTGAAAATAACTAGGAATTAGTTTGTTCTTTTGGAATGATCTCGAGGCTATAAACAAATCATTTTTAAAAGCATTGAAATTCAAATTGGTTGGTCGACTCTTCCTCGTTTCCAGTCCCCTTCTTACTGGACACATAGTGAATTGATAGCCTAGAGTTGTAATGGTTATAGACAAACAGCGATGAATAAAAAAGGCTTCTGTTATACAATCATTCCCAGTAATTACGCATCAATTGTGGCAAGCTAGATGAAAGTTCCATATCAGCGAATAATTAAGGCCAAATTGAATGGAAACACAAACCTAACGTTAATATTTTATGAACGATGTGCTGGTAGGAAAATTTGGGTTTTAACGAGTTTTTTATGAATCCGTTTCACAATGAACAAAGCGTCATTCATTGATTGAGAATTGAGAGAGAAGACGTAGTTTTCACGTTTGGAATCAAAGGGTTCCTTGTGCAAAACTTTTAGTGGCTTCAAATCAACATCTTTGGCAGAACTCAAAATCTTTTTAAGCTATATTTTATGATCAAATCATGCATTTGTTTTCATAAACTCGATCCCTATGAGCTCATACCTTAGCAACAGAATGACTAGGCCTGGTTCCCACTAAATGCATGCACGTGCGATTATCTATAAGATATTCCACTCAAGATATTCCGACTTGCAAAATACAAATCATCGTGCGCTTTGAACCCTTTTTGAAAGCAAAATCAAAAGTAAGTTCTTGTTACGTTAAAATAAAAGTAGCAGCAAGATCTAAATATTTTTATGAAGCTTATTTTGATTAATTTCTGGTAATTTTTGGTATATACCTTCAAGCTCAGTAGTTTTTTGGTCCAGTGAATGACTACAGATAGATTCATGTCAAGTTTTTGAATAAAATCAAGGCTGAAGAAATGCTATGCTATGGTGAAGATGTCAATAGTTATTAGAGTGTGTTCATGGTTTGCTAAGAATGAGATACGCTTGTTGCAGCTTATATTTGCATCTTAAATTTAACTTGATCACGATTTATCCAGTATCGATGTACGTACCAATCCTTACATTATTCGACTCCTTATATATCTGACAGTACAAATCACAATTATATAAAAACCTACAGATGCATTTATAATTTTAATCCAACTTTAACACCCTGGTCATTCCCAATTGGCGTTTTCAGCTTGACACTCGGAGATAAATGCACTTGCAGACACTTAGTTGCACCGTGGGTTCAGAACATTATCTTAAATAAAAAATCTTGCATCTTAAACTGGCCTCTCCTCGACCATGCAATGAAACTGGCCTCTCCTCGACCATGCAATGCCCGTATCTCACGAGCACCTGAAAATTCAAATCGGTCAACGACGACTTACCGAAAAAAGTTGGATCGTTGGAGCTCTGCATCTTGCCGTCCTTGGACTGCTCTGTTGCTACTCTCAATTACATTCACACGAAAATCTGTTTATTAAAGATTAAACAACCCAACTGCAGGAATTCAGCACAATTCAGAAATTTAAAATTCATGATGTCAATTATTGATCATAAGTAAACGATATCAAATGCGAAAACCTGCATGCGTCAAACAGAGTGACAATCAACTTTGGGTTAGGCCAACATCCAAACCAAGGCTGGGCAAATTACTTCAAATGCTAATTTATATCGCAGAACTGGTGGTACATTTCCAGAATATCAACCGAAACCTATTTGAAAATGGATTAGCGAAGTCTGCTTTTAACAAAATAAATTATTCAATTGCTGGTTTTCTATGGAGTTATGTATTGACAGCAAATGTTAACTAAAAAATGTAGCATTCTGCTTAATGCAGAAATATGTAATCTTAACAGAGAAAACATCTATTATCAAAATTTTCTTAAGAGAAATCGCAGCACATGTGTCCATCGCAGAAATGTCTGTGAAGGTAACACAGAATGATTTTCTAGATATGGCTTAAATTATGATCATATGGTCATAAGAAAATGAAAACAACTGAAAAACGTGGAGATGTTTGCAGAAATTTATATAAATGCTAGTTAATTACACGATTCGAGGCTGTATTTGTCAAAGAAACTAGGTTTTTTTATCTTTTTTTCTATACGCTTTTTTCTATAAAGTTACAGCTACAAGGAATTTGTAGGCCTTTAGGGCATATAATTTTCGCTCTAATTTTCCTCATCAGGATTTGATGTTCTGCCAATCAGCCACCATGATTCGATGTAGCCACAATCCTATAAAATAACATTGTATAGAATTTCGCTTATCTTGATAAAACATTTTACATTATTTTTCTAAGACAGTCAAAATAACTTCAAATAGAAATAGTTAAAGGTTTAAATCATTCAATTCGAAGACGGTGATAATTTTGCAGTGATGACACGAAGATGTGATTGTAAGCCAGTTTTCTTACGAGAAAGTTGCTGTAGTTTTTGGGTATTTACATTTCTATCGTTGTTATTACCATTATTAGTCTGTTACCACGAAAGATGATTACCTTATAATCAAAACCACCACGGAACTCAACTTTGAAGTTTCCAGAATTTCTAATCAGCTGCATTGAGTCATTTGTCAACTGAATCCTCATTGCTAAAAGCAAAAAAAGTCATTTGTATTTTAAAATTTGCAGAAATTCAGGCTTTCTCAAAGCAAAAGTAGCCTTAACTGAAAAACCCTTTGGTGTTGAATGGACCAAGAAGTCATTTATTGAAAATTCCACAATTTTGAAAGAAAGCAAGCCTTACGTTCACACGTCGCTTCCATGTTGGACGCAATGTTGACTGTACCACCAAAAACACAATAGCGGGGCACTCTCAGACCAACCACTCCTGCAGCTGCGTCGCCTAAAAACACAAGAATCATCAATGCAACGGTAGAAGCATTGAGTTAAAGCAACATTCGAAAAGTTTAATATCATGAATAAGTTTCCGTGTCCAAAACGCTGAAGGTAAAATTGTTTACGTGTTTGATACGAGAATTACAATACATGTTGAGTAATAATAAGTACACAGAAAATGAATGACGTGAAAGGAAAGAGGCACGGATGTACATTGCAGCGAGCTGCACGGACCTGAGTGGATGCCAATGCGAAGGCGCAGCTGAGTTCCAGGTAGATGGCGAATGCGCATGCTTCTCGCTACTTCTATAAACTCAAGGGCAATGTCGGAAATCACCTCTGCATGTCTGTCGCCATTCAGGATAGGGAGGCCTGATACCACCATGTCTGTAATGAAACAGAGTTTGAATGCTCAAAACGTCGTTCTCGTGACATTTAACATATTATCTAATAGCACTTTGTCATCATTCATACTATTTATCTGAATGGAGAATTTAAAGGTTGATAATGACTACAAAGTGATCAAGTCTTATATCAGGACGAGGATAAAATTCAGAAACAAAGCAAAACGGCGACGAGAATCTAATGTTATGAGATTAATTTTCAAATGAATTAAATTAAACGAATACTAATATTTCGCCCCGGCATACAGTGCAGAACATTTCTGCAGCCAAGCACACACTATCAACGACCTTGCCATTGCACCATTACTTAGATTTAATGACAAACGAGAGAGTGTTCGTCGAGCTAAAGAGCAATATCTCATTGGCCTGGCGAACACCCTCACCCTCAACGGCATGAACAGAACCCCGAACCATTAACTTTACAACACAATTAATCACCTATCACACCATCTTCACAACCCAAATCATGTTTTTACTAACATTCTAATCATCATCACCACCATTATAACATCAACATTCCATTATTCTCAGTTCCAGCACAATCATTATTATTATTATTGTTTGTTTATACTCATTCATAGTCATCATTATCATCCCATTACATCAATTTCTACAGCACCAACCACATTCCCTCACATCATCCACCATCCTTCCCTCCCCCACTTCCATCATCCAATTTTTTTCTCCACTGCGCTGCATTCACACCATTCAACATCATCTCACATTTCAAATTCATTCACTCGTTCGTTTCATTTACTGTGATGAAGCCCCGTATGCCGGGGCGAATATTATTATATTTCTTAAATTCGATTTATTTTGAAAATTTTCTCTCGTGACATTGGATTCTCGTCGTCATATTGCTTTGTTCCTTTATATCTTTCATAACAACACTCATTGCAAGATTCACAGAATCCGGCGGACATCCTATCCTGCGGTTCTTCCTTCTCACACTTATATCAGGATATGGATCGAAAAAAGCCAGTAGGGAAACAGATGCTTTTGATTCGCTTTGTTCTCATATTTGTTATGTCTTCCTCCCTGCACAAATTTTCGTACTTTGTATCGATGCAAAGAGATGGAATGAATAGACTAAATCATTTTCTGGCTTTTAGGCAAATTTAGGTCCTAGCAAGCTTTAACCTCTTGGTACTGTCTTTGCCAAAAAATGTCAAAGTTTAAGATATAAAAGTCATTTTGAAGATTTTAAACGCATTCAAAATGTTGAAATGTTGAAGATTTTAAATGCATTGAAAATATCGCAGAATTGAACAGATCACTTACAGGAGGAACCGACAGTCTCGATTTTGTGCGCATCAAAACCCATGACAACAGAATCGAGGCGGTTGTAGAGGTCGTTGAGTGTCTCTATAACTTGAAACGGACTACTGAGGTCGGAGATCGTGTGAAAGTCAACCAAGTCACTGAAAGGAGATAAAATCTAGTAATAAGAAGCGAACAGTTGCTTTGTCAATGTGAAAACGCTTTCCAATGGAGTTTTGCAAAATTTGATGTAAATTAAAACAGCATAGCCTGCTATGACTAAAAATGAATACCTGAAGAGAACCGAAATACACTCAAACTTTTCAGCTTCAATGTTCTTGCCAAGTTTCAGGTCCTCAACTATAGGCCTTGGTAATAAACCTAAAATCACAAGAAATAGATCGCTTCAAGCAACAAGTCATTGGAGTGTTCAGAAAAAATGTTGGAGAGGATATTGAATTTTACCTAGAACCTAACTGATTACGCAACTCAATCTTGAAATCTTTTCCCTCTAGAAGAAAGATTTTTGCAAATCTCAGCTAAAAAAATTTTGTGATTGTCGAAATGTTATCAGCAACTTAACGATTCAGCGTATCTTAGCCCATTGCAACTTGCCGCAAACATCGATCTCCGTTGAAATAACTGAAAAAATTTCAACCTAGAACAATCGTAAATTTTGTGGTGAGGTGAGGCACAGGCAAATGCAAGACTTCTTGTCTCATTTCTAACGATAGATCAAATTGGATTAATTTAGGATTATTCTCGGAAAAATTAAAATTTTACATTAGAGTTAGTTAGCCATTAAATATTGATTGACAGCAGCATGAAAGAACTTGTTGGCTCGAAAAGCAATGCGATGTGGCAAGGTATAAAAAAATCGGAAAATGACACCCACGCGAGACAAGGTTTTCTGTCTTTTGCTTCTCTTGGTTGAGTGCCTTTGCTCTGTCGTTGACAATGTCCTCTAAATTATTAGAGTATCTTTCAAGCTAAAAACAAAGCTTTCCATTACTAATACAGGCAAAAAACTGTGTATAAAGGGAAAAATAGTGTGTCTCAGAAATGAAAAGAATTTTCTTATGTTCTGAGTCGATTTTCTCTAGAAAAATAAACAATTGTAAATGAAAAAAGGTTAGATGCGATAGCCATATAAAAGGCAAGTAGTATTTCTAGGATACTTCATGGACAATCATTGCTACCAAAACCTTGAAGACCCAAAGAAAATAGACCGAAAACTCACCATGGTAACAAGTTTGTTCATAGCCTGCCCGTTATCAGGATCGACTCTTTCGAGGTTCTTTAGTGCATCCTTTGGGATTGGTCTCAGGGAAGGATCACTTGTCCAGCACCGATCAATCAACTGAAAGAACAGATGAAGCAGCCGTTTCAAATGCTTACCAAGGTTCAGGAGGCTCAAAATTGTGCAACAAAGATATTTTGCAATTCGCAAACACTTTCTGAATAGTTGCATAATGACATATGTTTATATCAAGCAAGACACAATTGCAGTATGCAAAAGCAAGGAACGAAGAAACCTTTGAATAAGTTGAAAGGCTTACAGAATAAGCGCATTATTTTGGAAAAAAGAAATAGATAAATAATTCATAAATGCCTTGCTTTGTTACTTGGTCGTTGCAAAGATTGCAGAATTTTAAGATTAACAGCTGCAATTGTTGGATTAAAGAACAATTCTGGTGTAATGGAGCAGACAGAAAATTTACCAAGCGACGCAAAGCATATTAAGAGCTTATTTGAAACTGCCAGTCATGGTAAAGGAAATCAACAGGTTGCTCTTGGCTGTTATAGAACCATAAAGCAGAACATAGAAGAATCGAATCTGTTCTGACATCATAACCCAGAAGGGAATCGTAGAAGCAATGCTCTGTTTTTCTTAGATGTTGGTTTTCACTTCCATTCCCCTTAAAAATCATCTTGATCAAAGTTATGTGTCAAAATAGCGGTTTTATACCACCCATTTTACCACATTTTACCATTCATGCATCCGAAGTGGCTTGAAATTAGAAGACTGAACCTTTCAGTTACTTTTTTCACTGCAACTATTAGAGGTATGAATCAATGCTTCCAAATTTTCTATAGAAGTTGCATGATCTTGCATAACTTTACAAATTTACTACATTACAGATTTAGCCCCCTAAAGCCCCGTCCCTAGATGTTTAATGTTAATGTTATTAATTAATTAGAAATATTTGACAGGCTCAAATTTTGTCGGCAGTTTGGTTTTTATTCATCTGGTAGTCTGGGTATTTTAGCAGTCAAGACAAGCTTCACTTTCAAGAAGAAGTTTGAAAAGCACTTCCCAAGCTTGCATTGTGCCATGTTGTTTCAATTTTCAAAGTTATTTCTTGATGAGGAAAAGTAGTTGCAAAGACTTGATGTCTCTTCTCAAATACGCAAAAATCGAGGTTTCCTGGCACCTGTCCAAATAACGGCACCTGTCCAAATATATTCGCTTCTACTACCAGATAATAGTTGGACTATCCTGCTAGTTTTCTCGTTTAGATTTGAAACATGGTTGACCGGCGTAAGGTCTAAGGCCTAGAGAAGCTGCGAGCCTCGTTCTTACGGAAGTAGCATGAAAGCACAAACACGAGCAGTTCCTAAATATCAGTGTTAGAAAGTAAAAGTCTTTCCACAAACAGGCTTTTGTTGAAAATCTTGCTTTAAATAAAGACGCTAGCTGCCTACCCTGTCCCAATTAAAAATCAACTTATAAGAAGTCTCACCAGTCTCAACGGCTTGCTTTGCTCTGGCTCTACGGGCCACTGTGACTGTGCAATACACGGCCTTACTGGAGAGCCAGCCTCAGTATTCTTGCTTGCGAGGTAAGTATTCCAAATCTTTTTTCGAATAAAAACAAATATTAAAGCGTTACTGTTTGCTGTTATATTCTATCGTGTGCGTTAAAAGTATTCTTAGGAAATTAACTTTGAAATAAGAACAGACACTAATTTGAAAATTTTACTGCAATGCCATGGTCCAAGGAAAAAAATGGTTTTGCAAAATTTTGAGCTTTAAACCGTTCAGCAATAAATCAAACAGAGCAGTGCTTGTTAATTTAAAATCAAAAAATTGCATTTTAAGTGCTTGTTTGTATCCAGAAGCCGAGATGCTAATCACATTCACGTTGCTAGCAATTTTTCAACCATATTATAGGTTAAAAAAACCACGATAATCAAAGTAACTTGCTAGAGTTTTTAAATACTTTACCCGGGTGATGGCAGGAGTGGTGTTACCAGCAATTAGTTCAATCTTTTCTTTGTTGGTAAGAAACAGCTTCTCAAACGGGCTTTCGCGCGTGCAAATTTCCGAGGATACAATAGCAAAGCTATAATTGAACAAAACAAAGGTAATATTCAGTCAATAATGAAGACAAAACATCAACCGAACGTCGCAATGTCTCATTAACAGAATAACAAAACACTTTTGTGCATAATTTATCAAAACCATGCTTGAATCACCTGTAGACATCTCCTTCCTTTGTGCCGTAGCCAACTTGGTCCAAATTTTGGACACCTGTTTTCAGAATTTCAGGAGCAGTCCATAGAAGGTGACTAAAAGAGACGATGGCAGTACTTCAATGAAAGCCTGCAATAAAAGGCTTTTCTTGTAGCAATAGAAATTGCCTTAATTCTGAACTATTATCATGGAAATAGGCTGCCATAAAAATGACAGGCAAAGACTGTGGAAAAGCAATAGGAAGATGACAGTGGAGAACTATTAGAACGGCCATGGAAGAAGAGGGCCCACGCCACCGGGGGGAGGCAGGGCATGGCCTCCCAACCTGTTTCCGAAGCAAATAATTTCAAAGCTGCAATAAAAAGTGAAAGAAGCAGTGACCCATACTTTTCTTAGCCTTGCCCCTCTACGTTCAACTTCATGGCATGGGCCCTGAAAAAAATATATAAAGGAAGGCAATAGGAAGAAGGCCTTAGAGAATTATAGTGAAGAATGGCTATGGAGGAAAGGGGTATAATATAGGCTAGAGGAAGATGGCTACGGAAGAATAACAGCGAAGAATGGTTTAATGGGATAGTGGAAGAGGAAAGGCAATAGGAAGAAGGCTTTGGAGAATTATAGTGAAGGAATGCTATGGCGGAAAGAAGAAGAAGAAAGGCAATAGGAGGAAGGCTTTGGAGAATGAAAGTGAAGAATGGCTATGGAAGAGAGGGGTATAATATAGGCTAGAGGAAGATGGCTATGGAAGAATAACAGCGAAGAATGGTTTAATGGGATAGTGGAAGAGGAAAGGCAATAGGAAGAAGGCTTTAGAGAATGAAAGTGAAGAATGGCTATGGAAGAAAGGGGTATAATATAGGCCAGAGGAAGATGGCTATGGAAGAATAACAGCGAAGAATGGTTTAATGGGATAGTGGAAGAGGAAAGGCAATAGGAAGAAGGCTTTAGAGAATGAAAGTGAAGAATGGCTATGGAAGAAAGGGGTATAATATAGGCTAGAGGAAGATGGCTATGGAAGAATAACAGCGAAGAATGGTTTAATTGGATAGTGGAAGAGGAAAGGCAATAGGAAGAAGGCTTTGAAGAATTATAGTGAAGGAATGCTATGGCGGAAAGAAGAAGAAGAAAGGCAATAGGAGAAAGGCTTTGGAGAATGAAAGTGAAGAATGGCTATGGAAGAAAGGGGTATAATATAGGCCAGAGGAAGATGGCTATGGAAGAATAACAGCGAAGAATGGTTTAATGGGATAGTGGAAGAGGAAAGGCAATAGGAAGAAGGCTTTAGAGAATGAAAGTGAAGAATGGCTATGGAAGAAAGGGGTATAATATAGGCTAGAGGAAGATGGCTATGGAAGAATAACAGCGAAGAATGGTTTAATTGGATAGTGGAAGAGGAAAGGCAATAGGAAGAAGGCTTTGAAGAATTATAGTGAAGGAATGTTATGGCGGAAGGAAGAAGAAGAAAGACAGTAAAAACGAAGGCTTTGGAGAATTATAGTGAAGAATGGCTATGGCGGAAAGAAGAAGAAGAAAGGCAGTAGGAAGAAGGCTATGAAAGAAAGCTTTCAGCGAGAACCACACTAAAAAAAGACATTATCTTAACAAGAGATCGGTACGTACAAATAGCCATCTTCTGCTGCCTCAATGTCAATGGGAAATGTATTGCGTTTTGCCAGGCTGACTTTGGAAAGATCTTCTCTCTCTTCACGAAAACTTCGTAAACCAAATCCTATTGCAAAATACAGATGCAAATGAATTTGATAAGTAGGAGCATATTCCGTTCAGCTAATCAAAGCAAAATTGGAGATTGAGACCAATCTCTGATTGTGCATCGCATCGGGCTGTTACTTATGTCAGGCTGAATTTTTCTCAATAATATTTTGTAGTGCTCCCAAACCAGAGCAGATGCTTTACCTGATAGCTTTAATGTCCACCTGCTGTCAATAAGACAATTAGAAGATTTTAGCCGTCCGTGAGATCCTATTTCACTTTGATGAAGATACTCCAATCCACAGCAAATGTCCTGTGAATAATAAACATGAATGAAATTAATATTTTTTGAATGAAAATTAGAATGTTTTGAATATGTCAACGAATTTGAATAAGGCAGAAAAGGAAAATATTTTGAGTAGATATAATGCTAGAAAACGATCACCTTCATCAAAGAGTACATAAAAATCCAGGGCAGTTTTATTTCTTTGTTCTTGAGAATGTTGTCCAAACTTCCCTAGGATGAAAGGTCTTCCGAATTAGCAGAAATAGCAGAAAACAAACCTCTTGTTTACATTAATCTTAATTATTTCTCGGTATTATAAGATAAGCTGGAAAGTGTAATGAGCCAGAATGTACGAATTGTTGAGATTTTGCAGTGCGAGAGGCATTGGCACATTTTGTTTTTTGCAGAGTGACGATCAAGCAATGCACATATTCTGAAGCAATGCATATATCCACTGGCAGCGAGTATGTTCAGTCATTTTTTCTTTAAATCAGGAGTAGCGAGGTCAGATAAGAAATTTCAACTTTGACATGTGACGCAATAACATCACTGAAATTTGACTTTTTTAGTAGCTTCATACTTTTTTAGGTTTATAATTTATCAATCTCACCATGCAATATAGAACTGCATTGCTGAGGAAGTAGCGATGCAGCGAATCTAAATCGAAAGATCCGAGCAATATAGCAATTTACTACTTCTAGTCGCTCCTATAATTGCTACTTATTTCTACTATGTGGCTGGTCTACAGGATAGTCCATTGACAAAATGCCATATCCTAACATTGTAGACAAAACAGAGCGAGGGATACCTTGGCAGCTAGCTCTGTTAAAACAGCGACGTTGGGTGACGCAAGACAAGCTCCAACAAAACGAACGAGGTTTTGGTGTTCCAGAACTTTTAAAATCTTCACATCTAGTCGCAGTGAATCTGTTGCCATTATCGATGGTTTGTTGAATTTCTATGAAATAAAATGGTTAATTCCTTATATCAATTGATTTCTGCGCTGATAAAAAAATTAATAAAAAGTATCTGGGGAAGACATTGTAGATGAAACACAAATGTTTAAAGGTATTAAAGAGCACTGGTCTTTGAAACATTTTGAAGTGATACTCTGCAAAATCCATATTTGACAAAAACATCCACTACACTATACCTTTATTCGAACAAAAGAGCCATTAAACTATAGCCTTTTTTAAACAAAAGAGCCATTAAACTATAGCCTTTTTTAAACAAAAGAGCTACTTCACTAACCAATTAATCGTTTAAGCAGCATAAGGCCTTGCTCAGCTCAGTTTCCTAACAGTGCAGGCATACGATGAAAATCAATATTCTCTTTACCTGAAAGTATACATCAATGCCTTTCCAAGTCCCTGTGTTTAGTCTCTTTGACCTGGGGATGTTGATAGAAGTAAAAACAACGACTTTTCATCAAATGACTTTAATTTACAACCAAATAATAAGATTTATAACATGCAGACATAAGATCCCAAAAAAGAGCAAAATTTTGAGTAGATTTCTTCGTAGATGACCTATTATAAACGCAATTCATTGATAAGGCAATATATAAGCTTAGCTCAGAAAATGGGCATGAAAAGTACCTGGCACGTGACTCATTGAGAGTGTCTTTGCCGAAGAACATGTTTCTCTCTGCTCGTTTGTCCGATCTTTTGACTTGAGACCACGTCACAACCCAGTCATCGTTAAGCAGCTCTGCCTTTATTTTGGATCTAGATGTTGAACCAAAGCTTTTTGACTATCAATTATATCGATATATGCTGCGAAAAGGATGAGGTCTAGTCAAATGATACTTTTTACCTTGTCGTGTTTCAACTAAATGGAATTCCGATATAACGAGCTCTGAAGGGAACCAGAAAATAGTTCGTAATATTAGGAGTTCGTTAAGCCGGGAGAAGCGTTTTTTAGGTCTTTTCGTAGTAAACACCAAAAATTCCTTTGGTGGGCTTGTTAGGCTATCTCCAACTTCTGTGCACATTTTACTCCAAAAAACCAAGCTGGATTCAAATATTTCTAATGGTTAGTCATAGGTTAGTCAATATGGTTAGTCATAGAAAATGAAAATCATTATGTCCTTCTTATAATTTGGGACCCAGACATTGGCAAAGCAGACATCACTTCACTTCTAGTTGGCGGCTGAATTTCGTTATCGATTACTTCACATTCTTTTTTCTGCTTCTCCATCTGGGTTTCTCAATAAAATTTTGTCGTCACTCGTTGCCAATGTCTCATTTGTAAGAAGGTGTTCGTTAGCGTCGATGTACTCATTTGCCGTAATTTTTGACGGGATCAAACTTCATCTCGTCCTCTGCGTCCATCAGACAGTGCTGGATATGAATCATCAACATCTTTTGCTGATGATAATAATGATTTTCCCCAAGAGAAAGTGATAAATGAACACAAAAAATAATTAAGCAAAAATAACAGATTAAAAATTTATGAAAAGTTCGTTATATCGCGGGTAATTATGATGAAGGGACCTAAAAATTGGTTCGTAATAACGAGAGTTTTTTATATCCGGGGTTCGTTATACCGAGAGAATTTGTAAGGAGTTTGTTAGGCAGAATCCAAGGGACTGAACATTTAGTTCGTTCTACCGGGAAGTTCGTTATATCCGGGGTTCGTTATATCGGGATTCCACTGCATCGAATTTTAGAATAACGCATATGTCTAATGTAAAGCAAGATTTATGAAGCCATCTGGAAATAAATCGGTCAATCTAAGATTTTAGCTACATTGTAAAAGATTCGGTAAAAATATTAAAGATATGAAATAATTTGTCAAGGATCTCTACCTTCGCATGTAGCAGCTAATGCATGACGTCATAATAGCTGAAAGTAATGCCAGGCCTATAATCATGGGAAACACGACAGCATATATACTGACTGTGCAATTTTCACCAACGTAGCCAGTATCACACGACAAGCATGCTCCATCACCAAACTGCCCTGAAAGAGCAATGCAGAATTTCCATTATAAAATACACATCCCCATGTAACTTAAACAAGACTATTAGAAGGAACGAGAAAGAAAATAGAGCACATTGTGAATTGCAGGAGGGAGCAAGTTAGGGTGAATCCGTTTGGCATGCCCGTAAACGGATGATTTAAAGTACTTTTGAAACTTTCTAGCAATACATTGAGAGAAGACTGTCTAAATAGTAAAGACAATTTCATACCAAATGCCCATCAATTTATCCGTAATATCATGCATTTTGCACTTTCATTGTTGCAAAATTGATCCTAATCGTCAAATTGAAATATCAAAGGTTGCTTGGAACTCAGTTTGAACAAGAACTTAAACAAGTACCTGAGTTGCACATTCCATATTTACATGCACATTTTTTAGAGCAGCCGTAGCCGTAAAAATTCTTTCTACACGAGCATACTGATGGTGCAATGCAGTAGCCTCCTTCGGGACTGCAGCTTGTGCTGTTATTAAAAGAGATTTATCAAAGAAATTTAAAATAATATTGCATTTAAGAGTATGCGGATGCTAATAATACAGCAGTGAAATTGTAGATATGGTGAAGCAAGTTTACAAAATGGAGGAATGAGGAATTTGGCAATTAAATCTCTCGTAATAGATGTCTCTAGTTAATCAAGGTAAAATTTGTGTGAGGTTATGGGCATGGTTAAGGGTGAGGCAAGTTTACGAAATGGAGGAATGAGGATCAAAAAATTCAATCTCTCGTATTAAATCTCCCTAGAAAAACGTGGTTAAATTTTTGCAAATAGAATTTTAGAGAACTTTTGTGTAATTTGAAGAATTTTTTAAAAAAACACGGCAAAATGCTTACGTAGTACAGATGGGAACGCTGCAATCTGTTGCCTGCCATCCAGCTTCACATTGACAATGATTAGGCCTGTTTACCAGTCAAAAGGATTACCGTTATCACGTAATATTCTCCAAAATGCAACAAACTAGCACAATAGAAGCATTAATTTGTACATTTCAGCAAAAAAACCTGAAATTTGTTGGGAAAATCAAGTCTATAACTGTAGACGCTGCAAATTCATTTCGTCGATTGTGCTCGAGAAGAGACATTGCCCTAAACAAGAGTATACCTAGAATGTGACATTGCCCAACTTTGAAAAACTAAACAAACAGAAGAGATAAACTTATAACATCTTAATACGAGGGTCACTCCAAAATTATTGAGATATTCAAAAACCGCAAGAGGTATCGTGTTCAAATATTCACAGTTTCTCAAAATACTCTCCACTGGCTTCCACACAAAGTCTCATACGATAAAACCACACATCAAAACAATGGGCCTATTTTTCTGCAGCCAGGTCAGAAACAGCCTCGTTGAAGGCACTAACTGCATCATCAGCGCTATCAAACTTGGTTCCGCGAATTTCCTCTTTCACCGCTGGCAAGAGAAAGAAGTCACAAGGTGCCAAATCAGGTGAATAAGGCGGGTGGGTCATCAACTGAACTGAATTTTCGGACAGAAAGTCGATGGTCAAAGCAGCTGTGTGAGCGGAAGCGTTGTCATGGTGCCAAAGTAGACCTCTTAAGCCGGTCCTTGGACGTTTATTTCGCCAAATTTCTAGAACCTGTGGTATGCAGTGGTTAACATACCAATCCGTGTTCACTGTACGACGGTCTTCAACTTGAATGGTTGCGACATGACCCGTCTTTGAGAAAAATGACGCAACCATTCTTTTGCCGACGCTTCTGGATCGCCGAAATTTTTGCGGCGGGTTTTCACCTGGAAAGATCCAAATTGAGGATTGGCGCTTTGTCTCCGGGTCAAATTGGTAAACCCAACTTTCATCGCCTGTCACAATGTCATAAACCCTTTTCGACTCCCCTTCATTAAATTTTTGCAGCATAAACTGGCACCAATTGACGCGCTGCTCTTTTTGCTCATCTGACAAGCAATGTGGCACCCAGCGGGCAGCCACTTTCCGAACTTGCAGGTTTTCATGCAAAATTGTGTGCAATGCTGCTGATCCAATCTTTACGCTATCCTGCATCATAGAATAAGTCATCCGACCATCTTGCCTTAGCATCTTCTCCACAGCGGCAACTGTTTCTGGCACAACAGCAGTTGGGGGCCTCCCTGGGTGGGTCTCATCTTTAAGGCTCTCCCTCCCTTTCTTAAATTCGGCAAATCATCGAAAAACTGTTGCCATTGAAGGTGCATTATCTCCAAATGTCTGCAGAAGTTGAGCTAGGCACTCTTCTTGTTTCAGCCCCCTTTTAAAATCATAATAAATCATTGCGCGAAAATCACATCCTTCAAGCTCCATTTTTAACAAATAAGAACATCTAAGGTGCTGAAATTCAAAACCCTTTTTTATTTTTTTCCCGCGCTTGAAATTAACAAAAATTACAAAACATGGGTGAAATAGATGGTACAAGCCACCAAAAAAATTTCAAACTGATATCTCAAGCGGTTACTGAATATCTCAATAATTTTGGAGTAAAATTTTGCACACAACATTTTACGATTTAAGGCAACCAATCAAGTTACCTTGAACAGTTTCCATGGATGCATCCGCTTTTGCATACAGGATTACTGCATGTTTTAGAATCCCATAATGCATTGCCCACTGAATCTTTGAAACATCTGAAAATTGAATTTTTAACAATGGCTCAGCAATCAGCATTTGATAAATGAGCTGGTAAAAGATAGCACTTTACTTACTTTCGAAAGTTTAAAAAGAACCGAAAAGAATAAGACATTTGGTCCCCAGATATTAGGAACCATGGATAAAATCATCGATTTATGAATGTTTTTGTCTTTCATAAATAGCTTTCAAATTTTCAGTGGCTTCACTGGAAAATTAAGGGATAATTTGTTTGGAGGGAGGGGGGGATGAAGGTTACAAAATTTCGGACTCACAATAAGCTAATTGTAACTTTGTTCTTGAAGTAGATTAAACCTTTAATTACAGAAGCCCTAGCATTATACAGTTGGGTCGTTTCCTTTCTGAGATGAAGGATTTCTTGGATTTAGATTATGTTATATCATTCCTCGATGTAAATAAGCATTGTACTTTCCGATTACTCTTAAATTTTCCGACTAATTCAAATAACGTCACCCCTACAACCTCGGTATTTAAATGCCTGGCCGTCTTCGTCTGTGAGAAGGCTACTCTTAACCATGTAAGGCTATAAAATATAAATTCCAGAACAGTGCAACATGTTTAAACATGTCTCACATGTAATAAGAGACTCACATGCACATGTTTTCTCCTGCGCAATACCCATTGTCGTACAAGTTGAAGTCCTCTGGATCACTATTGTTTCCTCCGCATCCCAACTCACAACGAAATGGCAAAAGGATGAATTCTTCCCTCTCAATTTCTTCTAGCCATATTCTTTCTCTTTTGTGACGTTGGGAAAATTCCCAACTCTCTTCTACTTGCACTTGGTCACCAAGAGAGAATAGACCACGAAATGAGCGATATCTGAAAAGAAAAATAAGCCGTTAAAACATGATTCCATGGCTTAATTCAAAGTGCAGTGATAAATCGTAATTTGAAACATTGTAAACTCAAATTTTTAACAGTTTTCAAAGATGAAAATATTTTGTTCTTCAAGAATAGAACTTTGCAATGCGTAATTCAAATGGCCTACCTTTCTTATTTGTCACACTCCGTAAGCTCAAGATGAATTGCCATATAAAAATCAAAAGGCAGCACAAAAACATTGAGATGTTCCTGAACAGTTGAGTGATAAGAATTTCTTTATTAAATAAACCCTACATTGGAAAATTGTGCACGACTCTTTTAAGGAATCTTTTAACATAACGAGGATAGGGTTTTTACATTTACGTAATATATCTTGGCAATACCTTCTAAGATTGCGAAATGTAGGTCCAGTCTTTATATAGCCAGTTTTTAACGCAGCATCATGCATCCAGTCAATTGTATGCACCATATGCGGCCCACCATCAGATTTAACCTCGACGGAATAATTTGATTCGGGGGGCTCAATAATGAAGAAACCATTTGTAGGGTTGCTCTAAAAAAGAGTTCTCAAACTGATTGAATGTTGGAGCAAAAGTTACTCAGACAAAATCAGAGAATGCAAATACAATGAAATGTTACTGGTTGGTAAATGAGCATGGCTTGTAAAAATACTGGCCAAAAACGACTAGGTAAACTTATATTTTGTAGCAGTTTTTATAAATTTGAGTGATTGGACTTAGTGATAATTACCAGAACCCTTGCAAGACTCCAGTCCCATGGCTCAATCAAACCTGCTTGGACTTTGCCACCGTGAAAATGATCAAAAGAGTCTTGATTCGGCCAGACCAGCGACAATCTGCCTGATGAAAAGTTTGTACGTCACAGACATGGTCCCCGACACAGGTTGGAAAGTAGGGTGGACACCAAGGGAAAATTTATTAACGTTAACAAAAAATGTTGCGAAAAGTTATATTAAAAAGTGAGGGGGGGGATGGCCCCAGCCCCCTTCGTCGAAGGCCCTGAAAAAGAAATGAGCTTCATTCAACGGGGAGTCAATAACATCAACTATTGCAAGTTTCGATAGAGCCTTAAAGACCCTACAAGTTTTTCTGTTTCAAAATATATCAATAATGGCGGCTAAATTAATTACCCGAGTGATAGAAACGCAAGGCAAACAGTCTTAAGACATTAAAAACACTTTCTGACACTTGAAAACATCCTCACCTAAAAACTTAGATGGTTCCCCATTCGAGGTCATTGAAAGATTCGACATCATGCCAGTTGAAAATTGGATCTAGAAAGAAATTCAGCATCGATTACTCCATAATTTCCGTTTGAATTCACCGTAAGCACTAATTTTTTCAAATAAATTTTTAAAATTTCATAGATGACTTTATAACTGCAAATGAAAAACTAGTTTTCGTGTACATCGGGAGAATTTAGAGTCTGCTTCTTATCGCGATAAACATAAGCGTTTGAAATTTCTGTCTGGGTCGAAGCTTTGATGCAAATTTTCGAGAATTTAGCAAAACAACAGGAAAATTTCATGCATAAACTTACGGATCGGATTGTCTTTGCTACGGCTGGGCCTGTTACAGTCATGTTCATATCAATCAGTTTTCTGATTGCAAATGCATACATGTGAACTGCATCGTAAGCAAGACCCCCGGCACCGCCACTCTGCAAAAGTCGAGAGAATGGAGATGTGAAAAGTTTTCAGTTATCGCATGATAATACCGTATTATCCTGAATACTAGCCCATGGGTTTAAATGTGAGTTTAAAGCAGTTTTGGGTTTCCGAAATGGCATTTTTAGAGCTAGTAGAAGAAAAAGAGAGGTGAAATGTAATGTATGGTATAACAACTGTCTCTAAATCATAGGAAATAGCCCCATCCCCATGACTCCGGGTCAATAAACAAGGCCATTGGCTTGAAAAGAGGATGGGCGTGTATGCGAGGTTACGCGGTATCAATAGGTGTTCTTGCTCGAACTTCCCATGATGCACCGCAAGAAGACGATTTACTACAAAGTCATAAAAGTATGAAATACACATGTAAAATTAGAAGGATTATGCATACAACGATTTTAATTGTTATGAGATTCAAGTTTGGCTATCTTAACAGACCTTCCAAAGTGTCATCGCATCCATTTGTTCATTTTCAGTGTCAACGTCAAAGTACCTTTTCCATAAGCTTTGCCACTGAGGTGAGCTAAAACCATTGATGTTGTAATAAGGCGACACAAATGTCATCCCCTTGAATGCGAAATTGCAAAGCTGTTTCTAAAATATAATGCAGATCCGAAATGCAAGCTTCATATATTTTAAGAATCAAAGATGGAAAGTTGGAAAACAGATTTAGGCAAGAATGTCTTAGATTTTGAAATTACGAAATTCCCCATGTTATTTACAATCTATTGTTTTGCAGGTAATGCTGTTGTATACAACCAATTAAAGCATAATCGCAGACAAGCTTCTACTTTTAGTACGAATTACAAGGTCTAAAACCAACAATAAGTCAAATATTCGTTACAAACTTCTATTGATAAAATTGTTTAAAGATTTTCATCGTGATTGATTGAATTACCATATTCTCATGGCATCTTTTCGGCTGATTAGCATGCGGAAAATCCTCCTCCGAGTCGAAACCAATCCACTGAAAGCCGTTTTTTGACGTTATATTTTGGCTGTGAAAAAATATAGGAGAATTGATGCATCTAACGAAAAGTTTTTCCAATCATTGTATACCTAAGCCAACTCCTGCTTACATCCCAATAAGTTACTCACTCCATTTTTTTGTTCAGAACAAAAGCTTGAAATAGAAACAATTATGCATGGTTTTATAACCTCTGTGTAATAATTCATAGACAAAATAAGAAAAATCTGCAGGGCTCGAACTATCGGAAGTTTCTGTTTATTCAAAACATTTACCAATTATGAAGTGGAAATCACAGGCAGGGGTTGCTATTTCTTTTGAATTTCAAATGATTCCATCGCCAATGATATGAGTTGGTTCAATTAAAAAAAGGTTTCATAAAGAATAAAACAATGTGACGGACCTCATGGCTTCTGCAAACATGTAAAACGAGGTTGGTTTCTTAGCAACAGTCACAATGATCTTTGTACCAACAGAGTTAATTCTTGCAAAATGCTTTGCAAATTTCCCAGCCGGCTCTTGGTTGAAGTTTTCAATAACTGGAAATGTCACCTAAAGATATTGTCATTAGGTACTTAGCGACTGCTTGGATGAACATCAAAATTCTTAAAAAGGAAATGTGGTGACAAAATAATGGCCATGAAAAAACTGTTTTGAAGAAGTGACTTTTTCCAGACATAGCATAAAATATAATTCATCTAAAATGAACAAAAATCTTTACTTCGACATAAGTTTTCCTGGTGGCACTAACTAACATCTTTGCATGAGAGCAATCTTGCGATTGTGTGAGCTTTGCAGCTTCTCAAATAATCCTTTTGTAATCGAAAGCAAGAGGCTTGGAAAGAGATGAGAAATGCAACTAAGACAAATTTTTTTGAATGCATTGTTTGTAAATCGTCCGAAGTAATAAATGCATCATAAAAACAATTCTATTTTATAATACCAAACACTGAAAAATCGTTGTCATTTAATTCTATGTAGTCCCAAGCCGGTATAGAAAGACCAATGGGCCCACCTGATAGCGAATTCGGATTTGGCTTTTGTTGCACTGGTCAGCAAATTCCTTTCCAATTTTTGAATCGGCTGTTTCCACTAAGATCTATTTATAGAAGTAAAGGTTTACGTTATTTACGATAAACATGTCTTAGTTAATATAAATATTTTCCACAGATTTAATCATTTGAATGCAAGCTAGAGCAAGGAATAAGCGCTTACAATGTCTTGCCATTTTCTGCTGACGAGGTACACAATTAGCCCGTGGTACCTTGTGGATTTGCTGTAAGTGAGGCGACTGAAATAAGGATACTTGTCCTGAAATAAAAATACATATAATTGTCGACTTTTGAAAATATGATGATATTTTGGAATAAACTGTGAGCAGATAAATATGCGAGACATTCATAAGCAACGAATTTTTTGCAAAAATTTTGAGCTTAAAATTCAAGGAGCTTTGCATACCTTATCGGAGAATTCTGACAACGTATCATTGGCGTAACTCAAAACAGATATCTGATCAATCATTGCCATTGGCAAAAGCATTCTGGAGGCAAGGTTACTGTTGAAGCCTAATATTGTTTGCGCTCTCGAAGCAGGATCAACCTGCAAAAAAACATTTCTATGTTGAAAAAGTCTTCCTTCAATAAAGCTTGTTTCTAAAGACCAACGATACCAAAATTATTTAAAATAAACCATTCCAGTCTAGTTTTCTATTGTTCCATCCATTTACATCTCAAGGCGCTTAACACCATTAATGACAAATATCATTAATTTTATCACAGTTCAATCATAAGAACCAGATTATCATCACGATGCCACAAGCACTTCGCGAAGGCAACGTCATCCATCACAACTGCGCATTTACATATGATAAAACATTTGGAAAGCCAAAAGCCCTTCAGATAATTACTAGCGTGTCTCCCCAACAAGTGCACTTGCTTTGTATCAGCTATTCACGAAGTTTAAGACCGATGCAGCAATTGTAGTTTGATTAGACTTCGCTCGAGGGTTACAAGGTTGCAATCTTATTGCGAATTTCTAGGTTACTTTGAGTATCTGGTAGTGGAAAGTCATAATATTACAGTTTTGCCAAACGTTTGTCTATTTCAATTTTCTAAAATGCAATTTAGAATGCCCGACTACCCTGAGAGAATAGTGTCAGAATTTGAGGGCATCTTCAAGATTCCTGGAGGATTAAAAGGCCAAAATGAGTTACTTGAACACGCTCAAAGCCCTAAAATCAATAACACCGACAGAAATTGAAATTAAGAAAGCAAATGAGTGCAGGAAACCTTGCGGTCCTTTATCATTTTTCGATAAGCATTTATTGATTCATCTCTGCTTCCAGCATGATTGTAGTTTCTGATGAAAATTTTGCGCCCTACAAAAAGTAGAAATACTTTATATGAGCGATTTCAGTATGGAAAATCTAGCTTTCACTTGCTTGGATGTTATCCCAAATCGATTTATAGGTTATATGTCTCTATAAACATTAGAGTAAATAAATAGGAATGAATGAAGCAAAATTTATAAAATTAAGACTCAACTGATTGTTGTGCAGTCAATGGAATTAAAATTCCTATATAAGGAAACAGGGGGCTGAAATAAATAACATCGTACACTTTCAGCAATGATAATGATATGAATCGTTGGAAATATATGAACAAGAGTGGTGCCAAGGGATTCATGGAGGGAAATTAGCACCAAACTTTTGTCAAAACGATAAAAATGCATTGGATAGGGGTATGTCGTACTTTACTAAGGTTCGCCTAAGGAAAATACGCGAGGCATAAAGCATTGAAATGGGGGTAAAAAGTAGGTATTCTCGTGGGATACGCCCATTACTCTCACACTCTGTAGTAGCTGGCGCTGTCATTGTGTATATGGAAGATAAAGTAAAGTATTTCAAGTAGAGGTGTCAGTACAAAAGCTCACCAGGTAAAATAAATCCACCATCCGAATATCTTGAAATTCCTTCATTGATATCCGAAACAGCTCCTTCTACCAAAACTTGAGCAACATCATTCCCACTCGCCACGCCTTTTACAAAATGTGCTATGTGGATTTCCCCTATTTTTGAGGACGGAATTATCAAAACGTTTTTAAAAATGACAGCTCGATATTTTCATATAAGGCCCCGTTCACATTGCTCCAGATTCCAGTGAAAACGGATAAAAAAGAATCCGTTTTCACCTTTCTGCAAAAATGGAGATTTTTGAAAACGCACTTTGAAAACGAAGACTTTCGAAAACGCAAAACGCAGTGTGAACACCGAAAACGAATACTTTTGAAAACGATAACAGCAACAACAACAACACAGCAAGATGCGTAGACCGCGCCAATTTGAACAACCAACTTTTCTTAACATGGCTGATTCACTCGAAGTTAGTACACTACTTGGAGGAATATTAGTGGCAGTTAGTTGTTTGAAAAGTTTATTAGCAGTCGCAAGGTCTGTAAACCAGCTCGTGATTTTTCCTTTTTATCCAGATTTATTATTTAGCAATGTGAACGCTTCATCGTTTTCACGCCGTTATCGAATGTATCCGGAGCAATGTGAACATAGCTTTAGTCCGAGAACGATGCTGGTGAAAAGTTTCAAAATGGAGGCAAAGAAATTAACCTTTCCTTTTTCACGGTTCAAATTTTTGCGATCAAACAATTTTTTCAAGGATGTAGATATGCTTTTTTACGGCTTAGTGGGATGTTAATCAATTTGTGATGTTCAAGGTTCGAAGCCATAATTTTCGCTGCCGCATTGGGATAAGTAAGATTGAAGAAAGGAATGCACAATAAACATTCCATTAAGAAAGGATAAACAATCAAGTCATAAATATTCCCTATAAATTTTAACGTTGATCATGAATTCTGTAAGTACATCACAATTTTGAAAATTCATTTTGAAAGTTCAGAAGCACTCTATTGTGCACATCTAGAGTCAATGCTCCGAATTCAAAAGTCGCTCTATACCAGTGCCATAAAGCTTTCAAATATTTTTTTTATTTCCATTTGTTAGGATGCTCAAATTCTAAAGGTTTATGGCCTTTCACATCTTTCTATGCACTGTTCTGATGGCCAGGAAATATTACATAATTCAAAAACTCCTGCCCAAGATTCTGTCTCAAAGAATTAATGAAGCAAATTTACAATGAAATAAACTGCAAGCAACTACACAATATCACTTGAACGCTACCCACCGGTGACAGTGATGTTCGGTGTTGCTTCTGACACAATGGCAGTGCCATTGGCAGTGCTTGCTGCAAAGGTTATACTGACCTCTGGAGTTGACGAGCAAATAGAACCAGAAAATGAACCTAGACCATTTTGCAAAACGAATCTTGAATCATTCGATATGCACAGAGATGAATTGGATAGAACTGGCCATACAATCTGCAAAGTGCAAACACATACTTAATCGAAGTGCAATGTTTTTTGCAATGAAACTATCGATACAACAAGCAACTCCAGCTAATTCTAGACAGGTCCTGTGTCATTTCATTTTCTTCTCTCATAGCTGTATAATTTATCTAAAACTTAAACCAGGCTTATTCTCAACAGCAATTGTCTTTAGAAAGAAATCTGACGAAGGGGTATTTTTCATGAGCTAAATGCAACGAAGTAAAATTCATTAAACTTTTCAAGTTGCAAAATTTATTCACTGAAAAATTAGCAAACTGGAGTTGCTAAATTCAGAGAAGAAATTAATCTTATGATCCTGCAGGAAAAGGAAACCATCCTAAATGATAACGGAACAGATCAAGAATATTAAAGGGAGTACTACTGAGTGTCATATTTCTTCATGTACGTGGACTTGTGAGGATTTTCTGAACTCTGGGAATTATAAAACCATCATAAGCTTGTGTCTTCTCATAGGAACTGGTAATTTGGGGTAGAGTAAACGGAATAAAGCAAATCGTTCTTACCAAAGCTGAATTTGATCCAGTGGTAATCCGTTCACTTCGATTATTGACAACCTCGACAAGTATTGGAGGATCAAACGGGAAGTTTGCTGCTACGAGCTTTGGAATTGCAAGCCTTGAAGATGGGACGATACGGATGAACACTTCGTCTGTGGAGAAAACTTAAATGCATCATGATCTTGAAATTTTGATATCATGGCCAGATTCAAAACGAATTTTTTTGATAATCGCGACTTGACAGACGGATAATAAGCTTACCTGATGCAGATACCTTTGGTCGAGCCACAGCTGAAAATATTACCAAAACAACCGCAATTTTCTCCATTGTTTCTGATATTACTCAACTCTAGTAAGGCATAATTGCTTAAAGTTCCAAATTAATTTCCATAGATCAACACGAGTTGTGAGAAAGAATAGAAAACTCAACGTTCTGTGCCGAATTCGAGAATTCGACTGATGCAATGAAAATTACAGCAAGCGTATGAATTTAATTTATTTTAATGCGGTCTAAACTCGACTGGTTCTCTAGCAAAATATCATCAGAAAGTTAGTCATTTGAAATAAAACTCTGCTTCTTGATTCAATAAAACTCTGTTTCTTGATTCAAGCTTTTCTTGCCCTTTTGCATTCCGTTAAAACACATTGTATAACATTTATGGGTCTAGTATCATTTGTTTAACGAAGACTGCCACTCTTGCAGCTTGCCATTGCTCAGTGCCGGATTATTCCCCAATTGGGCCTGATGCTGCAGCATAAAACGACCCTACTATTAGCCCGATTAAGCTTCAGGAAAATCGTTCTAATGCCAGTAGTACCACCTTATTCCGGTCCCGTCAGTGCTACAAGTACACTTACGCGGCATAACTATTTGGACGATCGCCTCGAAGCAAATGTGGTTAATCCTTTGCTCAAAGAATAACATAGAAAATTGGTGGAACATAACGAGATTGCTGGTTGAGATTTTCGATTGCAATTTTACTCAATTGTAAAAATAAACATACATTTAATAAATTGTAAAAAATCTTTTAGACAAGTAGCATTTGCTTTATTTTATATTTTGTCAGATGACCTCCAAGAATCTGGACAGCCGCCATTTGCATTGAAACTCACTGAAATAATTTTCCAACGAAATATCTTCGGATACAGGAGGAAATCTCAGCAAAATTTTAAAAGAGCTTATTTTTGGTCTTAGAAGATTCCATTTCTTGTATTATTTTAATGGAAACCAGTTGTTTTCAATTACATCAAGGCTTTGATTTTAACGTGGTTCTTGATAGACCATGATGTTAATAATTTTGGAAATTTATGTCACAATTGCAACATAACTAGGTTTATTGTCTTGCTTAAAAATACTAATAACAATAATAATAATTTATTCATTTAAGATTGGCGCTTATTGCTAGCTCACATGCTAATTTAAGCCAACAGAAAATTAAATACATGATACTATAATAAACTAAATCTAAATTACAAACGGTTCTTAAAATGGTCTTTGTAAAGAATCATTAGTTGTTTCTGTACTTGTCTGTCGGCTTTCCACAAATAATTGGACAAAATATTCAGCTTTGATTGACTTCCCACACAACACCAGCTTGCCACCGCCATTAGGCCCAATCAAAAGTTGGCCTGCCCTAGCCTACCATTCTTTGAATTTTAGTAGGCCTTGTTAACTTATTGTTCTTGTAAATAACATGCCTTGTAGACTTGCTGCAACTAAACTTTTTGCAGTTTCAGCAAACAAATGAAACGCTAGACCCAATTTTTTTATTGCTTCTCATACTCTTTTTTGGTCGTTTTTGTGTTTTCTGCATTGAAACTAAAAAAGTGATATTTTCCATTTCTCCTTTACATTTTGTTACCTTTCTATTCTAGAGTCTTATGTCGATTTTTAGAAGGATTTACGACTTAACATTACTATCAAAACGCTATCCTTATTCCAGTTAAAGAAGTCAGATTTATTATCAAGTTTTCATTCTTTCAATGGGAAAGTTGGTATGTTTGCGCGCGGCATTTGTAACTCCCCGCACAGCCCTGCCAATTCTCTCGCAGCCTCAATAAACAGCCGCCTCTGTAGCTTAACTAACTACGTTCCCCTCTGTACAATAAAATTGATGGTGCAATACTGTATTTGTGGCACAAGTTTGCCAAAAAATTAAGCCTTTTCTCAATGATATGCAACTCTAGCACTTGTTCGGGAGATGAATCATGCCCCTCTTCCAGACATGCACTAGCCCCCTTTTCGGGGTCATTGCACATGCGCATTATCACTTGAAGGCCTAGCAGGAAGTTCAAGAATTGTGTGGTCGCAGACAGAACAGCTGTGCGAATACTGTTATTAATGCGCATGTGCTATGACCCCGCAACACTGATTGGCTCAAGGCGGTACTGTTTCGAAACAAAGGACTGATAGGTTCGTCTCCCGAACAACACCAAGTTAATAGCCTGGATCCTGTTGTAGCTGGATTTTCAAAACCGGAAAGCACTAAAGAAACGACAGCCTAACGCATAATCCCAAACAACCATGTTTACCAAAAAATCTAACAGTTACGTACAGGTTAACTATAATTTGAGCTGGGATCGGACAAATATCTGGTCCATCTGTACATATATTCGCGAATTAAAAAAATGACTGTTGTTGAGCATTGTATAAGCTAGCCTAGCAACTGGGTCAAATTACGGGTGTATTGAATAAATTATAAGCCAATTTCTTTATAAATCTTCTCAATACAAAAGGCGAAGAGAAAGAGCCAGAGCTTCAGGCCAGTCTAATATAGGTTAGCTTGTATAAGCATAGAAATGTAGAAAAAACACAATACGTAAGAAGGTCAGTAGAATATAGCAATCTAGCAACACCTTTTCAGAAGCACACGATGAGCAATGCTAAATAATAAGATAGAATGGAGCAACATAACGATTGCTTTGCAGCTCATTTTAGGAATGAATCTTGGTCAGAGCGATGCAAAATTAACCCTGGATAACAAGAAAGTTTATTCGGTAGCACTTCTCTGTGGTTTAACTGCCTGTTACGGCTTTAATGGCCCGGAAATCAATCCTAGATAACGAGAAGGTTTGCTCCAGTGGCATTTCTCTGTCGTCTAGCTGCCTGTTACGGCTTTAATGGCCCGGAAATCAATCCTAGATAACGAGAAGGTTTGCTCCAGTGGCATTTCTCTGTCATCTAGCTGCCTGTTACGGCTCTAATGGCCCGGAAATCAATCCTAGATAACGAGAAGGTTTGCTCCAGTGGCATTTCTCTGTCGTCTAGCTGCCTGTTACGGCTTTAATGGCCCGGAAATCAATCCTAGATAACGAGAAGGTTTGCTCCAGTGGCATTTCTCTGTCATCTAGCTGCCTGTTACGGCTCTAATGGCCCGGAAATCAATCCTAGATAACGAGAAGGTTTGCTCCAGTGGCATTTCTCTGTCGTCTAGCTGCCTGTTACGGCTCTAATGGCCCGGAAATCAATCCTAGATAACGAGAAGGTTTGCTCCAGTGGCATTTCTCTGTCGTCTAGCTGCCTGTTACGGCTCTAATGGACCGGAAATCAATCCTAGATAACGAGAAGGTTTGCTCCAGTGGCATTCCTCTGTCGTCTAGCTGCCTGTTACGGCTCTAATGGCCCGGAAATCAATCCTAGATAACGAGAAGGTTTGCTCCAGTGGCATTTCTCTCTCGTCTAGCTGCCTGTTACGGCTCTAATGGCCCGGAAATCAATCCTGGATAACGAGAAGGCTTGTTCCAGCAACATTTCTCTGTCGTCTAGCTGCCTGTTACGGCTCTAATGGCCCGGAAATCAATCCTGGATAACGAGAAGGCTTGTTCCGGCAACATTTCTCTATCGTCTAGCTGCCTGTTACTGCTACAATGGCCCACAAGAGCGAACTGTGAACACTCTAAAATTCCAGCTAGTTGAAAGAGATCCGGATCTAACACTTTGGGACTGGTATCTCTAGGACTCTAAGATCATCTATGCAGTGTTCCAAATTGGATGTAGGCGACAAAACATAAAAGAACTCAATCCGTCCGTGCTGTTCATAATTTAAATTTAGCTTATATAACAATAAATCTCTTAATACCAAACCATATGAGCGGTCAGTAATTATTTACAAGGCTTGATGTAACGTGGCACTTAGCCATCAAAATCCTACTTGAATTCCAGAAGTAAGACAAAGACGCATTTTTTATTAAAGCGAGACAGGTAGACAGAAGACAATTTACTGGAAACATGTGTCGTGATGTAACCTAACCTAGCCTGTTTCAGAACCAGACTAAAGTCATACACTACGCACAATACAGCTTATGAACTTGTTCGTTGAATTACGAAAACTGAACTTTTAAGATTGCCGCACTAAAAGGTTTTAGTGCCAGCTCTTTGAGACTCTTTTTGCAGCTCCATTTCGATTTTCGCATTGATTTTTTCCCAGTCAACTTCGACCTGCCAGTGAAATTAAAATTCCAGAATCAAGAGGTAATCAGGCGAAATCGATATTTCGACAAAAGGTACAGGTTTTGATTTCCGTAGAAATCTGACAGCTTTGAATAAAGATATCATTGTAAATGCTATCCTAGCCGGTTATTGCGGAGGAATCTTGGAAATTTTGAAGTCTTGGTTATTTCAATGCAAGCGGGTATCTCTTGAGGTTTCAATAGGTCCATAAGGAATAAGGTAATTCGGCTAAAACATTTGATTTTAAAACAAATACTTATTATAATGATATCATGCTTACACCCTGCGAATACTGGACAAACTTCTTATTTGTTTCTTTCTTTTCGTATCTTTTAAGGTACTTTTCCCTGTATGCCAAAACGGTGTCCACGTGTGTTTTGTGCTTGACTGCCAAATCCAAAGCTCTAGAAAGATTTAACAAAGTATTAACATCAAAACCAACATGTTCTCTTTAGAAGGCGTTCCAGCAGTGAAGAATGGTACAGGGTAGTGGTCGCGATTAAGCACTTCTAAGGGCGATTGGAAAAACACTTAGATATTTCAACACTAAATGAAAACCTTATTGCACTGGGTAAAGAAATAGATCATGGCAAACACAAAGGATACATGAACACCTTTGGTTATATGGAATTATGTGAAATAAAGACCATTTGAGAGCGCAAATGTTTTACTTTACTTAACTTTACTTTACCTTTCCCAGTTGAACAAGTCAATGTTCATTTGGATTGCACGGTATATCAGACCGCTTTGTAGCAGCATAGCTTCTGCATCCGGGATCTGACGACAAAACAATGCCATTGCTGCGAGACGGCCTTCTTTCGATGGAATCTCTTTCACGTGATTTATGTACTGCACCTTGTCGGCCTAGAGAGGTTTGGGAAAAAATGAGCATGGGACTATTAAGCTGAGGTTTTGTAAAGGCATAACATGGCTAACAACGAGCATATACGTGCGAAATTGTTTAGCATCGGTATTGAAATAAGGCAGGCTCGTGCACCTTTGCTTATGCATTATAATTCTTTCTATAAACACAAGATAAGCACGATGATATAATGACAAACTTACTTCTTCAATGGCTGCATACGCAATTTCAGCAGTGGACAGCTCCTTCGCATAAGCGGACATAGCAGCCAGGCAAGCCCAAAGACTGTCATCCTTTAAAGCAAAAATGCTGTCGATTTTAAATCGATACACAAAAAATGTTTTTCTGTTCTACGCAATTTTGTTAGTTTTAGTGATAGAAGCAGCTGAAATATTCTCATTAATTTCCAGTTAAAAGGAATGCTAGTGAAGGAATTTGGCTAACAATGATTAAACCACAAAAAATATTTGTATTTGCATTTGTTTCTACCCAGTGTAATGTTTTATGATTATAATTATTATCACATATGTAAGACCCAGGCCCCCCGGAATCTAAGTTAGAGTTGATACACGAGGCAGACAACAAAATGGTGTACTATCTGCGTTCACTCTTCAATATCCGACAATGGCGACGAGGATAAACTAGGAAAGAAAAAAAATGGCAGGAGCTGGTTTAATACAACCTGTGCCTCCGTTTGATGCAGTGTCAGACCCTGCCAACGCGTGTAACGCATGGAAACGTTGGGTTTCAAGATTCGAGCAGTACTTGGTCGCTGCTGATATCAAAGATGATAAAAGAAAAAGAGCCCTGTTGATTTATTTGGCTGGAGAACCAGTTGCAGATATCCTGAATACAATCCCAGATAATGGAGATGATTACAAAACAGCGTTAGAAAAGCTCACGGGACATTTTGAGCCACAGAAGAACTTGCTTCATGAAACATATTTATTTCGCCAGGCCAGACAAGAGCCAAATGAGACTTTAGGTCAATTCCATGTTCGATTACAGAACTTAGCATCACGTTGTGACTTTGGGGATAGAAAAGAGTTCGAAATATTGTTACAAATTGTCACAAATGGATCATCAAGTCGTTTACGAAAGAAAGCTTTACGAGATCCAAAATACACATTGAAAGAAATGTTATTAGATGGCCAAAGAGATGAAACAAGTACACAGCAAGCAAGTAGCATTGAAGGTAACACTGAAATAAAGCAAGAAGTGCATCGTGTAATACAAAGTCAGCACAAGAAAGGACATGTACAAACAAAGAAATGTCATCAGTGTGGAGGATCTTACCCTCATAAAAACCAGACCTGTCCAGCTGCTGGTAAGATATGTCATAAATGTGGGAAAAAGAACCACTTTGCAAAGTATTGTATGAGCAAAACTCAACAAGTGCCAAGGAAAACACAGCCTTTCAAAAGACATGTTAGGCCAATTACAACAAAATCAGTGAATAAAGCACAAAGTGATTCTGATTCAGATTTTGATTACCTTTATGCTGTGAAACAGAAGAAAAAACCTGGTAACGCTGTTACTGCCAAAATCAGTGATTACAAATGTGATTTACTTGTGGACACAGGAGCCTCAGTAAATATTCTTGATGAAGAAACATTTAGTCAGATACCATCAGATCCTAAATTAGAGAAAACAACAGTTAAAGTGTACCCATACAACAGCAACAGCCCTGTGAAATTGTTAGGAAAATTCCAAGCCACTGTGGAGACCAAAAAGCGCATTACTGTAGCCACATTTTATGTCACAGAAGGGAACTCTGGTTCACTATTAGGTTCAGAGACATCCCAAGAACTTGGTCTTGTTACATTTCATATCAATCCAATGGTTTCAAAAGTGAAAGATAAAAATGTGAAACCACAAGTTGCTTCCACCTGCTCATGGATTCCTATCAGATCTACCCATGATAAATCAGTTGATGCTGCTTTACTTGCAAATAAAGAAATTTTTAGAGGAATAGGAAAGTTAGATGGAGTTCAAATTAAATTAAACATTGATGAAAATGTAACTCCAGTTGTTCAAAATACCAGACGCATACCATTCCACATCAGAAAGCAAGTAGAAGAAGAATTGCTAAGTCTGGAAGCACAAGGAATAATAGAGAGAGTGCCAGAGGGGCAAGCAACCCCTTGGATATCCCAGATAGTTGCAGTACCAAAGAAGGACAATAAGTCAATTCGGATTTGTGTTGATATGCGTTCAGCAAACACAGCCATAAAAAGAGTTAGGCATGTCATGCCCACAGTTGACGAAATTATGGTACAATTAAATGGAGCCAAATTCTTTTCAAAGATTGACCTTAGTCAAGCTTACCATCAATTAGAATTGCACAAAGATAGCAGATATATCACTACATTCAGCACGCACATTGGTTTATTCCAATACAAAAGATTGAACTATGGCACGAATGCAGCTGCTGAGTTATTCCAACATACATTACAAGAAGCTTTAAAGGGTATAGATAATGTCAGAAACTTAGCAGATGATATTATCATTTTTGGCAAAACCAGAGCAGAGCATGATAAAGCATTGAATGAATGTCTTGCAAGATTAAAGGCAAGAAAGCTAACAATAAACAGAGAAAAATGTAAATTTTTACAACAAGAACTTTCATTCTTTGGTATGGTATTTTCAGAAGATGGTGTCAAGCCAGATCAAAAGAAGATTGCAGATTTAGTAGATGCTCCTATACCAAACAATGCATCAGAAGTGAGAAGTTTATTAGGAATGGCAAATTTCAGTGCAAAGTTCATACCAAATTTTGCAGATATAACAGAACCACTGAGAAGATTAACTCACAAAAACATTGTATTCAAATGGGAGAAGGAACACTCACAAGCATTTAAGAAACTCAAAGATGTTCTGACAGACAGTCCAGTTATGACATATTTTGATATTGACAAAGAAACATACCTGATTGTAGATGCCAGTCCCATTGGTATTTCTGCAATTCTTGCACAATCAAACAAAGATGAGCCTCAAAAAGTGATTGCATATGCCAGTAGAGCACTTACCCCTGTGGAGCGTCGATACTCACAAACTGAGAAAGAAGCACTTAGTATTGTGTGGGGTACTGAGCATTTTCATATGTATCTTTATGGAAAAAGTTTCAACCTGATAACAGATCACAAGCCTTTGGAGGTGATTTATGGGAACCCTAAATCAAAACCATCATTACGCATTGAAAGATGGGTGCTCCGCTTACAGCAATATTGTTTCAAAGTTATTTACAAGCCTGGAAAAGATAATCCGGCTGACTTCATGTCAAGACATCCTACAACAGTCAGTGTCAAAGAAAACATGGCAGATGAGTATGTGAGATATATAACGATAAATGCGATACCAAAAGCCATGACCATAGAAGAAGTACAAAGAGAGACAGAAAGGGATGGGACACTCCAAGCAGTCATAAAAGCAATTAAAACAGGAGATTGGAGTAACCAGTTTTTAGTACCTTACAAGTTAGCCAAAGATTCATTGACAATAAATCATGCAAATGGAATTATTTTGCGGGGAAACCAAATTGTCATGCCTAAATCACTATGGAAAAGATCAGTAAAACTAGCTCACGAGGGTCACCAGGGCCTTGCTAAGACTAAAGCCCTGATCAGAGAAAAAGTTTGGTTTCCATTTATTGAAAAATTGGTAACAGAAGAGATTAATAGCTGTTTACCTTGTCAAGCAGTGGGAACACAAAAAGCACCAGAACCATTGCGAATGAGACCTATGCCATCTGGACCTTGGAAAAAACTGCATATTGACTTTTATGGACCACTTCCAAGTAGTGAGTATGTACTTGTTATTGTAGATGCTTATTCTAGATTCCCCATAACAGAAATTGTAAAATCTACTGCTGCTTCAACCATTATTCCAAAATTAGATCAAGTTTTTGCAATGCATGGACTTCCTGAAGAAATAGTAACAGACAATGGTCCACCATTTAATGGTGATGATTTTAAAAGATACTTGATGACTCTAGGAATAAAGTTTGACCCTTCTACACCATTATGGCCCCAAGGGAACTCAGAGGTAGAGAGATTTAACCAACCTCTAGGAAAAGCAATTAGAGCTGCATGTATAGAAAATAGAAATTGGAGACAAGAACTTCAAAGATTTTTATTGAGTTATAGATCCACCCCACATGCAACCACAAAGATTGCACCTTCAGAACTGTTATACAATAGGGTCATTAGAGGGAAACTACCTTGTTTAATCAAGACAAGTAAATCTAAAAGACACAGAGAAGCTCAGGAAAATGATGCAGTAGGGAAAGAGAAGATGAAAAGCTATGCAGACAAAAGAAGACACACAAAGATTTCTGATATCAAAGTTGGTGATACAGTTTTGTTAAAACAAGATAAAAAGAACAAGTTTTCTGCAAACTTTGAAAGCACTACTTACAAAGTTATATATCGTAAAGGTTCCAGAGTAACAGCAGAAAGACAAGATGGAAGGAAAGTCACTAGAAATATTAGCTTTTTCAAAATGTTTAGTAAGAAAGATGATGATGATGATGATTTGTCTGATGATGACAATCACAAAAGAACAGAAACAGTCGAAGAGAATAACAGAGAAAACAGATATCCTCTTAGACAAAGGCGAATGCCTGAAAGATATGGAACAGTTGTAGCAACAGACTAGGAGGAGAATTTATTTTATTTCTTTATTTTTATTTTTAAATACTATGCAAAGAGAACAGGACTCAAAGAACAAACACGTTATGTTATGTTTATGTTGTCAAAAAAAAGGGGGAATGATGTAATGTTTTATGATTATAATTATTATCACATATGTAAGACCCAGGCCCCCCGGAATCTAAGTTAGAGTTGATACACGAGGCAGACAACAAAATGGTGTACTATCTGCGTTCACTCTTCAATATCCGACACCCAGCATCCGAAGGTAGTTTATGGGACACTGAGAAGCTTCTGCTTATTGAGCAGTGTCCTGGTCCTTCCTCTCGATGTGACCACAACTTGTGATTCCTATGCCTGGGATTACGGAGAGCTGGCGACCCTCCTCACTCTGGGTGAAAGTTTAGTCATGCCAGAGACTCGAACCACGGACCCTTGGGTCTGTAGTCAGCGCCTCTAACACTGAGCCATCCTCGGAACCAAAGGTTTTTCTAAACGTAGGAAATGAGAAAGCAGAAAACTCATAAGGAGGCTAAACTGATAAGGAGGCCTACCTTAACGAAACGGCAGAGTCGAACGGCGTCGTCCCATTTCGATTCGCTGGCATGGCCATGGAGAAATGCCGGGTACGGAGAAATACTGCAATCAAAAGAAAGAGCTCATTGGAACCCGAATTTGCTTTTCAAACTGTGGTCTCGAGAGAGTTTGTTAGGCATTTATTAAGGTTCTTTTATAAAGTTTTTATCTTTACAATTGAGAAAATACATAAGTACAGGCTCCCTCCGCATCAAACCGCTGTATTTTGGCCCTAGTTAAAGACTTAAAGGCATTGAGTCATGGCTTCTCTAAATAGGCCTTCTCTATAGGGGCCATTTGGTGCGGCGTGATCGCTGCTGTTTCATGTGATACTTGCATCCGTTGTTTGACAACTTGCTATTGATGGAAATTGTTTTGTCAATCAGTACGAGGTGAGTTCATTTGACCAGTTCCAGGTCAACCAATAGCATCGCAGTCATGCAAATCATGACTCAGCGGATTTTGGCACTTAGGGTATGCCCAATCCATTTCATCATGACTCAATGCCTTTAAGAATCAAGCCAAAACAACAGTAATCAGTTAGCAAAGTTCAAATCTTTCATTGGCAATTCCTCAGGAAATCTGTAGGAAATTAACTTGTTATCACATTTAGAGGTATTCACCGTGCTCTTCCTGCTCATGTGGTGAAAACTAAAAAATTCTAAAAAGATATGTATGGTTTCTAAGACACCATTTGATATAAAAGTTGATTCGACTCAAATTCTGTTTCGGAGCAGTTACTCAACCAACATTACTAACGAACTTGGAAGTTTTCTACGTGGTCTAGCAAAGGTTTCGTAGATTTTCCGACAGTGAAGTATTTGTATTCGTGGTTTCTTCAATAGAAACATGCATTGTTTCGACTATTTGGAGAAAAGTCAAATTGATAGACAGGGAAAAAAATATTTGAAGCATCTAGATAGCAAATGCACATACGAGCAAATGCACAAGAACAACGTGACACGTGACAGCACAAGACACAACAAAGCTTTATGGTGACAAAAGAGGAAACAATTGCAGTCCCAAACCTCGAGCTGCAAAGCGCCCCATCGCCTCTTCTCATCGTGCAAACGTTACCAACAAAGTTTGTTATCTGGAGGTTTTTTCCGAATTCGCTGAAATTAAAACAATTGAAACAGTTCACAGTCAACGAGAGTTTAAGAAAAGATAATAAATAGAGCACTAGCTTGTTGATTCTCTAATCAATCATTCAGTTTTAAAAAGGAACAAACAGTGCTAGGTAACTAACAAACCTTTGATCTAACTGGAAAACGGTCCTTGTGGCAATATCAGGGTCGACAAAGGCAACATTAGGGTAGTACCAAACAGTGACTTTATTATCGGCAACCGCAGCTAGCATATTGACGCTGTCATTCCAGGCCATTGTGGATACCATTGTGGCTACGGAAAAACCAAATCAAAAGACAAAACGAACACGCAATGCCTTTTTAAAGATACCTATAAGTGCTAATCGTATTTGGTTCAACGACCACTCTTATCGATAGCATCACAAGCAAACAAAAATATAAAGGTCATGTGAGAGAAAGGGTGATACATAATGCATTACATGTACAAACCAATTTTAAACGTTCGACAAAGGGTAAAAGTCTTAATCAAGCTACAGAATCAAGATATCCAATGAGGTGGATGGGTTCAATGAATATTTCAAGGTTCAAGGGTTCAATGGTTGCCGAAAATAATGCTAATAACGCATGTGCGGTTGAAGCATCGCGATGGTACCGATACTCGATAGCAATGGTAACATTACTAGAATGATTATTCGATACTTGAGGGCTGCATTACTTGCAAGCAAAGGAAAAAAGTGACACTGTTTACCAGATAACCTTTGCTAACTGCACGCGTTAGAGACAAACGTGGCAAGAGCATAGATGATAAGGATAAAAAACAAATGCAGACATACAAAGTTTGGTGGTTTTTGGAGCCCCAACTTGTCGCACTGTTCGAATGTACAAATCTCTGTTCTTGTCAATAATAGCCAACTTTCTCTCTGTACCTGGTCCATCATTATTCAGCCCTATTTCTAAAACCTCAGCCTGCAAGAAATATTCAAAATCACAGGCTTTATCAAAACCCTTTTTGGATAGTTTGTATTCATAAAAATTGATCATACAACTAAGCCTATTCATTTTCCCATTGCAACAACTGCACAGTTCTTTGTTATAAGTTGCAAATAACAAGAGTCCAGCTAAACTTTTCTTTTATCAGAGAAATGTTTTTGAGCGAGAAAAATGTTACAGGTAAGGTAGTTGTGCGCAAAACGAACATACGGACACCAAAAACTCAGCTTTGAAATAATTAATCATCGTCATTATAATCACCATCTTCAAAAGTATTATTCTGATAACTGAAAGAAATTATTTTCTAGAGAAGAAGCGCAGAAACAACTCACACTGTGTTGGATTGGTTTCCCGTCCCCTAATGGTTTTCCTGATACAGCATCGAACAAATAAATAACTGCAAACAGACAAAAGTATAAAATCGTTTATAACTGTATAAAAATCCAATTAATTGTATCATCTTGAAAAGAGAAGTTGTGGGAAAAACAAAAACATAACCTGAAGTATTAAAACAAGCTTCTGTATTCTCCTCTAGCAGAGGCAATTGGGGAGGGAGAAAGGGAGGAAAAAGGATAGGATAAAAGGAACTGCGGAAGAAAAAAAAGTGGAGGAGCTGCGAGGGAGAAAGAAGAAGAGAAAAAGCTTCACCATTTCTCAATCCCCAGCTCCCTCCCCAAAAGCCTCTGCGGAGGAGAGTAAAGTTTTTGTATCGCAAACAAACAAAAGAACATGTTCGAGCTTACGTTTTTCGTCAGTTTTGTCCTTGATGGCCAAAGTATCGTTACACAAGGCAATGGTCTGAGCACTCATCATGTCCGGTCGCATCCCTTGGTACTTTGGGGTGCTTAACAATCGCCCCTATGAAAAGAGAAACAACATGATGTGGACATTAGCAATTCATTGAAACAGAGAGACGAATAGAAATGACGTTTTGTTGTAATACTGTATTGGAGTATGAAAGAAAGGTTAAGTTTAGAAAAAACAGCGTTACCTCATACGAATAAATCTGGACACTCATTTCATCAACAAGAGCAAAGTGCCTGAAAAGAAACAAAACACAGGAAGGTTCAGCATCGAGTAATATAAGAAAAAAATCTAGGAAAAGATGCAGGGGCAGATCCAGACAAATTTGAAAGAAGGGCAGTTGGCAGTGGGGGCACTGAAAAATTTTCAAAAATTGGTGATGAACGTACAACAATTTCAGACCATCACTACTGACAGAAGGCTCTCTTTTCACGTTCTAAAGGAAATTTTCACAATGATTGTGTCAAACCATTTCCAAAAAGGGGCGCCAGACTTGCTTCAACTTGACGAGAAAGGCGCAAATGCCCCTATTTGCCCCCTTAAACCTGCCACTGACAAGATACCAGCAGCAAGAGAACAACGCTAGGAGTTTGTCTTTAAGTTCAAAATGTTAAAAAAGTTTAAAAGAAAGATTAAAATGAAAAGAAAAAATGAATTTTATCTACTGTACTAGTTTTTTAACATGTAAAAGATTTCTTCACGCAGCATCAACGCTATAGAATCGTTTTCAGTCTCAACTGGAGCGGTAAAATATGACCAGACGAGTTAAAAATTAAGTCAATGCAAGTTTGATAAAGAAGAAAAGTAACCTTTCCTTTCGACGGACAAACTATCTCTTCGAGAGCAAAAAATGGCATACTTAAAAGAAACAAAAAGAAAATAAACTTACTTTTCTGCCAAATGCAGCAAAGAGACTGCACCGCTTTTCAAATCAAATATCATAGGGGTGTTCCAGTTTTTCACGCTGTGCAATACAAATGAAGAAAGAACATTAAACAAAATGACGGAAAAAGTGTTGAAACAAAATGGAGAAATGTTCTGGTACACAAACAAACAGGCGAAAAGCAAACGCTTGTCTACAATCGCACTTTGAATAACATACATGTACCGCATCAGGATTTCATTATTTATCATTCATCATATTTAAACACAGAAACTCTATCAGCTACTAAGTCCAAAAAAGTAAAGATTAATTTACATATAATGCTGGTCTTCCTAGGGATCGTGTTTCGGGAAAGGATGCTAATTTTGCGAGAATTCTTTTAATTTCTTTTTGACCGTGGTAATCGTGGAGCTCATTCTTATTTGTAATGGGATTTCGTTCCACGTCTGTGCACCACAATAGAAAAAACCTCTTTTGGAGAATTCTAGGTATTGCCTTTGGATGTCTATGTGAAGGCAATTGCTTGTTGAATAGTTAGATATTTGCGATCTAGTGACAAGTCTTCCTTTCAAATTGTAGGGGCAGAGACCATTTCTTGTTTTGTAGATCATAACTGCCCTGTCAAATTTGAGACCGAAAGCCAATTGCAGCTCCACCAATTGATCTTAGGGCAATGAAGAAGGAGAGAAATTTGTACGTATGTGTCAGCACCTATTCCATCGCTTCACTACACAAAAGTTTTTTTTTCGTTTCTAAAAATGTGCCTTTTGTGAGATTTGGCTTTCCTTAGGTGCAACCTTTTAGACACGTGTCTGGACAGGGGCCACAACACCTGGACAGGGGCGTAGATAAGGTACTACCTGTATATGTAACACTGTGACGAGGTTGTGACTACCAAGTGATTATATCCAAGAGTCAGCTTTATGATGCGGTCCCGGAAATCTGGAAAAAAACTTTTCTCAATCAAATCCTATGGGGAAGCAGGTTAATTCACAAATACAAAAGCTTGCCAACATTGCATGCAATACACTAAGTTAAATGTATAACGTTTTAGCTAGGAGATAATAGGCAAATTTAGTTAGGCAAATTTAGTTAGGCAAATAAGAATTTCTTACCAAGGTTTTCTTTCGAGTCTAAGATAACATCTCTGACTTTGATATGCTTTTGTTCAGTCACAACTGCTTCAAAGTTTTTCCATTCTAACCTCCTGAAATGAAAAATAAAGATGTTTAAAAACCTGGCAAAATACGATTCCCCAGGAAGAGCCAGGAAATTTTTACTATAAGAACAAATATGTTTACTTTATTGTGGGGACAGGCGTGGTAGATCAGATGCAATAACTGTAAAAATCTTGTAAAGAATCTCAAGTAGGGTCTCACAAGGGTTTATCATCTGAAAATCTTTATACGCAAATAAGGGACTATAATGGGCCTGACCTCTATTAAATCCGCCAACAGCCGTGATCTATAAATATGCTAACGAAAGGTTCAAAGTATGGGAATTTGAGTTTACTTTTGGACGACATTGCCAAAGATGATGTGGCCATTGGCACAGGCGCCAGCCACTTGCGTCGCATCACTTGACCAAGCAATGTTGAATATCGAGCCAGTGTTTGGTTTCTCTAAAGCATATGACCACTGCAAAAAAGGAGACTCCTGTCAGTCCAAGAAAATTTGGAAGCACAGAAAATAACACCAGTTTACGACGAGACGACACTGTTGGTAATATTTCAGTTCAGCGAATGGAATCACAAAATGAAAAAAGTTATGCTCAACACAATCAGTGCAATGAAAAATACCATGAAATAACATTGAAATACAGTATCCAGCAAAAAACGTGATTAAAAGCTGGGTACTTGCCCCCTTTTTGTCACAGAGCCGCAACGTATTGTAGGATCCGACGGCGAAAAATTCACCTGAAAAGTCAGAAACCGTAGAATGAAGAGTCGACATCAAGGCATCATTTCTTGAGTAAACTACTTAAAATATGGCTACGACAAAACAAAGTGTAAAAAATGAAAAGAAATGAACTAAAGCAGTGAAATGTTACTTAAAATTAGACAACCATTACTTAAAATTACAAGTGATGAGCTAACAAGCAACCTATATTTCCTGATGATTAGAAATAAAGTTATCATTGGTGTTAAAAAAGTGTGAACCTTCCATGTGAAAACATATTTACGATATCGTTATGATCTTTATGAACATAATACTATGAAATACAGCGAAAAGAAGAAAGTTCCTTTATTCATAGCAGATATTCCTGGTTCATCAAAAAAATTGACGAAAAACTAAATAGTGCATACCATCTGGAGCCCAAGCCAAAGATGTGATCGGATACTCGTGAAGTTGACTACTGTACAACGGGCGACCATAAACATCCCAGACCTGGAAATGGAAATTTCCATTTGACTCAGCTTGAATACAAAGCAGTGAAGATCAAATATGGTATGAGAGTGTTTTAAGGCTTCTTCAAGACTGATGATCTAACAACATCACGTAAAGGACCAGTCTCGTTTAAAGGACCAGTCTCATTTAAAGCTAAACAGCGATTGAATAAAGCTGGAGTTGAAGTCGACTGATGTTGTCAACAGTCAACGTTGTTTATAAAAAGCACCAAAGATAAAAAAAACTGTTTGTACAGAGCAAATCAGAATCAAGCATGGGAAATGCGAAGAAAGAGCTAGAAAGATCTCAGGTTTAAAAATTAATCGTTTACAGAATCATATACAATGTGGGATGCAAACATCTCACATTTTGTTGCAATAATTTCTGGATTAAAAGTTGAAATTGGATCCATTTAGAATGTAAACACTCATAAGACAACATTTTAATGAAGCTAAGATTCACCGGCCATGAACTTACTAGTCTGATATAATTTCCAATTCAAGGAATTTATATGCACATGACAAGAAAACTCCACCATGCTATGCAAAATGTACAGTAGATAAAAAAACTTAGATTTTCGATGAAAAAACGGCAATTCTACCTTGTATCGACAATCTTCTCCTCCAGAAATGATTGTGTTGTTCAGCGAGTTCCAGTCAATCTTCAACACAATGCCATCATGAGCTTTCCACTGAAAAATGAAAAAACTTGCTGATTATTGAGTTCATCCCACAGCGGAATTTTTATGCAATGAGAACAAGCTAAAAATATAGAATGCATCATCAATATGTTATTACTGCCAGAAATAAAAGATTTCCAATGTCTCAGCAATATAATATATGGCTGTTGACTCATGTTAAAAGCAACATGGTTGGGCCATATGATGATAGAAGAAAAAAAAGAAAGCGTAAACCAGAGCGCAGCCTGTTACTCTACAATTGATACATTTGTGCAAAATTGCGACTTTGAAAGCTGCTAGGAGATTATTTAGTCACCTTCAGGTTAAACCTGAAAGAGATCCCTCTATGAAACAGAGCATATATACTGTCAAAATATCAACCATCATCACTGCCTCTCTCGCAATAGACACCAAGAATTTTGCAATACTTTCTAGCAACTACATTTTTTGAGATTCGAAATTATCACTTAACTTAGAGATTATAAAAAACAATCTTTCAGCACATTTGAAAATAAAATTATTGCAATGAGCCAAAAAATCACCTGTTGTGGTTTAGCTTGTGGCTGAAGGGGTTTTATTGTTATTTGTTTTCCATTTGTGTGGATGATCTGGTTTGAATTGGGGCTCCAAGCAACTGAGTAAACTGGATTTCCTGTAACAAAGACAGAAATTTAACCTGCATCAATATACAATATAGACATACCACACTAGGTTGATGTGACTTAGCAATGTGCCTTTTAGAGGAAAAATTAGTACTGACAAATAATGCATTTAGCCACTTTGGTATCTTTCAAAATTTTGCGAAACAAAGATTTTTCAAGCATGCTTCATTCTCTGTAAGAGTCTGGGTCAATCAAAACGAACATGCCTATTCTATGTATGTTGCATATCTTCTGTCTTGTGATTTTCTATTAAATTGTCCATATTCCTTCCTGTTTTTCCATCCTTTGATAGATTGTCTATTCACATTACTTTGGGACTACCCTTTGCTATTTTTCTTAATTATAAAGTCTTTCATGATGTTGAGAAACAGGGTTTTCTTCTCATCAGGTGTAAATGTATCAGTCCCATTGAGAATGAAATGAAAGTGTTGATATCGTTGCCTGATCAAGCCAAAGACAAAATTGAATTACCAAGCTGAGCCAAAGTTGAGCGTAGCATCCCACTTCTAGACCAAATCTTTATTTGTCCATCTTCCCCAGCTAGAATTGCAAAATAACTCAAATCAGTTCATCAATGAAATCAAAACTAGTTTTTTAAATTTAACCTTACAAATCACAGGCCAGGTTTTTGACTGTTTCAGTTTGTCATATTTCTATTGAAACTGCATACTCAATAAATGAAACATCTTCTAAATTCACCTACTTTGAAAACAATTTGCAAACACAAAATGCAAAGAAAAGTAATAAAACTCAACTAAATTTGAAGGATTTAAAAAAAAAGAAACATACCAGTTACCAGAGCATTCCCATCATAACTCCATTTTGCTGCAAGCACAGCCCCTCTGTGAGCTTCAACTGATTTCTCAATTCGCCCAGATCGTGAAATCAAATGAAATTTTCCTAGATGTAAGACAAATTAAACATAGAATTATAGAAGGAGACAAAATATTCACTAAAGGAAAGTGTAGAAGGAAAAAAGGAGAATTCACACACACAATTGGAGCTGTTTGGAGCAGCTTTTAAAGCACAAAAAGCCCACAAAAACCAAATGTTCTTCAGACATAAATTTCAAAGTTTAATTTACTGATTACAGCAGACCACCAACAACAAAGAACAAAAGTACATGAGAAAGACTATGGATGTTATATCGCATGGAAAAGAAATCAAACTTATTTTTTTGAAAAGTTTTTCCAAAAAAATCTCTCACCATCCGTAGCAGCAAGTACAAAAATGTCGATCTGGCCTTGTTTTTTTCCACCAATACTTCTTGGGAACCAATGAATATCAGTTGGAAACAAGTCTTTTGGTAACTGCACAGCCTATTAAATAAAATTCAAACCGATAACAAAATGTGTGTATAAATTATAGCAGAAAGTGCGTAGTGATACCTTTTCAAAACAACCATGAATACCATTTTTGGGGTTTTTTTGTGCTCATGTGAGCTTGACACAGGCAAGTTGTAAATACATGGTGTACTTTTTACTGTTTCAATATTCTGTCATGATCACCAACACAACCATTTGAAGCTCCAACGCAGCCAGTAGCTGGTTTTGATTTTCTATGAATTCAACCAACGTAAAGCTGCTTTTGGCACTAAAGCAACTTCACTGTCAACTGTTTACAACAAAAGTTTCTACCTCAGTTTTCGAAACTCAAAACATCACAAATAGGTAGGATGATATTGAAAAAAAAGAGTTTGTGAATTTCCTGAAGGAAAGCAAATCCAGAGATTAAATTTAATTCAGAGTCCATGTTTACTGACAAACCTGTGTGGTTTCACCATTTAGAAGGTTCCATTTAATAACTTGATGGTCATCCCTTAGAAAATAAAGTGGCCATCATTAGCATTTGCATATTTGTAGATGTTTTATTAAAGTGCATCAATGAGGTGATACCATGGAAAAATGTGACAAAGTAAATATAGGTAGGGAAAAGAGGTGTAATTCACATCTCTTGAATTCCTTGGTGTTTTTGATGTAATCCATTTACAAATAGAACAAAATAAAGGAGGGAGTAATCAAATTGCTTCACTTTGAAACTCTATACCCAATCATTTTAAACCAAGGTTTCTCAGATTCCTTTGGAAAGCTTGCAAATCTTATTGATTCAAAATTTTAGGTGTGATATTTAGTAGCGTTTAGGTTTTATGCTGAAAATGCTTAAACATTTAAAAAAGTTTCTTTAGCCTGATAATTGAGGAAAACAGAAATTTTCTTACCCACAGGAATAAACTTCATCTGGAGTGTACCAACAAATGCAGCTGACAAGTTCTTCATGTGAACATTCAATTAAGGAAAAAGCTTTACTCTCAGGATACAACAAACACAATTTTACAGTCTAAACTTGACCAGTCTTTTACAGTTCAATTGACACCTTTGGGTACTCCCAGTCTGACTTTAATGTATCGCTTGAACTTATTAATAAGCAGGTAAGTTTAAAATGTTTTTCTCCAAAAGAAAATGATTCTTTCAATTTCTATCTTTTTTTATTTATGAAGGAAACTTTCTTAATAGTTTCTTCAAAATAAACTGCTGGGTAGTTTTTTTATTATTGAAGCATTGCTACATATCAAAGTGAACACTAAATCCTCTCAACATATTTTCATGGTGACTTTTACAAACTGGCTGACAAAACAGATAAATTAATATCTTTGAAAACACAGTATACATAAACATTTTAAATCCTTAGTATAAATATCAGAAAGGTAGATTTTGTTGCTTTACTGCCTTCCAAAAGCCCCAAACAAATACATTTAGCCTTCTAAATTAGATGAAGGTGAGAACTTGAATGAAAAAAAGAATTGACATTCCAATAAGTTTAGCACAAAAATCTTCAGCTAAATTGGCCATCATGTTAGTTCCTTCACTCCAAGTTACCCATTTTTCAAGTTGGTTGAAATTTTTCAACTAAATTTCTCTTGTCCTAGAAAAATTCAATATTCTTACCACCCAATAGAAATACATGTAAACAAAACAAAACATTTCTAATTCCAGGTTTTGCTTTTGGATATGTTTTGCTTCCTTGCCTAGATTCAGCTCCACTTTCAACTTCATGTCTTAATGTCGTTATTTATTTCCTCCGTAGCTTCATGCATTTGATTCAAAACTTTAGACAAATGTTTCTAATTCCAGGAATGAGATCTTTAAAATAGGACCCGTATCAACTTGAGCAGGCTTTGGCATCAGCAATCCATATTTCTGATGAATAATTATTCAGGATGATGTTGCTTTGTTGAATGTTGAATTCGCCTAGCTACAAGTGCAGCCTCACGTTGATAACGAGTTTACGAATCAAAGGCAAGCAGAATGCAAAATGGCCTCTGCATAGCCACTTTTTTCTTGCAGCTAGGTGAAGGGGAGGGGCTTAATGGATGCTGTTAATGAAGTAAGTGTTCGACTGTTGTTCTTTGCAAAAAGCAGAGATATTGTCGGATTGCACGAGACACACATTGACATTAGCTCGGTAGTAACTGGTCAGGAGTTGCTCAGAGCGATTGTGACCAAATTTCCAGGCCTGCATATTCTGCGTGAAAATCTTCTTCTATCGTGTAACCAAGAATACTTAGAAAGTGACCAAGTTGTTGAATTAGCAGGTGGAGAAGAAGTAGCTGTCATACCTCCAATAAGCGGTGGTTAATTTTGTTTATCGTGTGCTTCACAAGTCAATCCAAATCTCTGAGAAGGCGTGGTGTGCCCATGACCAACAAAAGGAGATGCAGGAAGGGACACTAGATGAGGACAAAGCGTCATACGACCATATTGAATTGACAGTTAGTGAAATTTCTATTGACAGTGCATATAAAAGGGTGCTTTCAAACTCTGCAGGAGCCGTCTCTGTGTTTGTTGGGACCACAAGAGATCATTTTGAGGGCAAGAAAGTTGCAAAACTTGAATATGAAGCTTATGAGCCCATGGCCATCAAAGAATTGAGGCAAATTTGTAAAGATGTACGCAAGAAGCTTGAAGTTACAAAGGTATGCATCATGCACAGACTTGGGGTAGTTCCGGTTGGAGAACCAAGTGTCATGATAGCAGTCTCATCTGTACATAGAAAGGAATCTCTTGAGGCTGTACAAATTATAATCAATACTCTAAAAGAGACTGTACCTATTTGGAAAAAAGAGATTTATGAAAATGGAATAGGAGAATGGAAAGAGAACAAAGAATGCAAATGGGCAAGGAAATGAAAATGATTCCAATGAAAAAAACCAGTTCGCATTATTTCTAAAATATTATAAAAGCATTTTTGTAAGTGTTGTGAAATGAAGTAACTTTTAATGTTTAGATGAAGCAAAATGAGCTATTTTGTGGTTTTGCTTCTCCAGTTTGTTTTGATTTTTACTTGAAGTTTTGCTGATTTACTTTTAGTGTATACACTCTTGTTCCATACCAGTGGCGTGGCCAGCATGACCGTCAGTGGCGGCCTGGCAGGGGGGGGGGGCGGGGGGCCAGGGCGCCTCTAGCTTAATTTTTTTTATAGAGGCACCAAAGCTTGTATAGGGCGCCAAAAACTCAAAAAAGTTTGATACGACTGATTTGTCTGATTATTAGGTCTCTAAAAGGTCAGCAGAGACAAAGAAGATGCCATAAAATTCAAAACTTAATTGGGACGCACGCTGCCATACCCCCTAGAATAGAGTCTCACTTCAAAGGCACGTCTTTGTCCCCCTTCAGTACTGTATTATCCAGACAAAACATTTGTACTGTTACCAGGGGTGAAAAAATTAATCAAATTTTTAGAGGATTGTCAGAAAACAAACAGTTAAATTCTTTTGTGTGGAGAACACAGCACTTAAAGTGCACACAGACTGTGTTTAGGGTGTCAGGGGACAGTCTGTGTTCAGACTCATGCCCCCTTCCATGGAAAATTTTGATTTTCGATGAGCCTCTTTGGCTCTGCTGGCCTTCAGAGACCTAATTAACAGACAATTTGGCTGTTTAATTGCTTCATCCTAGATTAGTCCATATGTTATATCTCAAGTCGCTTCCACGAACGTAGTTTTAAGTGCACAAGATAACAAGAAATAACCTAAAAAGTGCATTCAAAGCTAAAACATAATGAAACCAGCTCTTGTTAGGTTATTTCGTAAAGGATAAACTAAACAGATGACTTTTAACTCAAAACATTGACTTTGTGTTTCTAACGCGTAGATACTTCAGGCTTCTTTTTCAAGAGGCATGTATTGATTTTGACAAGAAAGTTGGGTTGGGCCTAATTTTCTGAACGGTTGAGTTTTGTTTAGCCTTTAATAATATTTCTTTAAAGTTTGATGGAATATTTACAGTGGCGTAACGCACGGTATGCACTATTAAGCAAAAAAACTGAGGGCCCCAAAACATTTGGGCCCTGAAGGGGCCCCTAAGAAGTTTCTCGAAAAAAAAATATTTTTGGTTGTAAGCATATATTTCTTAATTGTATTTACAGCAGCATTGAAATGAGCATAAGACTGTATATGATTTGTGAGCAAACACGATATCACAGATATCTAAAATCTAATAGATTTCTAAACAGTTTGAAAATGTTTATCTTTCAAGTCTAGTAATGTTTTCAAATGCATCGATCAATGTTCTTGCTTACATTTCACAATGTCTTCAAATCCCACGCGCGTTTATGAATCTTGTGCGAGCAAATGAGTCGAGATGAAACGAAAAGTCGAAGCTGCTACACCAAACACAAAGAAATTTTCACTATTTTGATAAAGCACAGACCAAGATCTACCAAACTCATGTCTCCCTCCGCAAAAATCACGAGAAAAGTCACGAGCCATGTCTTTGATGAATCTTCTGAAACTCTTGAAAAGAGCGATGAAGTGCGAATCAACCTTTAACAAAAGCAAAATCATGTCAGCTAGATCTTCCAAAGTCTTATCCAACTGATCATGGCCATCTTTTTGAAGATGTGCTTGATGCTGATGTTGGGAAATTGATTTTGCAGCATGGGCCATGTCGACCTGGTGGTACATTCGAGTGCATAAAGGACTATGGATCTGTCTCTACAAATTTTAGTGCTAGATATTATAATAAACAGGTAAAAAACATTTCAGTTCCAAGGCTATGGCTCTGTTATTCAATCCATGGAAACATGGAAAAAGCTTAGATAAAGATGATAAGAAATAACTAAGGCGATAGAATTTCTCTTCGAATGTTGTATATTATTTCTTTGGGTTTTTCAGGAAAATCTCAAAGAGCGAGTACTTAGGCTCTAAAATTTGACTCAAATTTAGTTAAGCAGAGGGCCCCAAAACACTTCTTTTAGTAAGGGCCCCACACTGCTCCATTACGCCACTAAATATTGAATTTTGTATCAAATGACATGATGCATTCAAAGATATGTTAGAAACGCATTTTCTAGCCTTATGAGTAACTGGAATCCTCCAATGATTGGCTAGGACCGACTCTTTCCATTATTTGTCCTACACTATCCTACACTCTCCTAATTTGCCCCTTGACTGTTAGTTGAGTTGTATGCATGTTTTGAACTTGTTTAGCTGCCCCCAAAGTACAAGTTTAGCAAAACAAAGGTAAATATTTTATCTGGCGCTTTGGATTCCCCTCCAAGGTGCCAAATGAACACAACATTTACAAAGAGAACAAAACCCTCATTCTACCACATCGTAGGGTCTCTTGAAAGTTCCCCAAACATGTTCTTGACACATTTTTATTTAGTTTATCTGCTTGGATTGGCTTCTAAGAGACAGTAAATTTTGTACGTGAGTCGGTCCAACTTGTCCTGACATCCCCATGAAAAATTATTCTATTTGCGTCCCTGTGCTCATGTGGGGGTCAGTAGATTTTGTCTCTTTGCTTCATTTCTCATGGAAGGGCCAATTTGTCTCGACGATACAACGATAGGGTGGATTCTTTTCCCTATTACAAAGTAATGAAATCCATTTTAAGACTGGAATTAATCAAACGTGATGGAAGGTAATTCTCTGTAAGTAAAGTGCAAGCAAAAGCTTATAGCCAAGCAGCCACGACTCATGTTAATCTCCGGAACATTTTGTGACAATGGCAGAATTTTTTAGCCTGAAAAGTGTTGCTCTATGTGGGGAAGTGAAAGGCACGAAAGGCCCTTTCTTGAGATGCTTTATGTAGGGACATAAAATCGGATCATTTTATGCAACCAAACCAAACCCTCAGCCTTTTCAATAATCAATTGCTACTGATGAACAATTGGAGATAATTTTTTTGATTTAATGAATGTCAAATCTGGGTACTGTTCATTGGAGATGGATGGAGCGGATAGCAGAGTGTAATTTGCCAAAACCAACTGGTTTGAGAGCTTAAACTTTCCAGACGTTTGGCAGCATATTCAAAAATGTTGAGCTCTTAAAGGGCATTGTTTCCATATCATGATAAGGACAATAAGGCTGCATTTAATAGATAGAGAACGCCAAAACTTTGAGTTGTTCTTGAAATTTTTGTTGATTATCACATGCAATAACACTGTTTTTACATAGAATTAGAGTCAAACTCAAACCTCTACTGACCTCACTTGTAGTTGAAAGTACCTTTTCACTACTTAAAGTTGCTGACTGCTGGTTTTAAACAGTTTTATATCTTTATTATAACTTTTCATGTATTTGAAAATGCACAAGATCAAATTCTTTCATTTAAAACCCTTGTTTGTTAGATTTAGTAAGGCAAATCCATTTTTATTTGTTTGTATTTGTATCTACCTAACATCTGAAAATAGTTTTAGGACACTGAGAAGCTTATGCTTATCGAACAGTGTCTTGGTCCTTCCTCTCGATGTGACCACACCTCATGATTCCTAGGCCTGGAATTACAGAGAGCTGGTGACTCTCCTCAATCTGGGTGAAAGTTTGGTCATGCCAGGGACTTGAACCACAGACCCTTGGGTCTGTAGTCAGCGCCTCTAACAACTGAGCCATCCTCTCACTTGGCCTAACCATTATTCTAGTTTGCTTTATTTCATATCAAAATCGACATTGGATCATACCTAATTTTCAGGAAATCCTATCACTGCACATTTTACAAGAAATCAAGGGTGGCTGTAGGTAATAAGAAGTAATTTGCGGAAGCTCCTGAGATTTTGCCATTTCTGAGGCTTTAAAATGGCTTAGGATCCTGCAAATTCAATATAGGTTATTTTGAGATATTTTAAAAACAACGTTGGCATTATTAGTAAACAGGGATACCATAAAAGAAAAGTCAAGTAAACTTAGCTGTTACGTTTCACAGTGCATTCCATGATCTGGTAACAGTGTCTCATTATAGATACGCAAATCAACGCAAATATAGCCTATAGACTTTCAAAAACAAACGTGTATACTAGGTTGAGGTCACCTTCGCATTTAAGCAGCAATAATTTTTTAGAACAATAACGCAACGCTGTTTAATGTTAAACAAATTTAACGTTTAAAACTTTATCTTCAACTCTTTCTCCTTAACCTCTCCGTCTTCTTTATCGTCGTTCGCAAAAACTTTGCTAAGCCACTCTTGCTTTCCTGCTTTTGTGCTTTCTCCTGCCCGACGATCTTTTTCCTCCATCCACCTCAATGCTGCAGGCCTAGGATCAAAGTCACATAGTTGTGGCATATTCATATGTATGTAAAGGTAATCGCTGACGGTTTGGCGCTTGAAAGATGATCTGCATGTTGATTTGATCTTGTTATAAAGAGAAATGACCCGCTCACAATCAGCTGAATGGAGTTTGCAAACAAGAATGCGGCCAAGGACGATACAGACATCTGAATACTCGTCCCTTGCTCCTTGTAGCATGTTTTGCAGCATGCTGAAGGGATTGGCCTTTTGCATTTCGGCACAATCTTGCAGATCCTGATACTGAATGGTTACATTTGCCAAATCCAAGTCAGGAGCAATAGAGCGGTGAACTTCTTTTATTTCATCTTCTGTGGCCATGATCTTAACAAACGGGTAAATGATTTGGAAGCATTTCTGTCCACTTGAAGTCGCTTGTCTACGAATGTGTTGATTGCCATCACTGATTCGTTCCGAATAGCACTAAACTTTCTGCGATCTGTTACAAACTGATTGGCATCTGGTCGGCGTCTTTCCTTCTCCCAAAGCTTGATCCCGCAAAACGTATTCATTTTCCGAACCTCCCAGCAAGGATCCAGTGCTCAGCTTGTTCACCCTTTCGCGAAACTTCTCTGCCTCTGGCTCAATGTCCACAATTGTTAGTGAGTCGCTTTGAAGCTTT